TATCAGAGGCAGCAGGAGTGATGACAGTCAAATTAGTGGTAGCAGTGAGGATCAGCAGATAAGAGAAAGTATCTCCCTGTTGCCTCGTGATGCGTTCACAGACAGCTTGTTATTCATAGATTGTTACCCTAATTACCCACCAGATGAATGTCAGTGTTGCCTAAATTGTAAACTGACAATCTACATTTAATCATGTAAAAACAAACTGTAGTCTCCCAGTAAGTAGATGACTCCCAGACTCCCTGAAAAGGTGGTTTTCGCCACTTTGTTGACACTTCTGTCGCTGTTGTATCATCAGAAAATTACAGCTAGGAGGATGATGGGATTTTTAACTGCTCGTATTTCTACCACACATGGACAAAAACATCAAATTCTATTGTGTGTGCTCCATTACGACACTGTTATGTTGTGTTCACATTAAACATGATGCACATTTTCACGCCACGTTACTCAGGCAACTTTGAACGCTTTCGTGCGATGGTTAGATTTCTCAGAGCCATAGTTCTGATCCTGTCACAGTTATTATCTGTCTGTGATGTGTTGTTGTGGACACCTTTAAATATTATGACAGATTCCCCACTCTTTAATGAACAAAGGCCTTTAAAGTATCCACATTTTCCCGTCACAGTCTTACATGTGCTTTAACATCCTGTTGTCCCCGGCCCTTGTGCTTTCTCTGGATGCTGAGAAGGCTTTGCCCAGGTTGAGTTTCCTTACTTGTTGTATGCATTGAAAGAATTTGGCCTGAGAGACAAATTTGTTAGCTGGGTCAGGGTTCTTTGCAATAATAAACAGCGGCAGTTCTGACAGACAGTCTGAGAGCTAGTAATTCCCCCTTCACAGCGGGAAAAGACAGGGCGACCCTCTCAGCTCTTTGATATTGCTACTGAACCACGGGCTCAAGCAATAAGGCAGAATGCTCATATATCACATGTTGGAGAGAGGAAGCATGAAATTACCTTGTACGCAGATGATGTGTTAATATTTTTATCGAGATCACAAACTTCTGTTCCCTGTTTGATCCAAGGCATTTCAACATATGGCACTTTTTCAGGCTATAAAATTAATGCAATTAATTTTGCAAAGTGTGAAGCCATGCTGCTGGGGTTGCTCACATCCATCCCAAGCCTTTTAGTGCCCTTTCCTTTTCACTTTGTCTGCTTGGATGCTATAAAGGCAGACCTAGATTGTTGGGCCCCCCCTACCCTTATCCTGGCTGGGCAGGATTGCTCTTATTAAAATGAGCATCCTGTCTGGACTACTCTACCCTTGACAAATGATTCCTATTTTGCTATCAAACAAGGTTATCAAGGTGCTTGAAGGCTGCCTGAGTTCATTTATCTGGAGCAAAAGGAAGCCCCGACTTAAAATGTCGAATATCCAAATGGCCCTGACACACCAAGCCGAAGGTTGGCCATGGTGAGCATCTGTCGGCCTAGTTTTTGCGGTGTGTCCCGCACTGTTGGCACTTCGGCGTTGGCGGCTTTTCGGCCGATTGAGCATGTTGAATCGGCTGCGGAGCTTGTCGGCAAGAGAGATCACTCTGATTGGCTGTTCAGGTTTTATTTCCTCGCCCCTGTAGCAAGTGAATCTGCCTGTAGTGAAACCGGGGCTAACCGGTGCTTCCTCCTCAGGCTCCACTTCACTCAGCTGCCCCACAGACCCGCTGCTTCTTCCCACTTTAACCTGAATAACAAACCGGAGCTAGCTGGGAGCATGACCAGAGGGAAGCACAGCCAGTTAGCCTCCGCTAGCCTCCCAGCTAGCCCCAGCTCTCCGTTTGGATCCAACCGGAGCACCGAGCCCTGGTTTGTTATTCAGGTTAATGTGGGAAGAAGCAGCGGGTTTGTTGGGCAGCTGAGTGAAGCTGAGTGAAGTGGAGCCTGCGGAGGAAACACCGGGACCGTCTGGATGTAATAGTCCGTGGAGGTGCTGCGGTGCTCGGCTGCACAGATAGGAAACCCCTCGGCTGACAGGATGTATCACTCTCTCACTCCGCTCTCTCTCACGCAGGCGCAGAACGTACGTGCTACTTGGCCGTCAGATGTAGTGCGTGTAGTGTGTTCAAATGCAACTGACACAGTGCGACGTGAGGCGACGTAGACGACCCAACAGTTGGCTTTCTTTGCCGCTAGTTCTTTGATGTCGGTTTGATGTGTTATCACCTTTAGATGTACCTAATGTGACTCTGGCTCAATACTGAATCCTCTCAGTCCAGATTCCATTTGTGGATCTGTTGTTTCTCAACATCCTGTTGACTCATATATCTGCAATAATGAGATAAAGAGCAGCTGCTTCAAAGGGAGTCAACAGCGTGACTAGACAGTGTTATGACAGCGTGTAATAATAAAACTGAAGAAAAAGAAGTGATCTTGCTTCGCTGGTGTTCCCCTAAATCATATGAAAACGAGCAGCTGCCACTTTTTGAACAAGTAAAAATGCTGCAGTTAATGTCTTAACACATCAGATTGTTTTCTTTTCTGATTAAACACGCTGGAAAGGTTTTCATCTCCCTGATCCACACAATCTTACTTTGCCTACGTGACTGTGTGAACACCAGACCTTGGTAGAAAACACTGTGAAAGGCTCCCAGTTGGCACACACGTTTGATTTGAAGCTATGCTAAAGTTTATCAAAATAAAAGCCCTTTGGTGGGTCACATTTGTGCTGAATACACCAGGACACTTTAAAGATTCAGAGGCAGTCTGAGGTAACGCTCTACAAAGTGAGGCTGTTTGCATGAGAGCAACAGAGCACTAAATTGACTGATTTTCTTATTGAGTTCTGTGTTGCATCATTTCCCCTCTCTCACTGTACTACAGAGAAGTCACTGAACCAGCTAACACTTACAAAAGAAACAGTCATAGTCATCAGCGGATGAATCCTGCTGACGCTGGTGATGTCAGACTTTTCCTTTAGCTTGATTCACATTAGTGATTTTGAGTCAAGCATCTCAACAATAATCGGAGAGGTTTCTCTGAAATGTGACACTAGTATTCATTATGCCAAGAGCATTTATCCCACCAAGTTTGGTGGTACTTTGAATTTGTTCCTCTGGCACCACCAGCAGGTCAAATCTATACCGAATATCCTGTGAGTTCTCTCGACATTTACAGGATGGATTGTTGCAAAATTTGTTACAGACATTCATGGTCCCCAGAAGATCAAGAATAATAACTTTGGTGAATCTCTGACTTTGATGTAGTGCCACCATGAGGGTAACTTTTTTGGTTTTTAGGGAAGTATTTCAACAACTATTGGATAGATTTCCATATAAATTTGGCACAAAGTATTCATGGCGCCGAGAGAATGTTCCCACTGGTTTTGCTGAACCCCGAACCTTTCCTGTGGGAATTGTCACAACATTTACTAAATGGATTGGTTCAAAATTTGGTACAAACGTCCATGGTTCCCAGAGGATGAATTAGAATAACTTTGGTGAAACTCTTGACTTGACAGCAGCGTTGGCAACATAACTGTGGTGCAACCGTAGATCCCTAGAGTATCCTGTAAAGGATTATTAAAGATCTATCTATCCATCCATCTATCTATCCGGCTGGCTGGCCGGCCATCCAGCCATCCAAAGGTGTCGTCGTAGCTGTCACTGAAAAAGTCTTGTTCAGGGTTTGGTTGTACTAAAACCAACCTGATCTCACTCCAAAGTCGTCGAAATCTCGCATTTGGGCAATGACTTGCGGCATCAGACAGTGATGAAAAAAGCTGCCCTAAAACGTCGGCATAATACGTGGCTGATTGTCGCTATAGTTTAACAGCGCCCAGTGGCATGAGGGGGAAGAGTGACGTGACGAGGACGAAAGTTAAGGTGGCAAAAGGTTGAGTAGGGTGGGTGGGAGCGGTGGTGGATGAGTTGAACAATGACCGTCTTTCACCCGACTTTTACCTGAGAGAGCGGTGTTCGCGTCCCGTAAGACTTTAAAGCCAAACCCTGTTCTTTTTGCCTTAACCTAACCATGTGTCTTTGTTGCCGAAACCCAACCAGGTGCGTTCATTGTCGGAGAAAAAAAAATTAAATCATGTTGCCGTACTGATGTGGTGTTTTTATTTTGAAAGAGACTGTATGTAAACGTTAAATTTCCTGTGAAAACAGAAGTGTATTTTGAAAGAAGACAATGCATGTAACAGGCAGAACTTGACACGGTGTCCCAGATCGTCAACAACCAACACACCCAGGGTACCTTTCACGTCGTATGGTCGGAGTGAGAATGTGTTGCTAAATCACCCTCTGAGGAGTTGGATAATCAGTTTTTGTAGTTATTACATTTTGTTTTAATGTTTTAAGCCTGTTTTTTGCTAGCAAAAATTAGCATTAGCATTAGCACAGTTAATCATAGATTGTAAATGCACTGTGCTAAGAAGCTAGCAGCTAGCGTCCCGGCAGTCGCCTCCCTCTAAGTCAAATTTGGTCACCTCTGGCTCCAGGAACGCCAAACTCAAGGCTTCAAAACGGAAATCCACAAGCCAATGGGTGACGTCACGGTGGCTATGTCCATTATTTTATACAGTCTGTTGATGAAATAGTTAAATATTTACCAGATGGACTGATGTGAAACTTGGTGCGGACTTTTAGGGAGTCGCTAACTTTAATGTCGATGTTTGTATTATGAGTTGTACAGCACATGCTTCGTATGAGTGTGTGTGTTCTTCCTGCACTTATTCAGAGACGGATGCTTTGTGGTTTCATGTACGTCATTCTTTCACTTCCTCTCTACCTCTGTCTTTGTCTCTCCCACTCTGTCTGTCTTAACACTGCACATTTAAAAGATTTGGTTTAAATCAAACTTTCTCAGTGTAGCTGAAGCAGACAAAGACGGACATGAAATAACATCTTTCTTCTTCTTTCTCCTCATGCCTGTCTTTCTTTTGTCATCTCTCCTTCTTCTTCTTCTTCTTCTTCACCCTCTCTACTTCCTCCACCCACCTGCCTCTCTCTCTCACTCTGACTCTGTTGCTCAGTTATTGCGAGGTTTCCCACCTGTGTGGCATCATATCAGCCCCATCGATGCAAGCGATCGCTGTGAAATCAACGCCGCCCTTAAAAACTCGAGCTAAAGAAGAAGAGCTGGAGATAAAAGAGGAGATAGAAAGAGCTGCAGAGGAAGAAGAGGAGACGTAGAGAGGGTCGCGATCATGATTCAATCAAGTAAGCACCTTTACCTTTTATCTGCAGAGTAAACACCTGGTAATGTCTTACAGTGTAAACAGGGTTATAAGAAGGAACTTTTACAAAAACAGCCGGTGCTTTCAGCAAAGATGTTGTGTAGAAAATATTAATTTTCAGCTCTGTCATGATGTGAAACGAGAAGAACTACAAAGAATCGACTGAGTTAAAGAAAATGTGTGTAAAACTTGCACAGTGACGATGTGAGAGAACAAGCAGAGTTAGACCCTCGTCTGTTATTATTTGTATCGGAGGAGGAATGTATAGGAACATGAAGTAATCAGTACTTATGGCAGTGTGAATGAAAGGTACCGCTGGTTCAGACCTTCAGAAACGTCAGCGTTAGAAACATTCAGTGACAGTTTGGTGGCAGATGTTTAAGATCGTTCGACGGATCTCGAACTCAAAACGTCCTTCAGTTTGTTTGTGTTTCACAAGCACTGGTTTGATTCGAGTCGTCCTTCCAGGATGTGACAGAACAACACAGTCTTTGTTGTGTTGTGGTTCTTTTTCTGCCCTTTTATTGTGATGTGAACGTTGTGCATCTGACGTGCAGAGAGCTGGAAACGGGGACTGAAAGCTCCACCTGTCTGCAGAGTTCATAGAAACATGTAGTGGCTGAAGTTTCAGTTATGTTTCTGTCGGTGGTACAAAGAGCTGATTACCCGCACGGGGGTTAAGTCTGAAGTGGCCTTAAAATGTCAAACATCATTTGGAATTAAGCTAAATCATGTTTGTGTCTCTTGTGTGTTCATCAGTACAGTGGAGTCAGAGTTAAACATCTGTTTCTCTTAAATATGAATCTGTGAAAACCCTTGAACAAGACTAAGAGTCTACAGCCAGGCTGGCAGCTCTGCAACGCTGTACAACTGTGCTTTAGCTAAATGCTTAAGCTAGAGAGTTAACATGGTACTGCCCAGCACAACAAATATCGGACCGATAAATTATCAGACGACCAACAGCACCAATAATACAAAGACAGACTGCTTTCATTGATTTAAAAATGGCAGCGCCTGCACACCCAACATAGTGGGTGGTGGTACATGTACCCTTAAACTTTGTTTGCGAGCCGCCAGTAAACACAAGAAGAACAACAGCAACTGCAGCACACTGTCAGGAGGGCAAAACATGTCGCGGTGTGGATGTCTGTCACAGTTCCAGAGGAAGACAACAGGATTGCTGCGAGGGTCTGATCTGCGACTGGCCGACACAGGATAGAAGCAGCGCTGCAGGACCGCCTCCAGAGTGTTAGCACGAGCTAATTAGCAGCAGCTGCCTACATCCGACACTTATCATACACACTAATAACCGCTAGCCGTGTGATGCTACAGTTAGCCATTATTTGTGTGTTACCTCTCTGGTTTAGTGTTAATGTGTGAGGTGAATCATTAGTCTCTTTTACACTGCCAGATTTTCGGCGAATGTTGGGCGGTTTTGCCGGCAAGCTGCAAGTGTTTAGAGACACAGAGCCGGATTGGCAAGTTGATCCGAGGTGCCCAATTTTTTGCCTCGTGGGGTAGACATATTGGCGGAGCCTTTTTGGTTTAAAATGAACGAGGCGGCCTTCCGCAACGGGATGGACTGCTGAAGACTTGTTGGAGGAGCTGTTGATGACGCCGCATGTGCGACCCACTGGCGGTGGATAAACAGGAAACAGCTGATAGCAGGAGTTAGCGAGCAGCTAGTAGCAAGAGGGAAACACAAACCTGACAGACACTGTAAAGATGAGCAACTGGGGAGACAAGGAATTGTGCGCCCTCCTTGTCCTTGCAAACGAAGAGGCCATTAACCGTCAGATGACGGGGACGGTGAAGAACGGGTTGACTTATGAGAGAATCGCCGAAGGACTGACCAGCCGCGGCTTCCCTCCCACGTCACTGTTTACGTCACACGCTGAGCTACACGTTTTTGTTACTTGCTCACGCCCCCCACTGCCCTGAAAAAGGCGCATTCTGTATAAACAAAAGTAGGTAGGCGGCATTTTGCTGCACTCCCCGATTTTGTTTTTATACTGCCAATGCTGAAAAAGACTGATTGGGCTTTCCTGCAAATTTGCTGCTGATGTTCATATGACTCAGCTGTCAGTGTTTGTCTCTGTCAGTAGAGACTCCACTCTCCAGTGAAGTTTATACACTTCAATGATACACCAGAAAATATCACAGTAGCACTGTGACGTCATTTGTTTTGAATGGGATCACAAACCAAATTAAAATGTCGACCAGATGGTGGCGCTAGACGGAAACTCAGATGATCACCAAAGTCAGCAGGATGCATCCTGAAGGGAACATGAATATATGTACCAAATTTCAATCCAGTCCATCCAAGAGTTGCTGAGATATCACCATGTAGAGCCAAATGAGATATGTTTCAGATCAGTTTGAGTAATCGACATAACTCAGTCAGATCTGAACACACAGACATGATACACACATTCTCAGACTCTTGTGACTTACACTTTCTGACAGTATAATTGTCTGTGAAGTCCTTTACTAACAAATGTCCATAAATCCACTCAGAAAACAGCAAAGAAGCCGTTTCTTTTCACTTCAGAATCTGCCTGAGAATCTTAACATCTTTAGGTTTTCTTTTCTATCAAAGTGATCCAGTGATAGAGATAGGGTGAGGAGCTCGGACATCCAGGGGGAGCTCGGAGTAGAGCTGCTGCTCCTTCGCGTCGCGCAGTTGAGGTGGTTTGGGCATCTGATAAGGATCCTCCTGGGCGCCTCCCATTAGAGGTGTTCTTGGCACGTCCCACTGGTAGGAGGCCCCGGGGCAGACCCAGAACACTCTGGAGGGATTATATATCTCATCTGGCCTGGGAACACTTTGGGGTCCTCCAGGAGGAGCTGGAAAGCGTTGCTGGGGAGAGGGACGTCTGGGGTACTTTGCTCGGCCTGCTGCCCCCGTGACCCAGTCCGGATAAGCGGAGGAAAATAAATGGATGAAGACATTTCTTTTGTAACTGAGTCCTTATCTTGCAGTGCAGTGTGAATATTTTAACATGTTTTTAATTTAAATTTGCCTTCAAAGGAGTCGGTTGCAGTCTAAAATGACTTGATACGAATGATGTGTCAACGCTGTATGATTAATTATCTGCAAAAGCTGGAAAGTAACTAAAGCTGTCGGACAAATGTAGTGCAGTAGAGTACTGATTGTCAAAACCATGAAAATCTTGTTGATTCCCTTTTAAAATGTTACGAAAATGTTTCTTAATTTTACCCAAAAAGCCCAAATCTGAAGTGTTCAGTGAGCCTGTGGAGGAAGGAACTCCTCGGTTCACCTTCAGAAACATCACACAGTGCGTCTTAATGGGATGTTGGTTCACCACAAACCACCAGAAGAGTTCATCACTCCTTATGGCATCGACTCGTCATGATGGGACGCTAACAGACTCATCTCTGTGGGCTTTTATTTTGGCAGTGAATCACATGACAGCCAGCGGTTTGCAGATGTGTGTGTGTGTGTGTGTGTGTGTCTTCAGCTCAAGACGAGAAACAGAAAGACACGCTGCCAGTTATCTACACACACATATATACAACACGAACGCTAAGAAAATGACCCACACACACACGCTCACCCACAGAAACACACACTTACCGAGAGGAAGAGTGTGTTAGTTCTATAGAAAAGGAAACTATACTTCCTGAGAAGGACCTCCTACTCAAAACCACAAAGAGAGCGATCAACTAAAACAAAACTGAGAAACAATGAGAGACTGTGAGAAACTTGACTGTGCCCTGCCCCCGAATCAACTGATCTATTTCCAGTCTGTACGTCAACAGATCAATCGCCCCGATCTTGACGAGTACAAAGAGCCACCACACTAACTCCTCTTTGCATCAAAGTTTGGTTGTTTATTAGTTCTGAGCCTTTACCTCTAAATCTTGAAAGGTTCCTATCATGGTTTAATTCGACTAAAACCTGAGTTTGAGAACATTTTTGTTCTTGAAATACAACACTGTACTAATGAACCTTCATTAATATAGGCCTATATTTTATCTTCAAGTGCACGTCACACACTGAGCGAGCCGCCTGTTAATGACGCTGTGGGCTAATGGGCATGTAGCTACTTCCATGTTTCAGATGATACGTCATGTTTGTAGTCGACCAATGAAGATGAGTTTACATATCACCTTGGGTTCGTCCTTCACCTTCTCAAAATGATCCCACACTTTGGATTTCCTGCCCGACATGTTATTAACTAGCCTGTGGAATAACCGCAGGTACCAGCCCTGGAGATTAATTTTGTCTATAAAATTTCATAACCCCCTGATGATTTGGATTCTTTTGTTTTGTTTCCTCCTTCAGATCACTTGATCCGCTCGGTCTTCTGCTGCTGCTGTGCCGTACAGACCAGGTACCAACGTCAATGTGACCAACAACTCAGTGATAAAGCAATTAAATCATTTCACTTTGATTTCTACAAACATACAACCAGTGCAAAGTGCAACTCCAGTGTGATTTTAGTTTTTGTTATTTGTATTTTGTGCTTCCCGTCATTTTAATGTTCAATCTGACAGTTTTAAATGTGAGTCACTAAATCCTACAAAATGTATAAAATGTTGGCATTGTAGGTTCATGAATATGTTATGAGGTGACGTAGTTCTGATTACATGTATGTGAGCTGAGTTCCTCATCAGGAGGTGGAGGGGATGGTGGATGGTTTGACACCTCAGTGAGACAGAAGGAAAAAAAAAACAGCTATTTTTTAACAAGATGCATTGACAGAAGCAGGTATTTTCAACAAGATCATCGGACATTTTCAGCCCAAATTATGGTGACAAAAGCAGATATTTTTGAAAGAGGTGTTGGGACATTTCCAACTGTGTTTGTGGTGACCAAACTGGGTAGTTTCTAACAAGACATTGACCCATTTACCACCGTGTTTGTGGTGACAAAAATCAGGAAGTTTTTAAAGAGACGTCAGGACATGGTCAGTTGTGTTAGTGGTGACCAGACTGGGTAGTTTTCAAAGACACATTGAGACATCTCCAGACATGTTTGTGGAGACTATACTGGGTATTTTTAAAAGAGGCGTAGGGATATTGCCAGCTGTGTTAGTGGTGACCAAACTGCATATTTTTAACAAGACATGGAGACATTTCCAGCTGTGTTTTTGGTGACCAAACAGAGTATTATTTAATAGGACGTTTGGACCTTTCAAGAAGTACTTTTTGACGAGATGTCAGGACATTTCTAGAAGTGTTTGATGCCACTATACGGGATATTTTTTTAATCAGACGTCAGAACATTTCCAGCTGTGTTTGTGGCAACAAAATCAGTTATTTTTTAATGAGACCTCAAGATATTTCCTGCTGTGTTTTTGGTGACACAACTGGGTATTTTTTAATAGGACGTTTGGACCTTTCCAGCCATGTTTATGGCAACAAACGCAAGTAATTTTTGACGAGATGTCGAGACATTCCTAGATGTGTTTGGGGCGACTATAAAGGGTATTTTTTTAACCAGACATCAGGACATTTCCAGCTGTGTTTGTGGCAACAAAAGCAGGTTTTTTTAATGAGACCTCAAGACATGTCTAGTTTTGTTTTTGGTGACCAAACAGAGTATTTATTAATAAGACGTTTGGATCTTTCAAGAAGTACTTTTTGACGAGATGTCAGGACATTCCTAGACGTGTTTGGGGCGACTATACAGGGTATTAATTTAACCAGACGTCAGGACATTTCCAGCTGTGTTTGTGGCAAAGTTTCAACATTTCAGCAACATGTGAAATGTACAAATGTTACATATCTGTGGTTTGCTGAAGCACACAATGCCAACATATATTTTTTATTGCATCCGAATTAATGTGCATTTGTCCAAATTTCTTTAAATGATTCAAAACATTGTTTTCAGCTTACAAATTTCAAGTTGAACCAACATCTGACTCAACCAGAGCATATTTTCTACTAAAGTAATGATGATGAACAAGCTAACATTAGCTCTAAAAACCGTGAACCGGCTCTCATTCATTCATTAGTTCTGCAGGTCATAAAGTGTTGGATAAATTAAAGGTCTGACCTGATGACAGCGCGAGAGGTCACCAAAGTTTGTGATGTCTGTGCAAACTTTTGTGCTAATTCATCAAGTAAATGTTGAGATGTTTCATTGGAGAAGTGAAAACTTTGACCTGGAAGGAACTTTGAGTATCTGTGGTTTGACAGTGTCATGTGTGGGCAGTCTGTAGTAAACAAACTAACACTTGAGAACACGTTGGTGTGGTGCTTTGGAAGACGAGAATCTTTTATAACATCTGATGAGATTTTTCAGTCATCAAAGACATACATTTTTTTTGTAAGGCTGGATGTGTGTGTGTGTGTGTGTCTGTGTATGTCTGTGTCTGTGTGGAAAATAAAAAAAAAATTCATGTAAAAGATTTTTGATTGTTGATTTCAGGGAGATCAGCACCCGCATGGAGCTGGAGGGAAGCACCTCCCTGTGTTTCCAGAGCCGACGATACCCAGGGCACCCCTGCAGGGTAAGTGTGTGTGTGTGTGTGTGTGTGTGTGTGTGTTATTAGTCTTTATCTGTTAATGTCCTTTCTTTTTGTGTCTCTCAGGTTGACAGGTCAAGAAGGAAGCTCCCCCTGCCGCCTCCTGACTATGAGGATGGTGAAGGTCAAGGGTTACTAAGTGTCGTCGCCATGTACGACTTCACCGCCAAGGAGGACACTGACCTCACACTCAAACAGGTATTCACACACGAACACGCACACATACACACACACCCAGCAGTGGATGTGCGATAACACAGTGTGTTGTGTCCACAGGGAGAAGAGTACGTCATCCTACACAAACAGGACCAGCTGTGGTGGAGAGCGCAGGACAAACACGGGTAAATAAAACTGTTTATTAAAAACAAGAAAATTTAATATCAAGTTTTTTTAAAAAATAATTTAGGTTTCTATTGGTTTGAAAGGCTTGGTTGGTGGTGTCATTAATATATTATTTTCCACGCATACAAGGATACAAGGCATGTATTTTACACATATGGATGTGGACTCTGGTACATAAAGAAAAATGAACAAATACGTCTAACGAAGGAAAGAGAAGGAAACAAACTAACAAATAAAAACATGCCACACGTGTCCTCATACATCACTCCACAGGCTCACATAATCACAGAGCAAGTTCATAATTATGTCAGCTTATCTTCCATTTTGATTTGAGTCCATAACGGTTCCCAAAGAGATCCTCCTTTCTCCTGATCGCCATTTATTCCACTGAGGATACATTCATAAGATGCTGTTTCCACCATCTCATCAACCCGATCTTCTGTTCGACCATTTATTTTATGTCTGTGTCGTATCTATCTATAACTCAAAGGCCACTGAAAGGACTTATGGTAAATGTAAGTAAACTATGCTTGTTGTTGCTTTGGTGCCAAAGTCCTGAAATGTTTTTCTTTTATCTGTACAAAAATGAATGTCCTGAAGGGAGAGCTAAAACATTTCTGAGTTTGTTTTTCTCTGTTTCTGCTTGTTTCCATCAGGAACAAAGGTTTCATCCCCAGCAACTACGTGACAGAGAAAAACAGAATCGAGGCAAACTCGTGAGTCTCAGTGCAGTTCATTTTTCATGTTTGTTTGGCAAGGCAAAAATCAATGGTTAAAAAACAAGACTGTAACGCTACTCCACATTAAAAGTCGGATTAAAAAAGAGGGGTCTTTAATTTGCGTTTAAAAATACAAAGAAGCATCAGCTGTTTTAATATCCAGAGGTAACGTATTCCACAGTTTAGGGGCATGAAGAGTGCTCTCACCAGGGCTTTTACGGGACACATGAGGAACATTTCAATGTAAAGCAGTGGAGGTCCTCTGTGATCCGTCTGAAACATAAAATGATGGAAACTCTCTGAAGTATAGAGGGGCGAGGTCATTTAAAGATTTATAAACAAGTAAAAGAACTAAAGGGGGCATTAAGTGTGCGTCATCAGCATAAAAATGGTAATTAACGTGGTGATGGCTAATAACGTTTCCAAGTGGAAGTATATATACTGAACACAAAAGTGGGCCGAGGATGCTTCCTTGAGGAATGCCACTTACCACTCTTCTATTCTTGTACCATTTAGGTCTTCTGCAAATCCTTAATTCTTTTGTGTGTGTGTCAACATTGACATTAAAACTGTTAATTGTAATGATCAAAAGGCAACAAAGTATCTGTGTTTTGTTTTTCTTTCTGCAGGTGGTACTGCAAGAACATCACCAGGACAGAAGCCGAGCAGCTGCTGAGACAAGAGGTAACTACTGTCGGTCCGTCTGGTTCAATGTTTGTTTATCTTTCTGTTTATATGAACCAGCAGGGACGTTTATTTGACGTTTATTTGTCAAAATGTGTAGCCACACTGGGCTCGTAAAACGGACTTGGGAGTATTCCTCTAGAGTTTCCCCTCTCACTTACCTGAAAACCAAATATAGATAAAGACTGTAGCATGAGGCTGATATGGCCTTTTGCCACCCTTCATCCACCTGGTTTAATATGCAGTGCAGTTTTAAACTCTACATGTAACCTGCTGCATCTCTGTCTTAGCTAAGGGGTCCTCAGCCTGAGAAATGTTGAAAGCCCCTCGATTAGAATATGGAAAGAAAATCAATCCACAGCTTTAATAATTGTTTTGGTCTTTTTTTTAAAGCGAAAATGCCAAAAACATTTTTTAGTTCCAGCTTTTCTTTGTCTGATGTGATAATAAACTGAATATCTCATGGTTTTGGACCGTTAGTCGAACAAAACAGGCATCACCTTGACCTCTGGGAAGCATTTTGTGCTGTTTTCTCACATTTTATAGATCATATAATAATATTAATAACGGACAGATTATTGTTATTGTGTGAAATTTTTTCTGGATGTTTTCCAGGACAAAGAGGGCGGTTTCGTGGTGCGGGAGTCCAGTCAGAAGGGAGTCTACACCGTCTCTGTCTACACCAAAACATTAAGGTGATTCATCTAGACTGAAGGTTAAAACCCAAAGTATGGCTGAGAAACACACACACACACAAACACATACAGAGTAAAAATAAACTGTAATATTCATGTTTTGTTTGTTTGTGTTCAGTAGTAACGGGGATATTCGGCATTACCAGATCAAAATAACTGACACTGGTCAGTTCTTCCTGGCTGAAAAACACACCTTTAAATCCATACCTGATGTCATACACTACCACGAACACAACGCAGCAGGTACACACACACACACACTTACACTCTTTGTACATGCTACAGTCGAGACACCAGTGCTGCAGATAATGCTTCATCTGACATGGTTCGGTGTGTGTGTGTAGGTTTAGTCACCAGGTTGCGGTATGCAGTGGGTCCAATGGGAAGGTGTGTACCCGCCACATCAGGATTCAGCTCAGGTAAAATCACACCTTAACTCTGAGTTCCTCCATTTAACATTAAGAAGTAGATTTTTAAAGCAAACTGAAATTAGGAGCACCTCGTGAACACCTGAAAGGTGTATTCACCAATTTCTTCTCTCTTCTTCTTCTTCTTCTTCTTCTTCTTCTTCTTCTCCCTCCAGAGAAGTGGGAGATCAACCCCAGTGAGTTGACCTTCATGAAGGAGCTGGGCAGTGGTCAGTTTGGTGTGGTGAGACTCGGCAAGTGGAGGGCTCAGCACAGAGTGGCCATCAAGGCCATCAGAGAGGGAGCCATGTATGAGGAGGACTTCATCGAGGAGGCCAAAGTCATGATGTAAGGAGGGAGGACAGGGACCAGATGTAGACAGAGCAGACTCGCAGTTTTGGCGACTTCTCCTTATTGCTGACGCAAGGAAGTGAAACTGTGTGTGTTTGTCGTCTCTCCCAGGAGGCTGTGCCACCCGAAGCTGGTGCAGCTGTACGGTGTTTGCTTGCAGCAGCGCCCCCTGCTGATCGTGGCCGAGTTCATGGAGAACGGCTGCCTGCTGAACTTCCTGAGGCAGAGGAGTCGAGCTCTGAAGGAGGCGTGGCTGCTGTCCATGTGTCAGGACGTCTGTGAGGGGATGGAGTACCTGGAGACGCAAAGTTTCATCCACAGAGACCTGGTGAGTCACTGAGTGTGTGTGTTTTTATATCTTAACAGTGTTTATATATGTTAATATAATTTGCTGTATCCTCTTATTCAGCTGTAATCTGATGGGGCCCAAACACACTGGGCAGAAACTCCAGATCAAACACAAAGATATTGTACAGACTGGTGAAAGTTTTGCTGAGACTTGTGTCATTCTGTCAATATTAGGCTGAGGTTCATTGAATTGCTGTGAAATGACTTCACGTAATCTCCTTCATTCTCAGATGGAGCTATGATGGGATGTTAAGTCCCATAAATGAGCCCTAACAAACTCATCAAGGTCTGAGGCCCTGATGAAAGTTGTCTGAGGGCTCAAATGTCTTGCGGTGCTCCTTTCCTTTTCTCCACACTGATATTGTGCAAAACAAAAATAATACTCTGATCTTCCATGTTTCATCTTTAACTTCATGACTTTTGGAGATCAGTTCGTCTTCTACTTATGTAACTACTCGCTGAAAGGTACTGATGTACGTTAACTCAGTAAGTAAGTCGGCATTGACTTTTGGTTTCACATGGGACACAAACCGCCATCTCCTGCATCAAAGTCCTGTGTTTGTTTGACCCTTCCATCTGCTCTGACCTCCTTTCTGCGCAGACTTTGTTGCTCTTCAATATAAATCACCAGACTTCCTTCTCGGCTCCAGTGATAATTGCTTCCGCCACTGGAGGTCGCTGCCTAAAAATAAATGTAAATATAGGAGGCAGAGGAGAGCCATACTACCTCAAATCTATGCTCCTGATGACAGCTGATCACGGCCATTTAATGGGCTGGTATCATTCAAAGCGTGTCAAACCAAAACATCTGGAGATACATTGTTTCTGTAATCTCAAAAGTAACTAAAGCTGTCAGACTCTGAGATGTAGTGGAGTCGAAGTATGAAGAGACATTCAGAAAGTAATCAGTATTCAAGTACCTTGAATTTGTATTGAAGTAAAATGTTTGTGGTTATTTTTCTCTCATGCAGGCAGCGAGGAACTGTCTGGTTAACGAGCACAACGTGGTGAAGGTCAGCGACTTTGGAATGACCAGGTGTGACGGACATTTTATTTCAAGTTTTAAAGGAAAAGAGTTCAACATTTGTCCAGGGCCAGCAGCTGCTTAGCTTAGCGTAGCTTAGCTTAGCATATTATACTTTATTACATACTTGTGGCCATCAAAAATGAATCCAATGTCCTTTCAGTGTTTATTTCAAAACTACTTCCTGTTCAAAGAAAATGCTTAATTTTTCATACTTATCAGGTCCAGCAGATCACACACAGCTTGGAGAAATTAAAAATGCATACTAAACAAAAGCTCAGGTCTCCAGAGGTTAAACGGTGTGTTGTGTTCCAGGTGTTCTCTGACAGTTGTGTTGTTTTGACTTTGTGTTCGCAGGTACGTCCTAGACAACCAGTACACCAGCTCCAGTGGAGCCAAGTTCCCTGTGAAGTGGTCTCCTCCTGAAGTTCTCCACTACAGTAAATACAGCAGCAAGTCGGACGTCTGGTCCTTCGGTGAGGAACCACAGACTCACTCCACCATCTGCTCATTCTGGCTTTCTCTGTTCATCTAGAAGAACTGTGGTCGTACTGAGCAGAGGTTATGTGTATTAAGTATCTGTGTGTGTGTGTGTGTGTGTATGTGTGCGTGCTCACAGGTGTGGTGATGTGGGAGATCTACTCGGAGGGTCGGACTCCGTTTGAAAACAGATCCAACCTGGACGTAGTGAATGAAATCACCAGAGGAATCCGACTGTACCGACCACACCGAGCCTCACAGTCGCTCTACGCCATCATGTACCGCTGCTGGCACGAGGTACTCATTCATTCACTCATTCATTCATGAGTTACTCATTCATTCATCCATTTATTCATTCACTGACTCACTCTTTCATTAACCCATTCATTTATACATTCAGTCATCCATTTTTTCATTCACTTAATTACTCATTCATCCATTCATTCAGTCATTCTGTTATTCATTCATCCAATCATTCTTTCACTCACTCATCATTCACCAATGTATCCATTCACTCACTCACTCACTCACTCACTCACTCAACCATCCATTCGATCATTCACGTGCCCACATACTCACACTTTTACTCACCCATTCATCCGCCCACTCACTCATTAGTCTCCCCTTTAATTTATTCATTCATTCATCAACTCACTCATTGGTTAAGTCACTCACTCACTTATTGGTTTACCCGTTCATCATACATTCATCCAGTTATTCACTCATCCATTCCTCCATCCATTTATTCACTCATTCAGAATAGAATAGAAAGAACGTCATTTATCCCTGAATGGAAATTCAGCTGTCATTCATTCACTCACTCATTTCTTCACTCATTCATGCATTAATCCACTCACTTATTGGTTCATTCATTCATTACTTCATATATTCATACATCCACTCACTTATTGGTTAATTTATTCATCCATTCATTCATTCATTCATTCATTCACAAACTCATTAATTCACCCATTCACTTATTGGTTAATGCATTCATTCATTCATTCATTCAGTCAGTCAGTCAGTCAGTCAGTCAGTCATCCACTCACTTATTGGTTAATTTATTAATTCACTCATTCGTCACTCATCCATTCATTCACTTACTCATTCGCTCACTCACTCACTCACTCACTCACTCATTCATTCATCCACTCACTTATTGGTTAATTTATACATCCATCCACTCACTCACTTACTTATTGGTTGATTTATTAATTCACTCATTCATCACTCACCCATTCACTCACTCACTCACTCACTCACTCATTCATTCATTCATTCATCAACCCACTTATTGGTTAATTTATACATCCATCCACTCACTCACTCACTCACTCACTCACTTACTTACTTATTGGTTGATTTATTAATTCACTCACTCACTCACTCACTCACTCACTCACTCACTCACTCACTCATTCATCCACTCACTTATTGGTTAATTTATACATCCATCCATTCACTCATTCACAAGTATCAGGGACAAATCAGATGATTAAACGAAGTGTTCACACGTTCACAGTAATAATGTTGTCATCACTTGCCTGTTTCCTGTCTTTAACTACAACTTCACATCTTCTTCACCCTCCTCTTCTTCACCTCACACCCCCTCTGTTCTTCATCCATTCGTCTTCATCTTCATCTTCATCCTCTTCGGTGGTGGTGGTGTAGAAGCCTCAGGGTCGGCCATCTTTCTCAGAGCTCCTGGCGGAAATCAGGAAACTGGCAGAAAATCCAGATTAACACACACACACACACACACACACACACATAAATCATCATCATCATACTGCTGATTATCAAACTGTTTTTACTGTCGTCATAAATGTAAACAAACTGTTATTGTAAATAAATATTTTTTCATTAAAACTTTCAGATGACGTTCTTACACAGATGTTTTTTTTTTACCTTCACACAAACACACTGAAAATACAAAAACAAAATGTGATGTGAAAAGTCATGAGTCATGAATCATGTTATCTCATGGACGAACGCTGATCTTCACATGTGAACTTTGACTTTTCAGATGACATCATCTCTGTGACAGTGACATCACACTGAGGCTCTTTATATATGAATGTATATGCATATGTATATATGTATACCTTCATGATGATGATGATGATGATGATTCATGTAAGTCCTGTTCTATTACACTATGTTAGTTTTATCTACAATGGGAAGTTTAATTGTGAATGAGTGAAGGGAGCAGCAGTCCACCTGAAGTGTCAGCAGGTGGCGTCAGAGAGCTTTTGTCAGGTTTACCTTCCTCACAGGAGCCCAGTGTGTCAGAGCCACGTCAGAGTTTATATGACCGGAGTCACGGCTGTAAATTGAAGCTGTAAATCTCAGTGCCAGTTATAATTGCAGTAGAAAATAATAAAGGTCAGATGGAGGGAGATTAAACCCACATGTCACTCTTCCTACTGCTGTGCGGTCATTTGATTTTTGGAGTTTGATAATATTCTAATTTTTTAAGTTAATTTAATAATTAACACTTCTATGTTTATTTGTTTGTCAAGGATGGGATTGTGTTTTGTATTGTTTATTTAGTGTTGTTTATAGTCTAGTATAGAACTCCAGTGTGTGTAGTCTGACTTGTGTCTATGTGTAAAAACTGAAGTTAAAATTCAAATTAAACTTTAATCTTCAACTTAAAATACACAACAAACAGGACAAAGAACAGATGATATTTTCATACAAGGACAGAAAATCAAAAGAGGTGATGTCCTTTGTTTACAGCTCGTTTGCTAACTGCTAAATACATTTAGATTTTATAAAATGCAATTTATTCATTCATTCATTTGGTTTCAATAATAGCTAAACCTCATTTAAGTGACCTAATATTTAAATTACTTTAAAAAATAAATACCATAAAGCATTTTTTAAATTTATATATACATAAAATACTATTTTTTTCTATACTATTTTTTTTTAGAAAATTTAAACCTTTAAAATAAAATGCACTTATAGCACATAAAGTCTTTTTTTCTGACTTTTTTTTTTAAATTGAAGGACATGTAAATCATAGTGCTACAATTAAAACAATATTTTTTACTTTTGTTTGTATTGAAAACTTAATTCAGCAATACAATGTGCAAAAAAATGCCAGGTATAAAACGAAGAGCTGAAGTTGAACAAATAATAAAGTGAGAATGGAGATTAGAAAACAAAAACCAAATTAAAAAATTCAATTAAAAATATTCTACAAACGTGTCACTTGTTTTGTTCATCAGACCAGAGCAGCTCTGCACTGAGAAAATAAATGAATCAACGTCCACATGTGGAAATAATAACAGGATTCACTGGACAGACTGTACAACATGTGCATTACGTCACACGGTGTTTCAAACAAAATGCCTCCGCGGCAGGAGGTGTCACCATGGCAACGTGTTGGCTTACACACACGCGCGCAGGGGTCGAGTTGACTTCTCCGGTGACCGTGGGACAAAACACACACGCAAACAAACCGTTACTCCAGTGTTTACGCTGATAACGGAAGTTCAGCGCGGCGATCGAACCGTTAAAGGAGCTCAGCTGTAAGGTCAGTGTGTGTGTGTGTGTGTGTGTGTGTGTGTGTGTGTGTGTGTGGTGTTACTTTATTAACGGAAGTTTATCGGTGTTGGAAGGAGTCAGCTCTGTTAAAATACTAGTGGGCGACCACACTGTAAAGATACACTCACCGGCCACTTTATTAGGTACACCTGTTCAACTGCTCCTTAACACAATCAGCCAATCATGTGGCAGCAGCTCAGTGCATTTAGTCATGCAGACATGGTGAAGATGAGCTGCTGAAGTTCAAACTGAGCATCAGAAGGATGAAGAAAGGTGATTTAAGTGACTTTGAACGTGGCATGGTTGTTGGTGCCAGACGGGCTGCTCTGAGTATTTACTGGGATTTTCAGCGATTTTCACGCATAACCATCTCTAGGGTTTACAGAGGATGGTCCCAAAAAGAGAAAATATCCAGTGAGCCAAAATGCCTTGTTGATGCCAGAGGTCAGAGGAGAATGGCCAGACTGGTTCAAGATGATAGAAAGGCAACAAGAAGTCGAATAACCACTGGTTCCAACCAAGGTGTGCAGAAGACCATCTCTGAAGCAACAACACCTTGTCCAACCTTGAAGCAGATGGGCTACAGCAGCAGAAGACCACACCAGGTGCCACTCCTGTCAGCTAACAACAGGAAACTGAGGCTACAATTCACACGGGTTTTCTCACCAAAACTGGACAATAGAAGATTGGAAAAACCACATTCACATGAAAGCATGGATCCATCCTGCCTTGTATCAACGCTTCAGGCTGCTGCTGGTGGTGTAATGGTGTGGGGGAGATTTTCTTAGTACCAACTGAGCATGGTTTAAACACCACAGCCTACCTGAGTATTGTTGCTGAGCGTGTCCATCCCTTTATGACCACAGTGTACCCATCTTCTGATGGCTACTTCCAGCAGGATAACGCACCATGTCACAAAACTCACATCATCTCAAACAGGACAATGAGTTCACTGTACTCCAGTGGCCTCCACAGTCACCAGATCTCAGTCCAATAGAGCACCTTTGGGATGTGCTGGAACGGGAGATTCTCATCATGTATGTGTAGCCGACAAATCTGCATCAACTGTGTGATGTCATCATGTCAATATGGACCAAATTCTCTGAGGAATGTTTCCAGCTCCTTGTTGAATCTGTGACACCAAGAATTAAAAATGGAGTCCAACCTGGTACTAGCAAGGTGTACCTAATAAAGTGGCCGGTGAGTGTATGTCAGTGTAAACAGTAAAATGTAGTTAAAGTATTAATATTATATATCAATATAATATATTAGTCTTGTGTGTGATTTATCCTGGCTTCATATGAGTAGAGGAAATCTCCTCTCGTCTCTAGGCTAATTTATACAATGTAAAATGCCATACACACGTGCTAATAACGTTAGCATGTTGTATTTGTTTGGAAAACGTGTTTAGTATAAGACAGTTGTTTGTCAGTGAACCTTGTGAGCTGTAATGGAGTCGAATTTTGCAACAGTTACCTTTGTTAAATGTTGCTGTTGTCCCTGGCTTTATATGAGAAGAGGAAAAGTTTGCTAGCTGCTAGGCTAATTTATACAATGTAAAATGCCATAGGCTTGTGCTAAAAACATTAGCATGTTGTATTTGTGGGGAAAATGTGTCCAGATGAAGACAAGTGTTTGTCTGTGAATGCTTTGAGTTATAGTGAAGCTGATTTGTGTTCTTGTGTTTGAAACCGTCTCTATGAAGCTATGTTTAATGTGTGTTAAATGTGTGTTTTAAATCAACTAAACTCTACAGCACTTCAGATGTATATCGTGTATGGCCAGTCAGCTTGTAAATACTGATATGAATTTTTGTCCATATCACCCAGCCCTTGTCCAAGCCTCATCGTTATCACTAATGCGTTATAATTATTAACATTATTCAAAGGAAAAGCTGCAAATCGTCACATTTGATAAGCTGGAACCATCAAATGTTTTTAACTTAAGTAAGAGCTTCTTTTTATTACTTTCACTTTTCTTTTTTTTAACTGTCTTGAAATTTCTACATGTTTCTGTCTCTTTCTAAATTCAGTTAACCTCCTGGAGGCTGTGTTTGTTTGGGTGACGGTCAGATCAAAATCCCTATAACATTCACAGTAGATACTTATGTACTGTATTTTGAGTGATAGTAGTGATGTGTTGTTGTCCCTCCAGTGTTTAATGGAGCGTTATGAGTCTCTGGGTCTGGTCGGGGAGGGCAGTTACGGCACTGTGCTGAAGTGCCGTCACCGAGACTCCGGACGCCTCGTCGCCATCAAGAAGTTCGTGGACTCAGACGATGACAAGACGGTGAAGAAGATTGCCCTGAGGGAGATCAAGCTGCTGAAGGTATCTGTCAATCAATCAATCAGTCACTGAGCATCGGGTGGTCTGTATGAGCCTGAAACCTGAGTGAAGCAAAACACAAAGGCAGCCTGTCAATCACGAGACAAACCCAGAACAACTCAGAGTCATATTCTTGACATGAGAGGAAGGACTGGAAGACGAGACGTGTTGCCAGGATTTTTAAATGTATAGTCTCAGTCTTTAATGTAAGAGTCAACAGAACCAGAATTATCACCTCGCAGTTGTATACCTTCACAAACCTGTTGGTTTCCTCAAGTTGTTCTTGAGATATCTCTTTCATGAAAATGAGACACACAATGGAACAGTCACCTCGACCTTTGACCATCAAAGCCTAGTCAGTTCATCGATGAGTCTTATTGGACATTTGTGTCAAATACGAGGAAATTCAGTCAAGGCCTTCTTCAGATATCACGTTCACAAGAACGTGACTGAAGCAAGGTCACAATGGCCTTGACCTTTAACCATCAACCACTAAATTCTAATCAATTCATTCTTGAGTCCAAGTGGACATTTGTACCAAATATAAAGAAATTCCCTCAAGGCCTACGTTCACAAGAACGAGATGGACTCAAGGACATAGTGATTTTGGCGTTTAATGTGTGACCACCAAAATCTAATCAGTTCATCCTTGACTTAAAGTAGATTAACCTACCTAACCTAACCTAACCTAACCTAGATGTTTGTGTCAAATTTGAAAAAAATTCCGTCAAGGTGAGATATCACATTCATGAAAATGAGACAGACAAGGTCACAGTGACTATGACCTTTGACCACCAAAGTTGAATAAGTACATTTTTGATTGTAAGCATTGTTTTGCTAAATTTAAAGAAATTCCCTCAGACTTTTTATCGCACACTTATGAAACTAAAACAATTAAAGAAGTCATGAACTTCAAACCTTTATTTGGCACAAAGAGAAAAGCTCCATCAGGCTTCATCACCAGGTTTAGGCCAATTGGTACCAAGTAAAAGATGCTGTGATAAAACATTTGCCTCTCCGCTCTCATCTTTCTCACCATAAAGCAACTGCATCACGACAACCTGGTGAACCTTCTTGAAGTCTGGAAGCGTCGCCGCCGTTGGTATCTGGTTTTCGAGTTTGTGGAGCGAACCCTTCTGGATGACCTGGAGCAAAACCCCAGTGGACTGGACCTGAACACCAGCCGGCAGTACCTGTACCAGATCCTGAGGGCTGCTGCTTTCTGCCACCAGCAAAATGTGAGGACAAGCTCAGAGAAATTAACCACATCTTCTCCAGTATGGCTGACGGAGGAAGGATTAAACATTTTCCTGTGTTGTTATCATCCCTTTTTCTTCTTAGATCATCCACCGGGACATCAAACCAGAGAACATTCTCATCTCTCAGGGGGGTGTGGTTAAGATGTGCGACTTCGGCTTTGCCAGGACCATGACATCGCCAGCTGAGGGGGGCGTCTACACTGACTATGTGGCCACTCGCTGGTACAGAGCACCTGAACTGCTGGTGGGAGACACCAAGTACGGAAAGTAGGTGTTGACATGTACACCCGAGGATGTGTTAGTGTTTATTGTCTGTTGATAAAGATGCTAACGACTGTGTGTATGTGTCTGTGGTGTGTAGACCGGTAGATGTGTGGGCTGTTGGTTGTCTGTTATTAGAGATGTTAACAGGTCAGCCTCTCTTTCCTGGAGACTCCGACCTCGACCAAATCTACCACATTGTCAGGTGCTTTGGTAAGTACTGTATGTGTATTAGGGGGCTTTCACGCCTGCCCTGTTTGGTTTGATTCAATTGAATTCAAGTTTGTTTGCCCCCTAAGTGCGGTTTGTTTGAGCAGGTGTGAACACAGCAATCACATTCAGGTGTGCACCAAAACAACCAGACCAAGACCTTCTTGAAGAGGTGGTCTCAGTCCGGTTATAAACAAACTCTGATGCGGTTCATTTGTGTGAGAAGGTGTTCCGACCTGGATGTGAAGCAACTGCAGTCACATGACACATTGTTTGGGTTAAACATGAGCATGTTACAGTCCTGGAGGATTATTAATGCACCTCCTCCTGTACTGCCTTAATATGCACATTCAGCACATCCAATGCATCAAAACATTGTTTTCTAGTCGGAGCCGCGCCTCGTTTTCAAACTGTATGGTTTGACTAAAATGAACAATGACAGCAATATAGTCCACGATGAGCAGCGCTAAAATCAACCTGCGTAGTTGTTCCTCCATTGTGACATTAGAAAGTGTCACATTTATCTTGCAAGTGTACTCTTCTTCAATGTTTGCTTTACTTCCTGGATTTTTCCCACATGGAAATTCTGACCAATCAAGAGCAGCTTTCTCGCGCAAGCCATTTGATCAGGTCCTCTTGTAAATGCTGCTGTGAGAACATGAACCAACTCTAGGCAATTACGCAGTTATACAACTGGACCAAAGCAAGACGACTCAAGGTCTGAAAACAGCCTTAGAAACAAATGTGCAAAATATCTTCTTTAACTCTGTTAACTCAGTTGTTTTGGATTCTCCTAGGTAACCTGACAGCTCATCACCAGGAGATGTTCTACAGGAACCCCGTCTTCTCTGGAGTCAGACTGCCTGAATGTTCTGGAAAAGTCCCACTGGAGCAGCGCTTCCCTACAATCACACCCAGTGCTCTGGACCTGGCTCAGGTGCAGTTTAGTTACTTTACGGACTGGAATACCACAATACAAATATTTAAGATAACTTTACGTGATCAAATAAAAATATACATTATATCAATTTGACTTCAGCTTTTGACCAAAGGTTCTTACAATAAGTGCCTTCAGCTCCATAGCAACAAGAGCTAGATCAGATCAAATGACAAGTCTGTGACTTCAACTTAAAGTTTCTGATGGAGATTTTCCAAAGCCCTTAGTTTGCCATCTTGTTAGGTGTAGGAGGGCGAGATGACATGCGACATTTGATAGCTAGTTACCCAGCATATTTTGACTTTGTTTTGTCAGTCCATCTGAAAAGCTGAAAGTGAGGTCACATCATACAAACAGCAGTAGTAATCAAGGTACAGTAGTTGACACAATAGGAAATCATCTATTGACCATCTTTCATATTGGCACCAAAACTCAGCATCTTTGGTTCTCAAAATATGCCAGCTATGAATTTGGTATTGGTATTTCAATTCACTGTCAGATTCTAAGTTAGACATATAAAATCCAGTCATATCTTTGTGTTGTTTATTTCAGAACTGTCTCCAGATGGATCCAGAAAGACGAGCTGAGTGTTCAGAACTGCTAGAACATCCTCTGTTCACACAAGACTCTTTCCATATAAGGTATGTCTGTGTGTTTGAAGTTAACAAGTAGTTGTGTGTGATTTTTACAAAGTTCCAACAGATGCATCCACCAGAGCTTATTGTACACAAGATCTTGTCGAGTTTTGTCATAGCTTCAGTTCTGTCATTAGAATAAGCTTTGAACTGTGTTAGCCAGAGCAGTAGTCATACCACATCAAACCACCAGCATTTTGATTGTTGAGTAGCCACCATTTTTGCCTGTTTCTATACAGATTTTTGGATGAGCTGAATGCCAAGATCCAAAAAGACCACAGAGAAAATTCAACCCTTCCCAAAATAACCAAAACCCCAAGACGAGAAAGGAGCGAAGGGGATGACAAGAACTGGAGAAGCAAAGACAAGACTGCCGGTGAGAAAGTTAACAAGGAAAAGGAGAGGAAGGAAGAAGAGAAGATGATGAAAACAAAAGGAAAGCAACCTTCGAAGCTTTCTAAAAGTATTCGGAACACTTCAGAACCATTGATTTCCACCAAACAATCTAAAACGTTAGGCGCCAAGATTATTGATAATGCAGCAAAAACGACTGTGGCCATTAAAGGTAAAGCAGGAAAGGCCACTGGTGTGGATCTGAGAAAAGAACCTGAGATTTCTAAATCAATCAAGACCCTTAATTCTGATTTATTTGGGGCAGAAAAGCCTGATCTGAGGGATAACAACACAGTGGTAGCTAAACCTAAATATGGGAAAGTCGCTTCTCCAGAGAACATGGAAGATCATTTGAAAACTATGGATACAAAAGGCAGAGATTCTGGTTGCTTGCATTCTAGTTACCCCAACAACATTGTGTCAGGTGTGACCTACCAATCAGAGCCAAGTCAAGGCTTTGGGAAGAGCTTGAACAATTCAAACACAAAAGTACCCAACTTGTCTAAGAACTCAACCATTGACCATTCATATTGGAGTACATCACAGAAAGCCTCTTTGAAGTCAACCATTGATCATACAGACCCACACTTAACACAGAAAGTTAGTAAAAATTCCACTACAGAATGCCCTGAAGGTGCTTCAACAGTTGTAACTTCTAAAATATCAAACAGTGACCAAGTTGAGACAAGCATGACACTTCAATCATCACAACAGTCAAGCAATGACCACATCTATCCCCCAACTATCCCCTCTGACACCAAGCCATGCAAGACAACTACAACTCTGGAGCATCACACCAATTGCTCAGCGCCGGACAGAGAGCAAACAAGAACCTCTGAGTGTCCAAAAGTCTTAGCCTCAAATCCTAAGCCATCCAAGAATACCTCAAACTCGGTCCCCAAAATGACCAAAAACAACACATCTTTGTCCACCAGTCCCTCAAAGACTCTAACCTCAGATCATTCAAGGCAGTCCTCCACAGTCTTTATGGAGGCCAGTCCTGCCCACAGCACTGCAACACTACCTCAAGAAACCTCAACTTCAAAGGTGCCTAAAACATACTCATCATCAGATCCTAAACCCACAAATGACACCTGTGTACCTAACAAATCTTCAAGGGGTGCTCCAATAGACGGGGAACTTACAGAAGTATCTATTACAACCAAAAATCAGCAGGGTATCAATGAGGATCATGGGTGCTTGAGGATGAGCCCAGCTGCAAACCACTTTGAGATATCCAATGCTTCAGGTGGAGATTACAAAGAGAATCCTGGATCTTCAGAGCCCTCTAGTGTCCATCTGCAGAGCACTTCGAAATCCAAGATCATAACAGAATCCAGAACAACTTCAACATCCATGCCAAGTAATATACTTAAAACTACTATGTCACTAGAGGCCATTATTCCGAACACATTGACCGTCTCGGATAAAGAGAACAAAGAGGACTCAGAGCATTCTTTATCCATTAGTCCAACAACCAAGTCTTTAGTAAATCAAACCTCAAAGGTTTCTGGAATCTCAAATATTGAGCAAAAGAACAACAGCAGTGAAGCTGAACCGAACACAAAATCTGTGAAACCTCCTCATTTTAAATCTTTGACAGGCGAACCAAAAACAAAGCTTGGATCTTTTAGCAACCACACCAAGTCTACTGCAACAATGACCCTAAAGACTCAGAAAACTACTTTTCCTGTAGAGGCAAGAAAGAAAAGAGACAACCCAGAAAGGGACGGCACAGCAATTATATCCACTATCACAGATTCAACTTCATTCACCTCTGCAACGACTCCAGACCACAAAGTTTCATCAAGAAGCTCCATCTTTCACAACATGGACACTGCAGATGTTCATGAGTTTTCCCCCAGTGTACCCCATTCCTCTCCACCGCCTCCTCCTCCTCCTCCCTCTTCCACTCCTCTACTCCTCCCTCCATCCTCAACACCCTTTATCCCCCCCTTCTCTGTTGTCGAACCAGCCGCCGGAAATCACCTTTCCCCGGGGGCAGGTGTCCATCCTGGGACCCACAGCCATAGGTACTCCACTTTTCACTTTTCAGTACCATAAAGAACTGCACAAACGTTTCAAGCCTTTTAAGCACAGTTTTTGCAAGATTGTCATTTTCAGTTGACTCTGAGTTTGAGGTAGAATTTACCAGGGGTGACAATGTCATGTCATTGTCACAATGTCATTTAAATACTTGTCACCATTTTGTGGCTATTTCTTGTTGCTATTTTGCATAGAAGTAGCTAGCTAACTACATAGACAAATTTTCCACCCACAAAGCTCTCAACTGGACGATTGTCTTCCAGTTTCAATGACCACAACACCCAACCTATTTGAATCACTGAACAAATCCATGATGTGGCATTAATTTAGAGGTCTGGAACCAAGTTATAGATTATCAAATGGAAGCAAATATGCATTTCCAAGGGTAGCAAAGGCATGACACGCCCTACTTTACCCAAATTAGCATCAGGGAAACTGCTGTCAATGACCACAAAACCAAACCTTTTTGAATCACTCAACAAATCTCCAATGTGCCGTTAATTTAGAGGTCTGGAACCTTCCATATGGTAATTTATAGCTTAGTCTGGAACCAAGCTATAAATTATCAAATGGAAGCAAATATGAACTTCTAAGGGTAGTGAGGGCATGACACGCCCTACTTCACACTTTTCTGATTGGCTTGTACTTGCTGCCTTTATTGGAGAGGACTGAGATTGGTTAAGGTTCGGGAAAGAATATCAGCGTAAGCCAGTCAGAGTCTGAGTATGGCAGGTCATGCTGTCACTGTCCTAGGAAACCCAAATTTGCATCAGGGTTACTGCTGTTAATGACCACAACACCAAACCCTTTTGAATCACTCAACAAATCTGCAATGTGGCGTTAATTTAGAGGAACCAAGTTAAATTCTAAAAGAACAAAAGCACAACTTGACAAATTGGCCAGTGTTAAAAGTTCTTCTATTTGTTTGTTTACATTTTTCATGATTAATGATCTAACACCTAGCCAAAAAAGTTAGCTAAAGCTAGCTGGTTTTATTTGTAAAACTGTCTATGTCTCTACTGCTGTGCGTTGTAATTGTTCATTGACATACATTAATTATTTGGTAAGTTTCTATATTTTAGAACCAAACCATGCATGTGAAAATATTCCTGAACTGCGCCTAAATTTGTTTCATCCGTAAGGTTCATTGTTAATCAAATATTTTGTTGTAAATATATGCTAGAATGTGTAACTTTGTGTTTATCACAGGTGTTCAGACAAGTCCAGGCATCATGGTGGCATTTACAGTCGACTGTCTGGCCACATTACCGGATCCCTCGCTGCACAGGTAAACTCTGTGTGTGTGTGTGTGTGTGTGTGTGTGTGTTTAACTTGTTATACAACAGAATCACAATGAATGTGAATGTGCATGTAAAAGCCACTTAAGAACATATTTATATTTGGTAAAAATGCCTGTCTTGATATGACGTATCACATCTGATGATATTTAAAGTTTACACAACAGTTTCTGTATATTTTGAGTAGTGTATAGTAGTAGATTATGCTAAGGTTATTGTTAGAACCATTTTTAGCAAGTCCTAGTTTCCTTTTTTTTGAGTCATTTTAATGCACCACCTGACCTGGCACCTCAGGAACCTTTATTTAAAGGCAGGTGTACTCAAGCAAGTGTGAAGCGTGGAAGAAGCAATGGGGTTACAGTCTTTAACTGCTGTGTTTTTGGTTAATCTTAGTTTTTATTGTTTGATGAAGTCTTTACCCCATTGATTTGAATTTTGCTTTTGTAAAGGCCTGATTACACCGGGAATGTTTGTTAGGGGGTTTTCGTTTTCAACTTTTTCCCTGCCTCGTGTGAGTACTGTGGATCTTCACAAAAGGAGCAGGAAAACGAGTCAAAACTGAGATACCTTCAAGACGAAGTGGCCTAGGAACTTTGGTATGTTGACATGGCCGCTATAGTGTGCCTCCAAAGTTATTACTTTCTCCCCCTTCAGGTGTCAGAGAAGAGTCTGTCTGATCGCTGTAACCTTGGCAACAGCAGTGGCATTACAGCAACCAAAAAGAAGTCAGACATCCATTTCCCAGATCTGAGAAGCTCAGTGCTGCCAGAGCTCAGAGGAAGAGAAGGTATACAAACAGGCCTTAGTATAGCACCCACATATTAGCAAAACAAAAGAGAACATCTTTTAAAGTATCAGGCTCTGTCAAGGCCAATTAATAGGTAGTCTCTTTATGTTAACTTTAACTGTACCCACCCCCTTTATCTGAACAATGGTTTAGAAATTTCAAAAATGAGTAATGAAATGTTCATAGAGCTTGTTTACACCTGGTATTAACATGGGCCATCTCTTCAAGAAGGTATAGGTCTGGTTGTTTTGGTGCACATCTAAGTGCAATTGTTGTGTTCACACCTGCCCGAACGAACCGCACTTAGGGGGCAAACGAACTTGAGTTCAATAGAACCAAACAGGGCAGGTATTAAAGCACCCTGAGGTGATCCCATCACAAGTGGACAGCGCTAAATACAAATGTAGTCGTAAGGTGATCCGATTACTGGTTGGTGAGGCGGTCTGAAACACCACATATCTGTTGTAGTGTTAACGCTAATGTATTCAGATGTGTCCTTGACATCAGCTACATAATTAATGCAGAACGTGGTGATTGTTTTGATGACAGCATGCTAATGCTCTATAACTTGCCCATTTTACAACGACATACGAAATTTTGCGTGATCGTCCATCATTTTGCCCTGTGCCAGGAGACCTGTTGAATTCTGCCAACTGCTAAGGGGACTGGCGAGCATGCTAGGAAGCAGCTAGCGAGATCGTCTACATCATAACTGTGTCCGAGGCCCTTTGACCATCTAGTGTAAGTGACTTGGGCAGTCACGAAATCTGTATTCAGTTGGAGATGCATGATGGACATGAACGGCTGTCCACTTGTGTTCGGACAACTGAAACGCACGTTAATGCCAGGTGAACACAGGCTTAAGGTCTGGGTTTTAGAAAATGGGAAGTGCTGGCTGAAACTTCATTGCACAGAGAAAAACAAATTCAGAAATGTTGTAGCGCTCCCTTCAGGACATTCATTTTTGTACGCAAAAAAGAAAAGCATTTCAGGACTTTGCCTCCGAAACAATGACAAGCATAGTTTTCTTACATTTGCCATAAGTCCTTTCAGTGGCTTCTGAGTTATAGATAGATAAGACACAGACATAAAACATCCATTGCAAGTTAATTTTGATAACAGATTTTGTGGTCAACATGTAAAATGATGTATTTTTGTGGCTAGTTGCTACAAACAAATAAATATTCATACTTTCACCAATTTATTTATTCATACTTAGAACCAAACAATCGAACCAGGCTGTTGTCATGCACCATTCGTATGTTTCCTACGAAAAGTAATACACCAAAAGTTGTGCATATACAGTGCAATGTTGAGCCAGTAATTCATGCATAACCCACGTAACCTGCGATGACTTAATCAGTGCGCTGACAGGACTAAACAAGGAAGCAGTCCTGAGCTGCCCAGATTGGAGGCACGTTGGGGGGGTGGATTGGTCAAAAAAACACATGACTTTCCCCAGGAGACTGGTGTTCAGAACCATGTGAACTCTGAGTCATTTTAAGGTCCGTGCTCACCATGTTCCTTTTGCTAAACCCAACATAACTTTACATTAATTACATAAGTTAAGGAAGTAATGTCATTTGTGGGGTGCTAATATGTAGGATATAATACACACTGTTGTTTGAAGATAGGCTGATCAAACTGAAGGTAAATGAAGTGATAACTCCGATATTTTCTCAGGCAAACACAACAAAGGAATTTCGAAGGATCAGAGGAAAGACAAACAGCAAGTTCTTCCATCAGAACCACAGCAGCACGGACACAACAGCACTGAGACACAATCACCATAACGGACGCCCCTGTCAGACATGCACCTCTCTAGTTTAATGTGATGTCAACATGGACATAATTAGGCTGGTTATTTATCAAGAGGTAAGCCAAATAATGATGAAATGCAGGAATAGAATTATAAGTTTTGAGCATCTTTAATGAAAAAGAGACAAATGTTTCAGATTCCAGGTTTGTTTTGTTTAGTTAGCTACACCTTTTCAAAGCTGCAAACAGGATATTCATATGTGAATATTTTTTAAGTGGTTATTAAACAGTTTTACGTGGACATTTTAAGAATAAAGCTTTTAAAAAATGAAAATCGCTTGTGTGGGTTTATAGCAGCAGCTAAGCTAAAGGCTGTAAACTAACAAACTGTACATACATGTACATTTTCCTTGAACTCTGATAGCAACAACATACAAAATATTTACTGATATTACAACAACAATGCAGATAGCTACAACTTTTAGCCAGTAGTAAACCAACGAGGAACTGGTACAAAACTGTAATCTCTTTCACTTCCAGTTATTTTCATTAAAAACCAAAAATATGAAAATACCAATAAGATGAAAATATCATGATGTCATTTTAAGACTCGTCACTGGAGTCCTCTGAAGAAGACGAACCTATTTTCCATCTGTTCTTGTCCGTCCACCTTAGTCTTTTCAGAGGCGTTGCAGCTGACTCGTCGCTATCTGATGTCATAGCATAACCTCTTTGAGGCGGCCATCCCATTGGCTTGGAGAATATATTGTTATATATATACCGTGGGGGCGAATGAGCTGCGTGTGCTCTGTTAATGTTCAGGAGGTAGTGGAGGAGGCTGGCAACAGCGTTGGAGCGGCTGACAGTGACTGGTCGTGCTGGAGCTGGCTTTGGCCTGATGGGTGTTCTCGTGTTTTTGGATTCTGGTTTCCTTGGTGATGATGGGACAGCTGGCTTTTTGGTTGTGGTCACAACCTGCTGGAGGATTATACGCAAGAGATTAAAACAGAGCAAGAGAAGCTTATTTGTGAGACACGTTGCAAAGACATTCACTGGAGCAACATTTAAAACACAATGAGGAGAAAAGTAAAAGCATGTAAGCAAGCTAATGTTAGCATTTAGCTCAAGTTCAGCCTCAGGCCCTGATCATATAGAAAGTGTTTTCAGGTTGCAAAACATGAGGCATGCCGAAAAAAAATATGCTTGCTGCACCTTTTTATTGTCGTCAGGCAACCACACCATCAACTCCTTACGTGAACCTTCCCGTGTAATCAATCTACTGTTTAATTATGTTAATTATTTCACAATAATTAGTGTCTAGTTCCTAAAATGTTGTGGCAGAGGGTACTTGCTGTAGCTCTGGTTGAGGGTGAGAGGCTGTCAGTAAATAGTTTCTTGGGCATAGAGAAACTGAGATGTGTGCGGGTACGTGAGACCCTAAACAAGAGGTTGGGTCATGGGGAGTACCACCAGTTGGTCCAGGAGCTCCTCTTCCATGATGGCTTCTTTCAACTTGAGGAGTTCAGAGTTGTGAACTTCTAAGTGCTATATTGTAGACATCTGGACTTGCTTGAGTTTCTTTAAGACGTTTCATCTCCCATCCAAGAGGCTTCTTGAGTTCTTTGATGAGAGATGAAACGTCCTCAAGATACACAAACAAGTCCACTTGGATGACTGAGACTCTTCACCAACATACCTTCTTGGTGGTGGATGTGGTCGTGGTTGGTTTTGTGGTGGTTGTAGTTGTAGTTGTGGTGGTTGTAGTTGCAGGCGTGGTCGTGGTTGTTTTTTTGGTGGTTGTAGTTGTAGGTGTGGTTGTGGTGGTGAAGGGTGCAGGCGTGGTGACAAAGAAAATGCTGCAGATGTCCACGGCAGAACCATCGACCTCTGGAGGCTCAAACTCTGATGGAGAGAGATTAAAGGCATGTTGATTAATTTTCAGCTTTTAATATCACTGTCAATCAGTGGAGTGTACAAAGGGATGTGTCAACTATAGAAATTAGAATCAGTACTGTTAGTGACCAAAAATATCCGAACATCAGAAACCAGTTGTCTAAGAATCAGAAAAGGATTTTTTGACAAGTAGGTTTTCACTTTACAGAAAACTATGAAGTTTATCAGTTTAATATTTAAATATCTTATATTTGTACTGTATTCAGCTGAATATAGGTAAAAAAAAACCCAAACAAATATTGCTTTCTGTTTTTATTTACGTTTTGGCGTCCCAACTTGTTTGGACTTGGGGTTGTATATTAAATAAAACTATTTCATGTTTATTATGTTATGTAGGCTAATTTTTCTAGTAATGTCCAGTAATTGATTAGGTTGCCTGTGTTTTCTTTTCATATGAGGGAGCTACATAACATCACGCAAAAAAGTTGAAATATTTTAATTTTCAAAAGCAATGCTGTCTGCTGTTACAGTTGCCGGTATTCTCTGCTGGCCTGACCTGACACTGTCGTACTGTTCTCATCCATTGGCATGATATCCGGTTTGTTGTCTACCGTCAATGTGAACTTCTTCATGTATGCCCATATAAATCAAACAAAAGTCAAACTTACCTCTACGGAGAATTGGCTTTTGAAAGTGATGTACTGTTTGCCTCTCTAATCCCATCATTTTTGGAGGTTATGTTACAGTTAAGCCATGTTTCCACCAAACACTTTCAGTATGTTGATGAATTGTCTTACTGACCATATTTGCTCTTTAAAAACCTTTGCATCCCTTTTTTTACAGGTGTTTACACCATGTAACAGTGAACCTTTTATTTATCTTTACTGGGGTCAACAGGTGTTGTTGCCTTTACCTGTCTGTGAACACCAAGGTGTCTGTGCTGCTATCTGATCTGTTAGTCTGTGTTGCATATTTCATGATGACAGGTCTAAGGTGTGTTTTTCCTTTTGTTTGCAGTTAAGCTATGATGCAGAGAACATGCTTTAGAAGCAAGCTCTGTGTTCCAAGACAATCACAGAGGTCAAACTGGCATTTTTTTTAAAACATGCACTGCAAATATAAAAATGGTTGTGTTCAGTAAAGTTTCCTCAGATGAAGATGAGCATGTTAATACTTACCTTGAGTCAAGTCGACGTTCTGAACTCTGAGGAAGAGGAGGAAAAGGAAGGGCAGAGCTGTGGGCCTGCAGGACATCATGTTGGCGAACAGAAATAACAGAACAAATTAAAAATTTTGAAGAGGGCAAAGATATTAAAACTGGAGAAGGATTATAGCTGGTATGAAGAAGAGTTGGAGGAGGACAGACTGCAGACTGACTGAAGAAGACTGAGATGATGAAAGTGATAGAATAAAAAAGGGAGGGAATATGAGGAGGGAGGAGAGATGAAGGGAAATGATGGATAACGTCTAGACGGTAAAGTTCGTCTGAGCAGATCTGACAGGGTTTGTGGTTCTGAGTTGCAACAGGGAAGACTTACGGAGACACGTCCACTAACCTCAGCTACACCCTGATTTACAGATGTTTCACACTGTGTTCACTTCACTTGATTTGCAGCTTAATGAGAACAGTTAGATTTACCACTAAACATGAGTCATTTTTAAAACAATGGTTCCTTTATTTCACACAGAGGTAGACAAACAGTTCCTCAGCCAAAATCACAACTGTAGCAGATTGTATCAGATGTAGCTAGCTAGCTAATTAAGCTAACGTTCATTTGCTTTATTTGCTTCAACCGACTTTTTCATGTTTTAAAACAAGACGCCAGTTACTTCTGGTCATAAGGTAGTTAGCCAAAAGTGCAAACTATAGCTTCAACATTTGAGAGAAAGCCAAAGGTTTACAGGCCTGCTGTGCTTGGTTATTGTTACTTAGCTATGATTGGACAGTTGCTGTTGTTATCTATTATTAAATTCACACGATTGCCCCTTGAAGTCTCAACAACAACAGCAATTTGGAAAGCAGTGAAAATTTTGGTACACAATTCTAACATCACGTTGGTTGTAGTTGCTATCCACATAAAGTGATCTAGATTAATTCGAAAAGTTAATTTTTAGCATTAACTTTGATAATAAGTCAGGTTAAGTAATATTTTAGTGGTTTTAGGAAATGAGTTACAAGCTTTAAGCTCATGAGTGCACCAAAGACAGAGGAACGACTTACAGACTTGTGAAATAGGACCATAGGAGCACATGAATGCAGCATAGGCCGAAATGTTGTGTAGCTAACTGAACCAACTGACGGAGCTAACGTTAGCTAACTGAACCAACGGACAAAGCTAATATTGCTAACTGAACTAACTGACAAAGCTTACGCAAGCTTGCTAATATTTAACCCCTTAAGACTAACATGATGAAAATGACAGAATGCTATTACTGATAATTTAAACTGGGAAGATTTTGAATTACACTTAACAAAAATAATACAACATACCTCAAAACATACCCCAGCATAAGACTAAATGTTGTATAGCTAACTGAACCAAGTGACAAAGCTATTAGCTAACTGAACCAAGTGACAAAGCTAACATTAGCTAACTAAACTAACTGACAAAGCTAACGTAAGCTAACTGAACCAACTGACAAAGCTAACCAACTGACAAAGCTATCGTTAGCTTGCTAATATCTGACCCATTGCTTTTCCAAAACAACAATAGCGTAATTGCCAAAATTGCACTATTCCTACTCAGGGAAAGGGTTTAGCAAACTTATGCAAACTCCTGGTTCAGTTGTTTGAATTTTTTTTTAGCTACCACATCCTTTTTTTGCTTTGCAAAGCAATCCGGTGAAACTACTTTTAGCTAAAAAGCATAATATACTGTGTTGCTGACAGCTGGTCTTCTTATTTGTTTAGACATAGCTCATGTCAGTGAACAAAGAGTTAGTCAGTTGTGTTCTTTGCTGTCTGAGGTTGAATGGAAGACGGTGACGAGCCAGACAAGTCTGTGCTTTAAATGCTTTTCTCCCTCTGACATCAGTTGAAACAGACAAAGAGACGTCACTTCTTCCACTTGGAGTTTCCCTGCCAGGTTTTCCTAATCTGTTTTGCCGTCTTACTAAACCTCATAACAGATTGTGTAATTTTATTCCCGCAGAGATCAGTGAAGCATTAAATCTTCTTTTGATCTCTGAAAGGTGATTACCAGTAGAAGTGTGACGCAAAGAGAAATCATCACCACAGTGTGGTGTTTCAGTTTATCTAGGATCCAGTCTAGACTTGAGTTATCTTGCAAACATCGGATATTTTGATATCCTGTACTTATCAAGGTGCTTGCACATACATGAATGTCATTTTTCTGCTACTTTATGCTTCTACGCTACAAGTCAGAGAGAAATTATACCACTTACATAAAAACATTTTTCACAGTTGAAGTTAATTTGCAAACTAAAATTTAACAGGCAACATGACAGTTTGTAAACTATGATGCACAAAATTTGTTTGATTAATTAAAATCTGAAACCCCTTTCACACTGCCTGTTCAAGGCGGGAATGCATCGCCGTTATCCCCCTCGCCGGTTTTTATAAAAGATACAGTCATGGAACAGGAGGACAGAGCTTTCTCACGTTTAAGCTGGCAGCCAAGACAATAACAGCACATGTTCGATGTCAGTGTAAAAGAGACAGCCTGCAGGACGGGACCACGGACAGGATGGGCGAGGCGTTTTGATGACTTGTCATGTGTGCTACCCTCTGTCGGGAGACTTAAAAAACAGCAAGAAGCAGTTAGCAGCTAACTCAAAGCAGGAGAGCAGTGGCCGAAAGGTTCTGCAAATTGGGGAGACAATGAGGTCCTTGAACCCTCTGAGTAGAGGACAAGATCAGCCACCATATAGAGAAATGTTAAATGATTGTTATTCCATTGTTATTGTTTATAAAGCGCTGTTGATGCATACGTTATATGTCACACTAGAGGCTGACATGTCTTGCGCTTCATGCTTCTTTTGCCTCCGTGATGCCGGCACGCTGTCTAAGGCTGCTTTTAGTCCAAGAGTTGTCTTGCTTTGGTCCGAATCAGGGACTAATTTTGTTCCAAAGTTGTATAATTGCCTGGAGTTGGTTCGTGTTCTCACGGCAGCATTTACAAGAGGACCAGATCAAATGCCTTGAGCGAGAAAGCTGCTCTTGATTGGTCCGAATTTCCATGTGGGAAAAATCCAAAGCAAACGTTGAAGAAGAGTACACTTGCAAGATAAATGTGACACTTTTTAATGTCACAATGGAGGGACAACTACGCAGGTTGATTTTAGCGCTGCTCATCGTGGACTATATTGCTGTCATTGTTCATTTTAGTCAAACCATACAGTTTGAAATCGAGGCACGGCTCGAACTCCATCATTTGTAACCGGTCAGAGACCACCTCTTCAAGAAGGTCTCGGTCTGGTTGTTTTGGTGCACACCCGAGTGCGATTGCTGTGTTCACGGACGAACTGCACTTTGGGGGAAAGGAACTTGAGTTCGATTGAACCAAACAGGGCAGGTGACAAAGTCTGGCAGTACTGATCGATTACTCCAACCGACTTGTTTCAAGTACTTTTTTAAATTAAACTTTTTCTATTTCTAGTGTAGCAAACTGTCTAATTCTTCGTTGGTACTTTTACTTTTGATACTTGAAGTACATTTTGCTGATAATATTTACAGTATGTTTACTAAAGTAAGATTATGAATGCAGGACTGTTACTTGTAATGAACCCTTTTCAAAGTGTGGTACAACCACTTTTACTTTAATTAAGGCTCTGAATACCTTTTTTTCTTCTTCCACTGAATTTATGTGACATTTTAACCCCAGCCCCATTAATTAAAAGCAAAATATAAACATCTCACAGCCATAAACCCAAAGGTTTCTTATCTTTCCCCTCAGTAGTCTGCATATTCATCTTTTCTTCAGCTCTTAAAATGACCATTTGATTTCGTCTGTTTCTTTTGCTTTTATTTCATCGGTGCCTTGCTCAAAGGCACATTCAACAGTTCATGGAGATATTGACTCATTCACTACCCACACCAAGATTTCTCCTAACACTGACACCACAACCCAGGTGTGTTACCTGTATCCCTCCAGCCATTACTGATGTTACACAACTGGAACTAGAGATTTCATCACACACACACACACACACACACACACACACACTGTGACTGCTTATATATCCATGGTTGCTATGGAAGTGTCTGCTTACATACACACCTACTGTAGTCAACCGTAATGCTCTAATCTTGTGTGTGTGTTCATGAGCCTCTCCTATTATCTTGTCATATCTAAACAAAAGGCACTTTGTGTTTTTAAACTCTTCAGATGGAAACGTCATTCGGTCCACCTCTTTGGTCCAGACTGAAATATCTCAAAAGCTATTGGATGGATTGGCATGAATTTTGGTGCAGGTATTCTGGTTTCTTCAAAGAATCCTGAAGACTTTGGGGATCCTTTGACTTTTCCTGTAGCGCCACCATAAGGTGAAGTGTCATAGTTTACAGTGAAATATCTCAACTATTGGATGGGACCATGAAATTTGGTTCAGACAGTCATGTTACCCTCTGGAATGACTTTCCCACCAGCCTCAGTGAGGGCTAGGCGATATGGCAAAAAATACTATCACGATAATTTTCCTTGTATTGATTGATATCGATATTTGATTCGATATATGATTTGATAATTTGATGCTTCCCACGGCACTCATCGTAAAGCTGGGGCAGAGAAGTTTGAAAATTATATTTCCTGCCCGGGAGCTCGTACCTGCAGTCTTGGCGCTTTAATTAATTTCTTGAAGCCGTCTTTCTGGCGCTAGACAGTATGACAGTGCATCTGTTATATCGCTGTACCTTTCCCATCGCTTCTCATACGGGGTTATAGTGGCAAAAATGGACACAATTGATTGCTGTTTTCCACAGCAGCAGAAGTGCTCAGCCATTGAGCAACACTTGTTGTAGGACTTACTGCAGTTTTGGCCTGGATTTTCATGCTCAGTGTAGTCGCTGGGATGCCACCTTTTCAGGCGATGGAAAACACTGGTGGTCTGACAATACTGAGTAAAAATGATGATAGTTTATCATCGCCATCGACATACATTTTATTGCGATCCAGTTTCGAGATCGTTTTAGCGCCCAGCCTTATGTATCAGTTGTACTTTAAGTGCTGATTAGCAGACACAGTGAACAATACACCTGCTAAACATGAGCATGATAGCATTCTGTCGTTAGCATTTAGCTTCAAGTACAGCTGTAGACTCAGATCGTTACACACCGGTGTGAAGAATAAATTACACAAATATTTCATAGCAAAACTATTCATACTGGCAGCAATGCAAATTCGTGATAGTTTCAGCAGGTCCGCCATTGTCCTGATGTTGTGACACAGCGCGTCGTGCGAAAGCTCAGAAGAACTGACCTTGTTCCAGAAAAAAATAATTGCATAATATTTGTGTCCTGAACTAAAGCACTAAAGTGGTTTCCAAGAATAAAATCAAAAGTAATTTATAAAACTGGCTGAAATTTAAAAAAGAATAAAAAAAAAAAGATTCAGAATGCAAATTCACTATTTTATTTTTTACAAAATCATAAATATAATATTCTTGTATTTGTGTGAACATTTTTTTTTACTTTTTTGGCTCTGAACTTTAAAGTGCAAAAATCATGATACAGTTTATTAGTAGTTACTACACTGAAGGGCTCTGGGGTTAGTAAGGAGTAAATAAATAATTAATTAATCTGTGCCATAACAGCTCCGTAAACAACAAATGACAAACAAATCATCAGTATTGATCTGGAGGATTACTGTGTCATGTTTTATCACATGAATCAACTGCAGATGATACACACAAACAAAAAAATAGAAACCATCTGCAAAAAAATGTGAGATGTACGAACACAGTCTTGAGCTGCACTTCTTTCTTGTGTTAAACTACAACAGTGACGATGATGATGATGATGATGGTGATGAAGGTCTAGGTGAACTTCTTGATGAAGCGCAGTTTGAGATAAGCGATGGTGAGGAAGCTGATGGTCATGATGCCCAGAGCCATGTGGTTCTGCCAGAAGCCCCAGGTGGAGAAATCTACACCCTGCTCCTCCAGAAATTCCTCCCCAGTACACCTGGAAACACGACATCATCAGTGAGTGACAAACACATTATGTGACATTAAGGTTTAACCGAGAAAATTAATTCACAAATTAATTAAACTGGTCCATACCCACTGAGTAAAGCATACCATACCATGAGTTAGTTATACCAAAAATTAGGGGAAAAAAACAAACATTCCGCCACAGGGGGAGCCACAGCAATTGGTTGCATTTTTCTGTTGTTATAGCGCCACCCAGTTGCCAATTAGAGTCAAATTTCTCCAGTCACCTTGAGGCATCCTGTTCTACATATCTACCAAGTTTAGTAAAAATCTATATGGCGGTTAGGCCTAGATAAGAATTTAGCTCTCTAGCGCCCCCATTTTGTTTGATGGGGTCATTAATGGAGGGGTCCCCTCAGATTATGTGTGGTCATATGCCTACAAAGTTGCGTGGTGATGGGTGAAACCCTTGAGATGTTATACACCTTTATGTGATGAGCCACGCCCTCTGCAATATTCATTGCCTTATAGAAGCTCAGTTTTAGTAAGTTTTCCAACTTTTGCCAAGAGGGAACTTTAGATATTGGTCCCTAGATTATGTTCACCCAGTTTCATGCAGGGCGTCGCTAACGTCGGCCCGCAGGAAAACATCATCCCTAGTGTGCTGTGCTGTAAGATGATGAAGTAATTTCCAAATGTGAAGCAACTTCGTATCATGTTGCCAATGGTCTACATAGTAACACTGATCGTACCATTATTGAAATTTATTTTCCAGCATTTTATCAACGTGATGTCGGTCAATCATGTTCAATCTCTTGTTTTGGCCAATTCTCAGGTGCTCGCTCACACCTACTGGGTACAAGCACCAGAGGATGCTCAGAGAGAGGCGTCACTAAAAACAAGGATTTTCTGAAGGTTGCAAACAGAACCTTTATGTCTCGTACATCAATGACATCACTTTACAATGAGGCATATATATTGGTACTTACGCGCGCTCAGGTGTGTAATTCGACACGTGACAGAACTTCAGTCCTTTAAACTCATTAATCTGCAGAGCCTGGAGAGAGACAGAGGTCTTTATTAACACCATCATACTCTCATATTATCTTTTTAAATTTACAGAGATCCAAAGATTCGTGCAGTGTTTGTGCAGAAAATGGTTTGTCAAGTCCTGCCTTGTGTTCTGTGAGCGGAAAATGAAAAAACATGGAAGGCGCTTTGCACTGTGCATTACGAACATTACAGAGTACCCTACAAAACACTAAATAAAAGTTATCAAACAACAGACCTTTAGGAAATGTGCCTGATTATTATGACATTTTCACATAGTTGTGTATAATAACAACTTCAATGAAAAGTTTATTTGATTAGTATTCCTGGTGCCAACGAGCGTTGGCGGTAACGTGAAATCGACTCCACAGAAGAAAGGAAACACAGGAACATCATAAGCAACAGCTACAAGAAATAAAGGTGTGTGTGTATGTGTGTGTGAGACAGAGAGTGTGTACATACACTGAGGCCGTATCGTGGTATACTGAAGTACTTCAACCAAGCGAGCCAGTTGACGATTGAGGGAAGATTCACGAGTAAACCTGCAAAGATCTGCAGAAAAACAGGTTTACAGGTAAGTGTTCGCATGTCTTATGGTTACAAGATTAAAACAGAGGTCATAATTATTCTGATTTTTAAAGTGAAATCTGCCTTCACTTTTGCTCTTTATTCCAAACTACAACTTTTCTCACGTAGAAATAGAACAAGATTTAATAGTAAACATTAATAATGCCACATTAGTATGAAACGGATAAAAAGGATTGATATCTTTATAGAAAATTACACTCCCTTTCCATTTCTATCTTTGATTGCTTATCTTGGTCTTTGCCTCGGAAACACTCAGTAACAGTGTTTGTTTTTTAAAGTGCTATATGTGTAAACATGTATTCTTAGAGTTGCATCTCTTATGTACGCTGCAGACGTTAGCATGTCAGACTTAGGTGGAATTTATACTTCTGCTTTGAATCGATGCCACTTTTGTGGAGTTAAAGGTGTTTTTTTTCTTTACCACCTTACAGTTAGCATTATTTAGCTAGCTACAGTAGCTAATTAGCTAGCCAGCGGCAGTTGTCATTTCAGCTACAAAATTGATCGCTGGCTATAAACGAGAAGCTAGAAATGAATTTCAATGATAAACCGTATGTGTTGTGAGAATGGTACGATTGTCCAGCTTGGCGATTGATTGATGAATTGCATGTTAAAGTGCTTTTTGCTGCTGTGTTTTGATGTGTGTGTGTGTCACCATCATGAAGACGCAGGCGATGGTCATGAAGATGTTGGCGATGGCCACCACAGTCTGGTCGGCGGAGATGGCCAGAGCCATGGCGGTGGCGGTGTAGGCAACCAGAGCCACAGTGAACATGAACAAGAAGAACGCTTCAACTGTCGGCTTCAGACCTGTGCGAGCAAACAATCAGAGGACCAAGGATTTAACCTAACCAAACCTAATGTTGTCAAATAATTTGTCAAAACAAATAATTTCTCAGCAATTAATATATATAAAAAAATATTATATATATATTAAATTAAATCCAGAGCATAAGAACAATAACAATTTGAAACTGCTGCACACCAAAACATAGAAAGTTACTTTTGTGATCACATTTTAATAAAAGTAAATGTAGGGTTTTTATTACTAACTCAATTTTATGGATTTATTTTTTTCATAAAAATAATTATTTCCAACTTCGATGTACTGTGGACGGCCTGAATTGTTTGCACTTCGCTCCTACCAGAATTTTAAGCCAAAGCAGCACTTTGTAAATACTCTAAAGCTGTCACAAGAAATTAAACTACGATTTTTCAATTGAAGAAAAAATAAACCCAAACTTTAAAAATCCCAGGAGAATGGAAAAAAAAAACCAAAACAAACAAAAAACTGATTTTGGAACACTAATAAAAAGAGCAATGTCGAAAATATAATTGGGGGGTGTGTCAATCATTTTGTCTATAAAGTGTATGTACAAAAATTGGAAAAATTCCCATTCCTAAAGTAGTTTCATTTGTTCAACCTACAGTCTAAAGCTCTAAAATAAAAGATGGAACATGGAACCAAAAAATGTTCTTGTTAAATTACTGAAACGATCACTTGATTACTTAAATTTTTGACGATTAATTTTTGGTCATAAATTTAGTATAAACAAAGCTCAGAACATAGCATAGTGTATAAATTTGTATATGAAAATACATTTAGAGCTGCAACTATCACTTAAATTTTCAATTTATCTGTTGAATATTTTTTCGGGATGTATCAGTTAGTTGTTTAATCTGTTAAAAAGATATAAATATAGTGAAAAATGCCCGTTACAAGCTTCAAGAGCTGAAGGGTCAAACAGTTCATTTTATCTGACCAACAGTTTACAATTTACAATATATATATTATAAAATGTAATTAATATAAAATATGAATAAATTGATTATAATTTTCATGTTTAAAGTTCCTGTTATTAATATAGTGTAATCAAAGCTCAGAGCACAGTGTGTGTCCTCCTACTCACCAATCATGAAGTACGCCACGCAGCTGAAGACTATGGCGGGGATGGTCCTCAGCGTGATGATGTCAGACAGGATCTTACACAGGAAGTACACAGATAGCCGGTAGTAGCCGCTGATATACTCGTGACTGATGGGAGAAAAATACGTCAAAATTTTATCAATAAACCTCATCAAGTAGTATTAGCTTTTGGATTATTCATTCATTCATTCAACGACACTGGAAAACAAATAGGCACAGATACACAAAAATGTTAAATATGTGTGCGTGTGTGCACTCGTGGGAACTTGTGTACCATATGGGGACAAAATTCAGGTCCCCACAAGGGTAACATTTATTTTTAATTTGAAGGAGCCATACATTTTTGGAAGTATGCATCTTAACTTTTTTCAGACAGCAAGATGAGATATCGGTCTCATATTTGTGTACAGAGTCAGGGCATTAGCTTAGCTTAGCATAAACACTAAAAACACAGTGAAACTAGCAGGTAACTCCCTGTAACCTCAAATTGTGCTTTAATAGTTCTGTTTATACACCAGTTCAACCAATTAGATAAACTGTGTGAATACATCAAGTGAAGAAAATTTTGGACTGAGCCAGACTAGCTGTTTACCCTCGTTTCCAGTCTTAATGCTAAGATAAGCTAACCTCATTCCCGCAACAACAACAACAAAGAAAGACAGTGCTGTTGATCCCTTTTACTCTTAAGCAGGATTTATCTTTCTGCATTGTATTGACGCCGTACCCTACGCCATAGCCTGATGTGCACCTCCCCAGAAATGTAGCTACACATTGCGGTGACGCAGACCTGTATATTTTTGTAAGCTGAAACCATTTCCCTCAGTGGAAACGAAGCTTTGAGGCTTGTGCTAATAACGTTAGCATGTTGTATTTGTTTGGAAAACGTGTTTAGTATAAGACAGTTGTTTTGTCAGTGAATCTTGTGAGCTGTAATGGAGCTGAGTTTTGTAACGTTACCTTTGTTAAATGTTGCTGTTGTCCCTGGCTTCATATGAGCAGAGGAAAAGTCTGCTAGCTGCTAGGCTAATTTATACAATGTAAAATGCCATAGGCTTGTGCTAAAAACATTAGCATGTTGTATTTGTAGGGAAAATGTGTCCAGATAAAGACAAGTGTTTGTCTGTGAATGCTGCGAGTTATAGTGAAGCTGATTTGTGTACTTGTGTTTGAAATTGTTTCTATTAAGCCATGTTTAATGTGTGTTTAATGTGTGTTTAATGCCAAACAAAAAAAAAAAACAAATCCTATCTGTTGCCTCTTTAAACAACTTAAAGATTAAAGTTTTAGGGGGGATTCATGGAAATCAATATAATGTCCTCATAAGTATGTGTGTACTATTGTGTTAAACCCACATGAAGAGTTTCCTCTCTGAGATGAAGAGTTCAGCAGATGACAGCGAGCTGAAACACTGATTCACAGTGATGAAGAAGAGAGCGCCAAACCTAGAAACACAACCACAAACTCCTCAATACACAGACAGATAAATGAGCAGTTAAACCAGAGATATTGGATGAAGCGAGATACCCAACTCAGCTCACTTCCTGATTCAGTGACATCAGCACCACGCCCCCGTAGGAGACTTGGCAGCTCTGAATGTATTGTCATCAATGAGGAAAATGAACGTGATCACAATTTATGGTCAGTTCTTTCGCCCTGTAGTCACAAAAGTAAATATTGGGTTCATTTTCCACAAGCCACACATCTTCCCAATATTCTGGAGACGGAGAACAGGCTCTGATTGGAGGGAGAGCTAACCACGCCCACTTAGGAGACAGGAACAGTAACCGTTTTCTTAACATTGGATAAGCCTACAGTTGGGTATCGCCCTTCATCCAATATCTCTGGTTAAACCCAGCACAATATGCACAGTGTAGAAGTGAAAACTTGCGCACACCATCCTCTTCGTTTTAAAACACTGTACTGATCTTTTCCATTTAAAAAATCTTTATTTCAAATTTCTCTTTTGTTTTATTTTATTCAATATTAATTAATTTATTTACTTTAAATGCATCAATGCCCATATGTATTACCCCTGTCAAATAAATAAAAAATAATATTTGTATATTTCCAATTCTTCACCTTTGCGATGCTTTTTTTCGTTTTGCACCAAAATACCAACCTATTTTTTTTGTATGTAAAAACTTACTATGTACTAACCTTGATGCTGATCCTTGTGCTGCTTCTGCTCATAGTTTTACTGCATGTATGATTTTACTGCCACAACAATACCACTGCTTGTTTCCACTAATGAAACAACGACTACGATGGCTGCTGCTAACTTTTAAAAAGGAAAACTAAATTTACAAGCTGATGAAGGCAGTGGCACCAAATACTGAATTGTATGGAATTAATCAAACCAGAATAAAACATTACAAAATACCTGTTCTGTATTCCACTTGGATCCTCCTTGACATCAAAGAAAATAGCTCCTACGACCAGAGCGAGGAACAAGGTCACTGCTACCTGCACAGAAAAAAAAAAACTTGGTATAAGCGTGGTAAACATACCATAAACAAACCACAACAACTGAGTGTTGAATTTTAGACGAAGATTTTGGGAGGCATGCTAATTCTATTCTGGTGGAGTGTAAGAAAAGAAATTTGATCTACCTCATAAAACAATGACTGACTGACTGACTTTAAAATGTAACGTGTTAATTGGTGAGCTTAAGATGTGTTGGTGGGCAGATTTTGTTCCCTTTAGACAGAGCCAGGCTAGCTGTTTCCCCCTGTTTCCAGTCTTTAGGCTAAGCTAAGCTAACTGCATCCTGATTCCACCATAAAGACATGAGATTCTCAGGCTCTGTCTACATGTATACAGATATTTTTGTAAATATTTCCTCTGCGTTTTGGCCTCTCATCCACGTGCAAAAAGAGTTTAAGGTTTCGTAGGTGAAGATTTATCGGAGCTCAGGTTATCGTTAATGTGTGTAGACGTGTAAAACTGAGCATTTAGGAAACAATGACATCATCTTCTTATTACACGCATGTCCCTTTTTAATTTGTGTGATGAACGTAGGCTAGAAACAACAGCTAACTATTGGTTTTCTGACATTTTGTTCACACTGTTTGGTCTGATGACAACTTTACACCACTTCGCCAGTGTTTTTGCACCACCTCAGCATCCACGGTTTTAAGTCTGCCTGCATGAACCGATGGTTTTGGATCAGGAGCGGTTGAACCAGCAGATGACCGGACACTTTCCAGAGTGGGATTGTTAGTGAGCCCTTTCATCTACTTCTGCATTGATTTGATGCTGAACCTATGCTGTATACTGACGTACACCTCCCCAGAAATGTAACGTCGCAGCGACGCAGACCTCCTGTCCTCCTGACCTCCTGTCAGACCTCCATTTCCCTCAGTGGAAACAAAACTTTATTTACTTTAATTTCACAGATAAGAAACAATAAATTGTGAAGACAATAAAGTCTCCACAAAAATAGCATTTTAAGTCTTGTGTGTGATTTATCCTGGTAGAGGAGTAGAGGAAATCTCCGCTAGTCGCTAGGCTAATTTATACAATGTAAAATGCCATAGGCTTGTGCTAATAACGTTAGCATTTGTATTTGTTTGGAAAATGTGTTTAGTATAAGACAGTTGTTTTGTCGGTGAATGTTGTGAGCTGTAATGGAGCTGATTTTTGTAATGTTACCTTTGTTAAATGTTGCTGTTGTCCCTGGCTTCATATGAGTAGAGGAAATCTCGGCTAGCTGCTAGACTAATTTATACAATGTAAAATGCCATAGACTTGTGCTAATAACGTTAGCATGTTGTATTTGTAGGGAAAATGTGTCCAGATAAAGACAAGTGTTTGTCTGTGAATTCTGCAAGTTATAGTGAAGCTGATTTGTGTACTTGTGTTTGAAACTGTCTCTATTAAGCCATGTTTAATGTGTGTTTAATGTGTGTAATATAAATCCACCTTTACTTTGAAGGGTAATCAACGGTGATGAGATCTCAAGTTGACACTCACCATTGATTGTTTGTCCACACAATAAAGCAAAAATAACCCCAGAGATATTTTTAAAACGAAGGTTATGTGGACAGAATTATTTTTTAAAACAAGGGGGAAAATATTAATTTACAAAAATATCTGTGTTTGTGCAGACAGGTCATCACTCTCAGAAGTAAAAGTGAAGATGCGTATTTAACAAAATTAACCATTCCTTTAACCATAAACATAAAATGTTATCCTTGTGGGGACCTGATTTATTGTCCCCAGTTGGGAGGTGAGTCCCCATAATGTGTCTGTATCAACAACTGTGTGTTAATACAGTGAGATGAAGTGATCTCACATTGTGGGGACCTTGTTTTTGTCTCCCGATGAGCTTTATATTTCACAGACGGGCATGAGAGTGGTATTGATTTTCTGCTAAATGAATAAACACATTTTACAAAATGTCAAACTGTTAAGTATGTGAAGCTGCAGTTCGTCTTATGGCCACCAGATGCTGCTCCAACTACACTCAAAATGTACAACAGCGACAGAGTGAGCTCCCCACATCATTTCATTTTTCAACATTTTCATGTTAATGTCTCAGTTTATGACAGTCAGGACATCATTTTAGACTTCACTTTGAATTTTATGGATTCAGTATCATTCATTTATATGTCGAAAAATACTCCCTGAATTGTCAGTTTGATTCCTTAAATTTCCACTTTACGGACTTTTTAAGATGGAAACTGACGCCTGCTCGATGTTCCTACCTGAGCGATGGAGGTCTGAGGGTTGAGCATGAGGTTGCGGAACGTTCTCTTGAGAACCCATCTGAACTGGGTCAGGAAGCTGGTGTTGTAGGTGATGGTTCTGGAAGGAGCAGTGGTGATGATCTGCCTACCCTGAATGATCCTTTCTGAGAGAGACACAAAGGGACAGTGGTTTAGATGTGCTGTATTCATATAAAACCTGAGTTTCTGTGTGAAGTATTGACCTTGACCTTTTTGTACGTACCCAGCTCTGCTTTGGTCTGTTTGTAGTCGTGACAGTTTCTGTATTCCTCTACGAGTTTGTCCTCGATCCCCCGTCTGGACATCGACACCGTGTCTGAGTCTGGCTCTGGATCTGGATCTGGAGGGAAGAAAGGGGCACTCAGAATCCTGTCGGTCATGTCTGTCCGTGAAGTCACAGCATGATTTTATGACTTCATGGTCGCCTAATGTGACACAGTGACTGTCAGAACAGACAAAAACATCATGTAGTGTGAACCTGGCATTACACTTTTAGTAATGAGTGGATCTTTTAGCATTTACATATATTAATTTTGACAGGGATGGCATGTAACCCAATAATCTCTCGGAGGAGGACTGTCTGAACAGACTGAGGGTCTTGGTTCCAAAGGTACCATACCGAAGGTGTTTGGTGGAAATGGGGCTACAGGTGACCCCCTAGGGCGCCACCCAGAAGGGAGGTGCTAAAATCAACAGGGGCACTGCATAAGATACAGTTTCATGCCTCTCAATTCCACTTAGCTTTTAAACTCTGATCCAAACCTGAGCACACACACACACACACACCTTCATTGTCCATGCTGCTGAGAGCGACAGCGGTTGAGTCTCCGTTAATGATGTCCAGGAAGAAGTCAGCAGGGTTGTTGTGGGGCTCACAGGTGTATCCTGGGAAATGAAGTTCCAAACCCGCTTACATACAATTACATCACTTCTGCATCATGTCGTGTTGTATTGGATTGATTTCATGCTCTTACCGATGTCTGAGAAATACTCTAGAGCGCTCTGTGCCGGGCCGTGGTAAACCTGATCAGTTTGATTACAGTGAACACAAGAGTCTGGGTCAGTTTCTATATTAATAAAGTCAATTTTACAATAATTGATTTTGAGACGAACAGGTGAGGACGCTCGACAGTAAAGCAAAAGCAACAGAAAAGAGAGCGACAAAAAGAATAAAGAAAGCAAAAGTTACAAAAAAAATAAAGGGAGCGAAAAAGAATGAAAGAAAAAATGAAAGATAGCTAGAGCAAGAAAAAGAGAAAAACAGAAAAGAAGAAGAGTCGAACATGAAGCATCCACGGATGGGTACACTGTAAATCTGATTAAATGTATTTCAGTTAGCAGACGTTGGCGACCTGTTTGCCGTTGACCAGCAGGGTGAGCCGGTCGAACAGGCGGTAGATGGAGTATCGAGGCTGGTGGATGGACAGGATGATGGTGCGACCGCTGTTTGCCATCCTGAGGAAACGAGGAGGAAAAACGTGTTTAAAGTTTCATCAATCGTAGACGTGTGGATTTAACTGAAAGCAAAGGTCTGAGGACAGAAAAGTTTGTGTGTGTTTGTATACTTGTACATGCTACATAGTGAGGACCAAAGATTGGATTTTCACAACATAGCGAGGACATTTTTGCAAAGTGAGGACATTTTGGCCTGTCCTCCTGTACGCGCTGTGCCTACAATTTTTTTTCCATGTGCCTGAGATGCATTTTTTGGCGGTGTCCACTAGTAGTTGGAAATGAGCTAACAGAAACAACTTAGCATTTTTCAGGCTTTTGAAATAAAGTGAACAAACCTCAGCAGAGAAGAATATGCAGAGAGCACCTGTACGAGCACGGGGTCTGCTAACGTCGCTGCTACTAGCATTAACGTTACAATGACAGAGGCTAGCAGCTAGCTACATGTCCAGGATCTTTCGTGTGACAAATTGATGCTGTATTCTTTTTTTTTTTTTTTAACGTAAATGTTGATGTTGCTGTTGTCAGGTCTGTTGGCTTGTCTTTTAAAGGTCATATGTATAGCTGTTTCATCAAAACAAATAATTTTTCAAAAATAATACATCCACAGAACGCCTAGAAAGGTGTAGAATTAAAGTCTAAATTTTCCTGAAAAAAATAATTACAGTAGAGAAATAATTGTTTTAGAAATTTTGAGGGGCCCAAAATATGTCAATATTTTGATTTGGTTACGTTGATTAAGGGGGGGGGGGCAGGACTCAGGGTTGCCAGATTGTGATACCTGCAGAGGGATGGCATTGTCCCAGCGCTATCCGGCACAAATTCTAGCCAACCAACGGCAAGCAAAACCAGAATCAACATCGGTTCAGTTTTTGATCGTTGGTGTCAGCTGAAGGCAGAAAAAGGGCTAAAAAGCCACGCAGAGGTTGCCGCTTTCCTTCTGTACAGGTAAGCTAATGTTTGCTAACTAACGCAGCTAACTTATAGCTAATGTTAGCTAACTTGGCTCGCTGTCTCTAGTGTCTGTCATTTACGAACCTGGCAACCTGTAGAATTGAAGAGTGGAGCGAGAGCGGGTGAGTGTGAGTGCGACACCTACTGGCCGGGAAGTATGAATCCTATATCCTTTCCGCTTTAAAGGCACGTGGTCGGCTAATCAGAGTTTGATGGTGGCGTTGTGTCGGTAACGTTAATGTTAATCTCCTGCTCACTCACTGGGCAGACTGCGTATGTCCATACCTGGAAACCTACGTGTTCAAGGTACCCTACAAGTGGGCAGGCAGTTCACGTGCATTCTATGAAATTTAATCCTGCCGTTGCCACTGTGTGCATGTGTGTGTGCATGTGTGTGTGTGTGCGCTGACCTCTTGAGCAGCAGCAGTACAGAGTTGGCAGTGCTTGCGTCGAGGCCGGTGGTCGGTTCGTCCAGGAAGAGGACGGGCGGGTCGATGATCAGCTCCATGCCGATGTTCGTCCTCTTCCTCTCGCCGCCGGAGATCCCACGAATCAGCTGAGTGCCCACCTGAGCACACACACACACACACACACACACACACACACAGACAGAAGTGTGAACTCGTGTACTTGTGAGGACCCTCCACGCCTCTAACCATCGTCACAACTCATCCTGAAGGAGTTCAGTTTCCATTCATCTTTATTTCTTTTCCTGATTCTGTCTTTGCTTTTTTGCATTTGTTGTCTTCTCTGTCATTATACTTTCTGTCACTCTTTCAGTCGTCCTCACTTTCTCCTCACCCTGCCTCTTTTGTTCCTTCTTTCTTTTGCTTCCTCTTTTCTTCTTCTTTGTCTTATTTTAATTTAATTATCTCTTTCTTTCCCTTTTTTTTGCTTTTTGTTATTTTGTCCTTCTGCTCCAACGCCGCAGTTTCATTTTGCCTCCTAAATGATGGTTCTTTCTTTCTTTCTTTCTTTCTTTCTTTCTTTCTCTCTTATTCTTAATTTCCTCAGCTCTTTCTCGGAGACAGTTCTCCTGACAGTTCAGTTTCGAAATAATGTATTGAGAAACCTCTTTTTATCATCTGTCAGCAGATCTCCTAAAACATGACACTGAGGTTTATTTTTTACCAGTTAAACCATGACGCTGCAGTTTTGTTTTGCATTCTGGACGATGGAATCTGTTGTTTCTTTCTTTTGACGCTCTTTTTTTCCTTTCTGTCTTCTCTCTTCCTCTATTGTTGCTTTCTCTGTCTTTTTGTAGCCCTCCTCTGTCCCACTGGTCTGTTTTCCAATCATTATTTTTTATCACTGTCTTTTCTTTCTTCCTCTCTCCTTCCTTCCTCCTCCCTCTCTCCTCACCCTTGAGTCGGCCACCCGGCCCAGTCCCAGCTCCTGGATCAGTCTGTCGACTTTTTGTTTTTTCTCCTCCTGAGAGATGCTCGTCGGGAGCCGCAGCGCTGCAGAGAAGGTGAAGTTCTCTCTGACCGTCAGCGTTCCCATCACCACGTCGTCCTGGAGACAAGAAACGACCATCAACACCAGACAGATGATGAATGAACTTTCATTTCCAGGATGTCTTTCCACAGTAGATTTTAATTATGGCCCAGAGAAGCTGATCTTATAGTTGCCTGCAGAAACTCCCCTGAATCAAAGCCGTTCTCCTGTCGATGACTTCCTGTCTGTCTCACTCACTCACCTGCACCACGTATCCAGACAGACACTTGAAGTTTGGAGGCTGATGAGCTCCGTTGATCAAAACCTCTCCTGACAGACCGGCAGGATCCTTCCTGGCCGCCAAAACATCCAGAAACCTGAAAAAGATTTTAGTAAATGTGAAACAGCCAGCTCTCAAAGTACTCGTAGTGCAGGTGATGTTTCCTGTCAGTATTTTGCTACCTGATAATTTATATTAATATTCCTGCTGCATTAATGTGGGTAGTTTAATCTACAGCAATGCATCATGGGCTATAAGATCATCATGAACCAGGTGTCTCTAAAAAGTCAGGAAAACAGCCTGTTTTCAGGTTTGTGACGACGACTTTTCAAGTTGATCCAAAAGGGTTTTTATAGAGTTTATTCAGGAACACTTCATCCTTCAGTTTAGGGTGCTTTCACACCTGCCCTGTGTGGTTTGGGACAGTCGAACTTAAGTTTGTTTGCCCCCTCAGTGTGGTTCGTTTGGGCAGGTGTGAACACAGCAATCGCACTCAGGTGCGCACCAAAACGACTGGACCGAGACCTTCTTGAAGAGGTGGTTTCGGTCTGGTCCACGATGAGCAGCGCTAAAATCAACCTGCGTAGTTGTCCCTCCATTGTGACATTAGAAAGTGTCACATTTATCTTGCAAGTGTACTCTTCTTCAACGTTTACTTCCTGGATTTTTCCCACATGGAAATTCTGACCAATCAAGAGCAGCTTTCTCACACAAGGCATTTGATCTGGTCCTCTTGTAAATGGTAGCACAAAATGGAAACACTAAGGTAAAGACACTCACGACGACTTGCCGCTTCCTGTTGCTCCCATGATGGCGTTCAGACCCGGCTTCATGATCCCACTGTGAGAGAGAGACAGTTAATATTACCAGTCATGGAGATTCAAAACACAGCAAACTCATGAGAACTAGATCAAATTCACATTCAAACTCACATTCCTTTAATTTCTTGACACATGATTAACACACATGTTCCGTAATCATGACCCTCAGCACATCCCATAGAAAGGCGTCTCTAGAATGGCATGGTCACCTTCAAAGCCCTGCCAGATGGTTCTCTCCACAACACCACCGTTATCTGCATTTACTGTGGATGTGAACCACCAGAGTTCGTCAAGTCTCAAATACCACTTGCTGGCCAAGCACACAGCCAATGCAGAGAGACGTCCTCCCCCTCGCCAAATGCAATTCTCTCAGTAATGACAGTTACCTCGGGGCCACAGCACATTATTTTGACCCACAGTGGGAACTTTGGTCAGATGCTTTTGACTGTTATGAAGACATCGGAGAGGCACTTCGCCGACACATGCCGAACACTTAATGCAGGTTGACAGACAGTAGCTATGTTTCCGTCCAAAAGTGATTCAAATCATTGGGAAATGTGCATTAAAAGAATTATGAATCCTGTGTGTTTCCATTAAATGTACAGACTTTGGTGAAAACTACGAACTCGCGCGAGTTTTCCGCAGAACCGGAAACAAAACAAGTCTCGCATTCTTCTTCTTCTACGTTTTCTGGCGGTTGGCAACCAGCTTGTAAATGCATTACCGCCTTCCCGACCCGGCGTGTGGATATCACCATGGAGAGAGGTGCGCTACGTCAGACTTAATTCGAACATAACTGTTTCCATCCCCCGTTTAGAAGACTTTATTGTCATTGTGCATTGCACAACGAAATTACATGGAGTACCCTCGGCAAGATAACAACACAATAAAAAGGACAGACAGTACATAAATATAAATATAAAAAGATGTCAGTAAGGTATAAAAACAATAAAGTGTGTGAGAAATATAGCAGCAGTATAAAAACTTCGAGGCAGCAGGCAGTGTAAAAACAGCAGCAAGGTGAGGTAAAGTGCAACGGTGCAGTTCAAAGTGCAAAGGTCAGTTCCTCAGTTTGGGGCTGGTGTGTATGTGAGTGCAGGGGGGTTGATGGAGGCCACAGCCCTGGGGAAAAAGCTGTTCCTCAGTCTATTTGTCCTTGCTTTGAGGGCCCTGTACCTCCGTCCTGAGGGCAGGGGAGAGAACAGTTTGTGACCCGGGTGGTTGGGATCTGTGTCAATGCTGCTGGCCTTCCTCTGGAGGCGGCCAGCGTACACCGAGTCCAGGTCTGGGAGAGGACTTCCCACAATCCTCTGGGCTGTTCCGATGGAGCTCAGCCGGTCCCCTTCTCCACACTTTGACTTATTTTATTCTACTTGGTTCTATTTCTCCCTCTCTGGGAGCCTGGGCTCACCGCGCAGAAGCCCACCGCATCCATCCATCCATCCACCCCCCCCTCCCTCGCGGCCCCGCACATATACCCCCGAGGCTCGGCTCTCTCTGCGCGGACAGAATGGTTTTATAGTAAGGGGAGGATTAAAGGGAGGACGGCAGGCTTTAGCGTGGAAGGTTAGTGACGTCATTCGCCTCGAAAAAGAATCATTCGCCTCCAATGTCATGTAATGTGAATTCAAGTGTAGTAACCAGGTTTCAAGCTGTAGAGGGCGCTCCATACCACATTTTTAATGTGCAGGATCAGTCAGTAACACTACTATACAACCAGAAACAATGATTATCAGCTGAAAAAAGTGGTTTTAGGGTTTAGTTACTCTGTAAAAACTTTAAAGTATCCCTTTAAGGTACATTTAGATCAGATAAAAAATGTGCGATCTAACTATAGACAATCATGCGATTAATGGCCATTAAATATTTTAATCCATTTACAGCCCTTGTTTAAACAAATTGTAAGACAAACAAGCAAATAACTGTCAAACTCAGATTTTCAACCAGCCAACTTTTTCGTCTATTCACCAGAATTAAAGAGCAACTTCCACATAAACCCCCCTTTTTCCATGTTTGAAGAAGCACAGCAGGAGAACATCAAGAAACGTACAGTGCCAACATTTATTGTGGCGTTAGGTTCACAGACTGACTCTCTTGGTCTACACACTCATGTGACTCATTCATCTCGACTCATCTGTTTTGGTTACAATGACGAGGCAGTTTCAGTTCTTTCATGTTTTTAAGGAACTGAAAGGTTTTGTTGTGGTTTTTGCAATCAGAGTAAGTTGTGACATTTCAGTTGCTGGTTTTAAACATTCTGATTCATCTTCTGGTGTTTTTGCTGACTCAGGACCTGAAACTTCCTCCTGAATGAATCACCAAATCAGATGTTGACACATGACGGTGCAGTTTTATTTCGCCTCCTACATGATGGTTCTGTTATTCTGTCCTTTATATGTATTTTAAGCTCTTTTTAAGGAACTGAGAGTTTTTATGTTTTTTTTTTCAGCCTTCTCAGAAAAACATGACAGTTCAGTTTTTGATTGAATCATCTGTCAGGTTATTCGTCAGCAAAACATGACACTGCGATTTATTTTCATCACTCAAACCATGATGCTGCAGTTTTGTTGGGTTTAATATGATGGGGGCTTATTTCTTTATTTTTAATCTTTTGTCTCTTTTCTTCCTTCAGTTTTTAATTTTAAGCAGTCTGTGTTTTTTTTTTTTTAGTTCAGTCTCACTCCAAAGTCATCGAAACCTGCAGCTTAGAAATGTTATTTCTGACCAAACGTTTAACTTCCTGCCTCCTTGTGGTGACAGAATAACCAGTCCTCCTGTACAGTGTGCTCGCAGAGGTTTTTTTTTTTAATCAAAACTACAGGTTGTAGCAAAAAAAGAAACCTCAAAAAGAAAAGGTCGTACTGCTGCTGTTGAATGGACGATAGATCAAGTCCAGAGGTTCCTTGACTCAAAACAAACAGGTGAAACTGTTCTATGCAAAATCATAAGCGATGGTAAAATACATTTTCATAAACTCTGGGTTAAAAAAAACAAGCTGTCATGACAGAATACAGACAACAGGACCTGAGCAGATTAACTGAAGCAGCAAATACCCCAAACAAAACAGAGGGAAAAAAACGCTCTGAACCAGCCTTCAACTTTGACTCAGACCGGTCAATGATTACACACACTGAACAATAAAATACCAGAGATACCACCCTCTATAAACCACACACACATACACACACTGCACTTTGTCAGACTGCATTTCTCACGATACATAAAAAGGTGTTTAAAGGTGTATCTTATCTTATAATCAAAGATCTTTTTCATAACAGATCATTATCAGAGACAATAAAGATGGTCAGAGAATCATATACCAATAGTCTTTTAACAGTGACTTTAAAACATCAGTCCACAAACCAATGGGTGATGTCACAGTAGCTACATCCATTATTTTTACAGTCTGTAGCTTTGAGCTGAATGCTAATATGAGCATGCTAACATGCTCACAGATGACAATACTAACATGCTGACGTTTGGCAGGTATAATGTTTACCATCTTAATTTCACAAGTTAGCATGCTAACGTTGGCTAATTAGCACAAAACACAAAGTACGGCGGAGTCTGGTGGGAATGTGGTTAGGTGTGGCTAGCCCTTGTTGCAGCAGCATACCATACCATGACTTAGTCATACCAAAAATTAGAAGAAAAAAACAAAACATTGGTCCACAGGGGGAGCCACAGCGATCGGTCGCATTTTAGCCATTTTTAAGCATTTTTCTGTTGTTATAGCGCCACCCAGTTGCCAATTAGAGTTAAATTTCTCCAGTCACCTTGAGGCGTCCTGTTCTACATATCTACCAAGTTTAGTAAAAATCCATATGGCGGTTAGGCCTAGATAAGAAATGAGCTCTCTAGCGCCCCCATTTTGTTTGATGGGGTCAATAATGGAGGGGTCCCCTCAGATTATGTGTGGTCATATGCCTACAAAGTTGCGTGGTGATGGGTGAAACCCTTGAGATGTTATACACCTTTATGTGATGAGCCACGCCCTCCGCAATATTCATTGCCTTATAGAAGCTCAGTTTTAGTAAGTTTTCCAACTTTTGCCAAGAGGGAACTTTAGATATTGGTCCCTAGATTATGTTCACCCAGTTTCATGCAGATCGCTCAAACTTCCTAGGAAGAGATCCATTTGAAGTGTTTTTCAAAAAATTCAAAATGGCGGAAAATCTATATAAGCGGAAGTTATGGGTTCTTGAGGCAAATGTGTTCCTCATGAGGAGAGGCATCTCTGTGCAAAGTTTCATGTCTCTACGACATACGGGGCATGAGATATGCCCATTCAAAGTTTGACATTTCAATGGGTTGCTATAGCGCCCCCCTTTGGCCAATTGATGTAATATTGCTTCATTGGCATCCTCCCATGACCCTCTACCACTGTGCCAAATTTCACATGGATTGACCAAGTCAGTGAGGAGAAAAACGTGGAACAGACACACAGACAGTTTTCGTCATTATATAGTAAGATTGTACACGTTAAAATGTTGAGTTGACGATGACGCTAGATGAAAAGTCAAAGAATCACTAAAGTTATTACAGTTCATCCACAGGGGAACATGAATGTCTGAACCAGCTAGCATGACAATCTACCTAATAGAGTGCTGCAGGAATGAGTCCTAAAATGGGGATGTTAATTAGCATTTTTGTACTTCCGGTTCCTTCGTCTTGAAGTCAATGAGTCTGTGGTTGACGCAAGCTGATGATACTTTCACGTTTTGTTCTACAACATAAGATTCGTCGGTAAATACTTCACTGGTGAATTTTGAAGCTTTTCATGTCTTAAAAAAGGTGGTTGCAAACAAAGTGGCTAAATGAGACTACAGAGCATCATCACGCCAACAACATGGCTTTACTGCCCCGTTGTGGTGGCAACGTTAAAGTCATGTGACTGAAGTGCAGTTTGTTTATAACCTAAAGTTAGCTTTTTATTTCTGGTGATTGCATTTACTCTTAAAAAATAAAATAAAAGCGGTGTTCATTTGTCAAATGTGTACGTGTCATAAAAATTAGTTTGCTGCAGATCTTAGAGGCTTTTTGACAAGGGAACAAGGGTGGAGCTAACTTTGGCGTCGGCCTACAGAAAAAGATCATCCCTGCGTCAGTTTGTTGTCGTTGAGATATTTTACTCACACATTAAAACACATTCATCAATCTCATGATGGTGTTAGAAGAAAAGTCAGAAGACAGTCAGGAGGATTCATCTTCTGAGCACCATGAATGTAAATGTTGTGCCAATCCTTTGTGTAAATATTGAGGTATTTCACAGGATAAGTGAAAAGTTTGACCCGTTAGTGGCACTAGAGGAAAAATCAGAGGATCACCAAAGTCAGATGGATTCATCCTTTGATGACCATTAACATTTATACCAAATTTCAAGGCAATCCATCCAGTAGTTGTTGAGATATTTCAGTCCGGACCAAAGTGGTGGAAAGACAGATTTGTTCAGGCCAACACATTTCTGTGAATTTAACACCCTGAACTTTCTCAGTGAGTCAAATTTAAAAAGGTACGAAGGCAGTTCAGCATCCTGCCACTGTCTCTGTTTGTTGATTTAAGCTGAGGGTCATTGTTTTCCTTCAAGCTTCTGTATGAGTGTGTGTCACGGAGGAAAAGTGAGTTTCTTGACAAAGCAAACTTCCTTCCTTTGCCTCCAAACGTGTGTAAATGTGTGTGTGTTTGATCCACGTGGGCCTTGTTCGAGTCACGTTTACCTCCCAGGTGTCTTCCAGTCAGCACGTAGACAAACACACACACAATAAGTGCACATACAGCCTCAGTTTACCGAACTCATGGCTCGAACTTTCATGCCTCAGAGGGCTGAAACATGCTTTGGTGTCTTTGTGTGCTAAAGCCACTCCAGCATTTAAAAGTTTGACATGTTGCAGAAAATCAATTCAATTCATTTTTTTTTTATAAAGCCTCCTCTGAGCTAACAAACTTGCTAAAGGTCAGATTCCACGAGAGAGTTGAACAGCAAAATGTCCACATGTCTTTGCATAATATTTAGTTTTTGAGGCTTTGTGACAGAGAGAAAACTAACATGGCTAGCTGGTCAACTACTGTAGCTAGCAAGGTAACCACTAGCATTCAACATAGTATGACACGGCTTCCCAGAACACCAACCACCAACACACCCAGGGTACCTCGCACGTCGTATGTGGACGTAGAAAGTCCACAACCAAAACGTCGATATGTGACGAGGTCAGAGTGAGAATGTGTTGTTCAGTGACTCACTCCACCATCAGGATTTGATCCATTCGGTCTGATAACATCTGGAAAGTCTGGAAGAGCCGCAAGATTTAAACATTTTATCTCCATCGGCCGGCAGAAGTTCGCCCCTTGGCCACACTAGACATAAGTGTCTAGTACACATGCTCTACGGGCCGCACAGTGCAGAAGTAGTGCCAATAATCCCTGGATCACCTGGGTAATTTTATACCTGCCTGCTGAACTATGCTGGCTTCAAGTGCCACTGAGCAACCAATCTATGTTCTAGACACCAGCAGTAGCATCCATGTTGCCCTCGCCTAGCAGCGGTGCTCTTTAATGACAAGCATATTGTGTACATGGGTTCTTATGTTGAAACCACAAACTCAAGAGTTCCTTTTGACAGTAGCAGTAGTTTAAGAAACTCACTTGAGATCAATGAGGATGTCTTTGGTCGTACCCTTCTTCCAACACAGGCAGCCTCCTCCCTGCGTCACCTTGTAGTTGATGTTGTGAAAACTGACGGTGGCGCCATGCTGCTGTTGGCCCAAACCTGCAGACTGTGAAGGGGTTAATTCACACCCAAAACACTGACATATTTCCAAAATGTGTGATGCTAGCATAAAGAGCGGAAGGTACCTGGTGTTTTGAGGCTCCATTCTGCCCAAACTCTATCGTCACTTTGCTCTCCGACATCCTCGACCTCTCTCCTCCTGAAACCCCGAAGAAACATTTTACTGCAGCTAACACATCTTATAGAAAGCTCGATCCTACCTGAGCATTTTTGTGCACTTTATTTAGTTTTTTCGTTAAGAATTGGGGGAAAATGGGGTTGATCGTCACTCAAAATAGTGTCCTTGATAGATCCCCTTTCAATGTGCAATCGGAGCCTAAACTGTCAGAGATGAGTCGTCCATCTTCATATACAGTCTGTGGACACACTGTATGTAACAAGTATAAATTGACACGCCGTCCCAGAATGTCCAAAAGTGACGCAGAAGGGTGCCTAGCATACGGTATCATTTTTTGACTTCTGAGCCCGATTCTTAAGATTTCAGTTCCAACTTTTTTTAACAGCTGTTACCTCTCTCTGTGTCAGCTTACCGGCTCCGAATCGTAGTTGGGAACACACTGGCTTATCGATGTTAACTTCACCTTGGCTCGTTATTAGCTGGTAACTAGCTTCTAGCAGTCTGGACCACTCTGCAGAGAGCCCGATCACACTCTGAAGTCGTGAAAATCTGATGCTTGGGCAGTGACATCAGAAACCCATGAAAAAAGGCGTCCTTTAAAGCCACAGTGTGTAGGAATTTCTCCCATCTAACGTTGAAATCTATATATGAATATATTGTATTCAAACAGATGGCACACTTTAGCGCCTCACTGTTTCAAACACGTATTGCAACAACTGTAACCGCTGTGTACCAAAAAGCTATGATAACACTGATGAAACCATGTCATCCGATACTACATGGAGTATTCATTCAGGCTCCTACACAGACACACGCGACGTGAGTTGACAAACCCCCTCCTCACCATGCTGGCTGTGTTTACAACGTAGGACTGTTGGGGCGGATGTAAATTGAAACAAACCAGTCACGTCTTGTCCTTTGACAACTGACAAGTGGCTCAACCTCACACACCTTATCCCTCTCCTAACAGCTGTTAGTGGCCAGCGGCACTACTGCCGCATAATAAAGTCCCACTCTTTGAGCATAATGCAGGATCATGTATTATGCAGCATCACGGGAGACGGAATCCTCGTCACCAAGAAAGTGCAAAAGGGAATCAAAAAGGCAGCGTGACCGGCGAATTAAAAAAACAAGGGTCAGCATTGGGGTTGCCTTTCCCAGGTGGAGAGAGCTGCTGAAGGAGAAAGGTAATACAATCACAGGCCAGCGCTAACAGCGGCTAACCGCTAACAGCGACGCAGTGATGCGAGGAGAGGGATGAGGCTGTTAGCGACTGGCCGCTAACAGCGGCTAACAGCGGCTAACAGCCAACAGCGGCGCTGGCCTGTGATTGCATTACCATTCTCCCTCAGCAGCTTTCTCAACCTGGGAAAGGCTACCCCTATGTGGGCCTTTGTTTTTTTAATTCGCCTGTCACGCTGCCTTTTCTATTCCCTTTTGTGCTTTCTTGGTGACGAGGATTCCGTCTCCCATGATGCTGCATATGCATGATCCTGCATTATGCTCAAAGAGTGGGACTTTGTTTCAGATTTGCCAGGGTAGTAGCAAAGCGACTCTTCCTCCTCTCCTTCGGCTCCTCAGTCACGCAGTGCTGGCCTGGCTCTCAACGAAAACGCCGAAGGCGGTGCTGTATGTCCCTTGCTGGCGGGTGTATTCTCAAGATGGCGAAACGTAATGGAACCCCACACACGACTTACCCGCACAATGTACAAACAAATCCGAAATTCTCCTTTTACGAGAATAAGTCAGATTATTGGTGGAGGTAATAGTACACCAGTGATGACATATTTATGAATGCAGACATCAATTTTTGCCAATAAACAACTGAAAATGTTACACAATGTCCCTTTAATGTTGGCATGATACGCGGCCAGTTAGTTAGTTTAATAATGCGTGGTGGGACAAGGACAAAGGTTAAGGCGGCAGTGGTGGATGGGTCCAATGAACACAGACTTTCACCCCAGAGAGCGGTGTTCACGTCCCATAAGATTCTAAAGCCAAACCCTATTGTTTTCTCCTAACCCTAACATGAATGTAAATGTGAAATTTCCTGTGAAAACAGAAGTGTACTTTGAAAGAACACAACGTAACAGGCAGAACTTGACACGGCGTCCCAGAACGACAACAACCAACACACCCAGGGTACCTTGCAAGTCACGCGTGGACGTGGAAAAGGGTGAGCCGGTAACACAGCGCTCTGTAGGGAGCGAGATCTAATGTATGTGACAACCAGCCCCGTTCTCCCCTAATTTATATCTCAATGTACACAACAACCAGCACTGCAGTTTCAGTGTTTAACTGGTTTCTTACAACTGAGGCTCAGTCAGCTGAAAGTACTGCATATTAATGTCTCTAAGGTTCTCTTCCAGGGTCAGTAGAGTATCTGACCTTTGACCTCGCTGCAATTTTGCTGATCAAGAAACTGAACTAAAACAGAAGTCTCTCTGGAAGAGCGGAGCAGTTAAACCTAACTTCCTATTACTCAGCAGTGGTGACAGAAGTACACAGGCTCTTTTCTTTATTTATTTACTGAAGTATAAGTAGAAATACCACAGTGTAAAAATACTCAGTAATACAAAGTATGCAAGTAGGTCCATGCAAAAAGTACAAAAATCTAGGAATCAAAAAGTACCAAAAGTGAAAATGCTCATTATGCGGTATGGCTCATTTTATAATATTATGTATTATATTTAAATTTTAATGCAGTAATCATCATCACTTTAAAGATTCAGCTCATTTAAATTACTTTATATACTGCTGGGTAACTTCAAATGAATTTCCCAGCGAGGATCAATAAGGTTTTATTTTAATCTGTAATATCACATCATAATTTGTATTAATAATCTAAATCTGCAAAGGAGGTAGCAACTAAAGCTGTGGAGTACATTCACAATATTGGTCTATAAAATGTAGAAGAGCAGAGGAACAAAGTAGCTGAAATTAAAATGAAAATTAAATGAAATTACTTAGTACTTCCCGCCACTGATATTCAGTCAAGAGAAGCTCTCACCTCACTGTGCTTGAACCTGCTGCAGATTAATCCTCATACAGGTGACAACAAGAGTGCGAAAGAGTTCATCGCTCACCTGCTGAAGTGACAAAGTCCCCGTGAGAAGAGCTGCTGACGGAGGTCCAGACCACGGGACACTGACTGCAGGGAGAGCAGTTTGTTCAGTGCTCCCTGTGAGTGTGTGTGCGTGTGTGTTCAGCCCTGTTTTATGACTGAAGGCTTGATAAGAGAAGTGGGGTGAAGGGCAGCAGTGAGTGTGTGAGACTCTCTGTCTTTCACTTCTCCACAGCTGGAAGTCGTGTTTCCAATCCGTCACTTCAGTAAAAAGGAGTAAAAGCCTGCGTCACTGTGAAACACAAAAATTCCTGCGTTCAGAAAAGCACAGATTATCAGTGCGGTAACAGAACTCTGCAGACGCTGCAGATTTATTCGGGGTGGTTCTTCTTTACTGCACATCATTGCACAATGTCAGACTCACTCATGTGTCTCCCTCTCGATACATGAAGTCAATGTCACTGGAACTTATTGATTTCAAAATGCGTTAGATTAATTATTTAAAATCATTTTTATTTCTTATACTGTAAATTATTCATGAACAAGCTGATCAGATCCTCGTTAAAGTCCCATTTGTGTCTCAAGGAGTTGGTTGAAAGAGGTTTTATAATTCAGCTCTTTCTGGTTGGATAAAGTTACCTTGAAATATCTATTCTCTGTCAGCTTTACCTTTGTATGTTTCATACGCACCATATCAAGGTAGCATATGAGCTGACTTTGTCGCCAGGTGGTGGAGGCGATGGTGGAAGGCGTGACACCAAGGTGAGATGCCTGCCAAGCAGCAGACCACACAGAGTCATTGCTGCATTTCCAATGACTTTTTAGCCACCACACTTGGATGTTTTTTAGTGACTTGTCACTGTTTTTCTACCGGGGATAATGCCACAAAACTGGTTGTCTTTTACCAAGACATCGCTGTTTCCTGCGGGGATAGCGCGATGAAAAGCGGTTGTTTTTTACTAAGACGTCGCTGTGTCTCCTGCGGGGATAGCGCGATGAAAAGCGGTTGTTTTTTACTAAGACGTCGCTGTGTCTCCTGCGGGGATAGCGCGATGAAAAGCGGTTGTTTTTTACTAAGACGTCGTTGTGTTTCCTGCGGGGATAGCGCGATGAAAAGCGGTTATGTTTTACCAAGGCATTGCTGCATTTCTTGACAAGACATTGACACAAAAAGTGGTTACTGAGACATTGCTTCGTTTCCTGCCAGCATAGCGCTACAAAACCCGGCTGAAATTCTGATATATTTAATTTCAAATAACTCCAAGTGTTATTTTTCTATTTTAGGATTATTATCGCTTATTTGTTGTCGTTGGTTAAAGTTGAGCTGGTTTTGAACGCGTTTGAAATACATTAACTATATTTAACCTGTTTTAAATATTAAAAGCAACTTGTTTAACAATTTTTCATGTTTTTTTATTTTAATCTATTTATTTTTTATTTTCACCAATGCTGGCTTCAGAGTTTCCTTTATGGATTAACAAGGATAGGAAGAATATTCATTTTTATTTATTTTTCAAATTTTGAAAAACGACTTTCTTTTCTTGTACTTTTCTGTCACAAAGAAGTAAAAAGTAAAGTAAAAAGTTCAATATGTCCCAAATTTGTACATAGTTACCTTCCACCCCTGGTTTTTAGAAACTCATCATATGTTTTGTATGAAAATAATCTGTAAAATAAGGAACTACGAATGACACTAATGTAGTTGAGTAGAGGTACAATGGAAATACTATAATAAAGTACAAGTACCTGAAAAATGTACTCAAGTAAATTCACTTGGTGACATTCTACCACTGCTCTCCTACTCACTTTTAAAGACACTTAAAGGCTCAAAAATGATCTGAAAGGACGTAAAGCTGAGACGATGTCCAGCAGTGTGAAGGTGCAGTTTGTGTATTTACAACACTGGAGCAACTCTTACCAACCAGCACCGCTCTGTCTTCTTGCTGCTTCTCTGGAACAAATAAGACGTATATAATTAACACCAAATCAGTTACGTTTTAATTAACTCAGAAATGCATCAAAGAAATGCAGCAGCGCAAGTGTTAGATTTTAGGCACCGGACTGCAGGCGTCTCAGCAGAGCTGGCTTTAAACAGGTGAGGTGTGATTGGATGATTGCTCACACCTGGATGTTCCACTCAGGACGATAGAAAGACAAAGGTCAGTGTGCTCGGGTCCTTTGTGTCAAACCAAGACGAGATAAAGGAGGAAAACCTCCAGAAAATAATGAATGCATGTATTTCTGTAGATCGAACATTGTTCTGTGTGAAAACACTCAGACAAGAAGAGTGTGGGAGACGTATTTAGATTAAGCAAAAGTCCAGAATAAAAGTACAAAAGTATCAGCAAAATATTCCTAAAGCACCAAAAGTGCTGATTATACAAAGTTGCTCATTTCAGATTGATGCATATCAGTATTCGTGGGTCCTCACCAGGATATTCAACCTGTCCCTGACACAAGCTACCATCATCCCTGTCCCCAGAGAGCCAACAGTCACAGGCCAACAGCTCTAACATCTGTAGTCAAAGCCAGCCTCCCTCCCACCTTTGACCCTCATCAGTTTGCTTATAGAGCAAACAGATCTACCGATGACGCCATCGCCACAGCCCTCCACACAGCTCTGCGCCACCTTGGCTAACTACGTCACGATGCCTTCTGCTGATCACAGTTCAGCCTTCAACGTCATCATCCCCGACATCGAAGACTTCCTCACAAACCGGCCACAAACAGGCCCTCGCCGTTCCTCCACCTTGGGTTGTGTGCCGAGCCCACTCCTACACAACACCAACACCATCATTAAGTTTGCTGATGACACCACTGTGGCTCGTACATGGTGGAGATGAGTCGGCGTGTAGAGATGAGATCCAGAGGCCGTCTGTCAACACCAGCAAAAATAAAGAACTGATCATAGACTTCAGGAGACGCCGAGCAGAACCTGCCCCCCTTCAACATCAACGGGGACAGGGTGGAGAGGGTCTCCACTTTAAAGCTCTTGGGGGTGCAAATCTCTGAGGACCTCCGCTCCGAAGTTCTTGAAATCCGATGCTTGGGTGGTGACATGCGGCATCAGAAACCAACAAAAGAAGGCATTCTTCACTGTCGCCGTGATATGCGTTCGGTTGCTGTTATAGTTTAATGGCGCCTGGCAGCGTCGGGGGAGACACAGCATGTAACAGGCAGAACTTGACACGGCGTCCCAGAGCGTCTACAACCAACACACCCAGGGTACCTTGCACATTGTATGTGGACATGGAAAGTCCATGACCAAACGTCGATATGTGATGAGGTTTTCCACTATCTATTCCTTATTTTTTGAATGACTATGCTGTGTTTTTTTACTTGCTTGTTGTAATGACTAGTTGGCACCTGATCCGATGTAGCACTCCTGATCTCGTTGTATATACAATAAAGGCTTTCTGTTCTATTCCATTACTATAGTGTGGTGTTGATACTTTGACGCACAGTGAGTAAAAGATCTGACACTTCCATATAAATATAGATTTATGACATTACTTTACGTTCCTTACTATTTATCTCGTGTTGTGATATCAGGTACTCTGATGTGTTCAATTGCTTTTAAGCATTGTGTAACCGTTTATGGCAGAACAATATCACAATAAATCAAGTACGTCTTCACCGTGGTGTTGGGGGTATTTCCTTGGCACACTTGGGGCCCTTTACAATGTGAGCATTGCTTAAACATCACAGCTGACCTGGGGGTTGTTGCGGACCGTGTCCGTTCCTTTATGACAGTGTAAATCTTCTGACGGCTACTTCCAGCAGGATAACACACCATGTCACTGAACTTAAATCCCACAGGGGAGCGGCGGTGTGGTCTCTGAAGCTTCAGCCCCGAATGTTTCAGGTTTGTCAGAATATCTTCATCCTTGTGTTATTACTCTTAAGTCTCAGCTGGGAAATCAACAGAATAAAAGCTCTTACTAAGGAAATATCACCATCTATAGGTCCACCCTAACATTGTAATGGGGCTTTGTTGTCTTGTGTGTGTGTTCTCTATTGTAAGGTTGATCATTGTCTTTATTAGCTAAGCCAGGGGTGTCCAAACTTTTTTGAATGGGGACCAGATAAAACTATGTGAAAATACCTGGGGGGCCAACTGATTCTTGCATCAAATGGGTTTTAAAAAAAAGAAATAAAGTGAGACAAATGCAACCATTTTTATCTTTTAATGAACTATTACTACATGATGCCTGTCTACAAACTGTATGATACTCTTATCATTGTGAGGTGAAGTGTAAAAATGCGAAGTGATCTTGCTCGATTAACCATTATTGTGTAAAGGGCCACATATGGTATATTTTGAAAGTCAAGCCGAGGGCCGATTAAAATTGGTCTGTGGGCCACAGCTGGCCCCCGGGCCAGACTTTGGACATGCCTGAGCTAAGCCTTGTAGCACCGTTCCAATCAGCCAAAGCCTGTTTGGGTCAATGAAACAAAATAAAAACAGCTTGATATGAACACATTTTAATTTATTGTGGAGCAGTAGTACATTATTATGGAAGTGTATTGCATTCACTTGACAAATAAAAAAAAGCCCTGTTTTTTGGAGTAATTTTTTTATTTTTCTGTTGTTTTGGTGTAATTTTTTTCTGTTTTTCGGAGTAATTTATTTATTTTTCTGTTTTTTTTGGGTGTAATTTTTGCTGTTTTTCGGAGTAATTTTTGCTGTTTTTCGGAGTAATTTATTTTTTTTTCTGTTTTTTGGTGTAATTTTTTCTGTTTTTTTTTCTGAGTATTTTTTCCCCTGTTTTTCGTGGTATTTTGTTTTCCTGAACGAGGAGACGAGATACTTAACTAATTACGTGCCTTACCCTTATTGATCCTGTAGTTGAAATTGTCTAGGAGCAGGAGTATGGATGCATGAGCAGGAGTCACCATGGATGCAGGGGTCACTTGCAGGTGCCAGGCGGGAGCTTCTTGTGAGATTTTGAAGTATCTCGTCTCCTCGTTTAGGAAAGAAAATTACCATGAAAAACAGAAAAAAAATGACCACGAAAAACAGAAAAAATTACTCAGAAAAACAGAAAAATAAATAAATTACTCAGAAAAACAGGGCTTTTTTTATTTGTCAAGTGAATACAATACGCTTCCGTATGTTTCCGTCAAAGGTTTGTACAGTCTGTTTGCTGTGACAATTTTATGACCTTTTGGTGACATCTAGCCAAATCTTATGCAATGTATGGTCAACTTCCGGTTTGAACCTTGCCCTCCACACATACCTGAGTGTATTCAAAAAGGTTTTACTGATTAGGTGAGTGAGAGAGAACATTCCGCTGTGGGCTTTATTAAAGAAGGTTTACGATTTAAATATAAATTAGAAGTAAACAAATATGCAGCAGTTAAATACAAAAATTAAATCGTTTTGTCTGTTTACTCGTCGTCTCGCGACATCTTGTGGTTCGACTTGAACAGCGCAGGCGGGAGGACAGACAGAGTTGAGCAGCTCTCGCGAGACTTGCGTGGTCCAAAGGTTTTCCACTATGGTTTCAACTCAAGACAAACAGCTGCTCGAAAAGTTGGTTTTAACCCCAGAAAGTTGCTTCATTCTGCCGGTAAGAGATGCCGATAAACACGTCTTAATGTTCAGATATTAGATGATACACAGTTTACACCACACGAAGCCGTTTTTATTAATATTAACGTAGTTTTTTTTAAAGTTTACCCTCGTGTCAAGCAGGTAAGGTTAACGGTTTGTATGCTAGCAACTGTCATGGCAAGATAATCACGTACTGTGAGGCTAATGAAGACTTTAGGGTTTTAAATACAGCTGTTATTCTGTTTTCAATGAAGCTATTTAATTCATACTGTGTTTACGTTGTTACTAACTTCATTTAATGTTCATATATTATATATTACTCATGTATTCTCAGTCATTTTAAACATCACCAGCTTTACATTTTAAAAGTAACGACACCATTTTGTCTTCATTGTTTAACATGGACAGAATATATGTATGTTGTAGGTGAAAATAAAATAATACGTACCTATCATTATCCACATGTGCTTAATACTGCCACACACTGCACATGTTTGTACTTTCTGTGTATTCGTTCAGGCAGCGATGAAGATGAGAGACAGCTGATGTGCTCTGCGGAAGATGAAGATGAGGGCGATGAAGCTGAGGGTGAACCACAGCCAGCTGCTGTTCCTGTCCAGAGAGGAAACATCTGGAAACTTCCAGAGAGAGGGAGCGCTGAGAGTCGGACGACAGGAGAGAGGTCAGAGAGGTTCTGTCTCAGGAAGCGGGATCAGGGAAACTCTTGAGTTTACTATGGCAACAGATACATCTGACATGAATCTGAGCCTGAGGCTGAGCGTGTAGGTCGTGAGGTCTGTGTGAAAGACACAATTTCACCTCACACTGTTACACTTATCTACATTATCATCATTTCCCTTTGGGTCTTTTCTTTATAACATTAGAGACACTGAACACAGCAGAGAACCGAAACTCCAGAGTTTCTCAGCTCAGGCTCAGTCGGCATTAGGCTCAGAGTTTGATGAGCCTGCTTTGTGAAATAGGGCATCATCTCCTCTGTGTTCTACTCTCTCTTCAGTTCTCCTACATTCTCCTGTTGTCTTTTGTTCCCGCTTGTGTTCTGTATTGCTCTATTTGGTCCTCCTGTGTTCTCTTGTCTCCGATCCCTCGCTCTCGGCTGCCTTGCTCCGCGGCTCTTCGCCCTCCATCTATTTCCACCCCCTGACTCACTCTGACTTTACTTCCTGGAATGTGTGCGTGTCCAAACAGAAGAACGACGGGCTCCATGTGTGTCTCAGCGGCAGTAAGCTTGTGTTCTCTGTCTCAGATCTCTGTGAGAGGTTCTGTCGGCTGAGAGGAAACCTGCTCTTCATCCTGAAGAAACAGGTGAGGAAGAGGGAGGTGTGTTCTTTCAACCTGGATGTGAGAGGAACATGTCAAGCATTAACCCATTGTGTGTGTGTGTGTGTGTGTAGGGTGGTAAACTAGAGGAGGTTCTGCTGTTGGAGAGATGTGAAGTGATGAAGCTCCCAGGTGACGACAGACGACTGGCTGTCAGTGAGTTACGCACCTGTTCTCCTCCGTTCTTTTTGGTTAACGTCTGAGTTTTGTTCCTTTTTTTTTGTTCTCTTCTCTCCTGTCTTTTCTTCTTTCCTGTTTTGTGCTGTTATTTTGTTTGTTCTCGTGTTTTCTCCTCTGCTCTGCTTTGCTCTCCTCCGTCTTTTTTTGTCCCCTTCGATGTGATGTTCTCTCTCGTGCCTTTTTCTCGTTCCTTTCCGTGTTCTCTCTTTTTTGCCGTTTTCCTCTGCTCTTTTTTTCTCTATATATAGTGTAATGTCAGTGTGTGTGTGTGTGTGTGTGTGTTTAGTGTTTGACAGCGGTGACCCTCCGGTGTTCCTGGAGTCGAGCAGCTCTGCAGAGTGTGTGTCGTGGCTCCTCGTCCTCAGAGACGCCAACACCGAATTGTTGAGGCGACGCATCACACACCTCCGCACGCTCATCAACACACACACCACCGCCGGGCAACACACACACACTGCTGCGACGTGCAGCGGGGGAGATGAAAACCTGGAACATGCTGGAGGTACACGTGTGTGTGTATGTGTGTGTGTGTGTGTGTGTGTGTATTTACAGACACATTAAAACTTCAGTCAACATTCAGTTTGCTGTTTTCACTGTGTGCTGATTTATTGTTGTTTTATGGCCACAAGGTGGAGTCGTGTCTGCTTCTAAAGTCTCTCCACTGCACCTCAGTGTAGGTACGTCACACACACACACACACACACACACACACACGCACACACTTCTCCATGTCCTGTTTAGTTCTGTCGTGTTCTTTTATGCTTCCTATCCCTCTGTGTTCTGTTCTCTCTGTTCCCCTCTCTGGTGTTTCACCATGCGCTCTGTCTCTCAGAGTTTCGAGGTGTGGTTGCCGTGGCAGCCAGCAGAGTCAAGGTACAAGTGTGTGTGATCGACACACACACTCACACAGTCAGGAAACACTGCTGCTGCAAGATAGTGGAGGTACACACACACACACACACACACACACAGAGTAAATCGAGGACAGCTTCAGAGAGAGAGAGTGCGATTTTAGATATTTCCGTTCTCTGCTTTTCTCCTTTCTGCCAAACTCGACCCCGACCGGCCTGCAGCTGCTTCCCTAATCTGCATATTTCCCATGATGCTGATGGGGTTTTAATCCCGTCGGCCATGACGAAAGAAGAGGAGGAGGAGGAGGAGGAGGAGGAGGAGGAGGAAAAGGTGATGGAGGGAGCAGAGAGACACTCAGCTGCTGTTTTAGTCTTTTTTAGCTCTGTGCGAACGACTGAAGCAGGATTTACATCTGCTGGATTATTTCGTCTGGTTTCCTCCTTTCCCCGCTTCAATGGACGCTCCTGCTCCTCCTCCTCTTCTTCTTCTTCTTCTCTTTCTTTTGTTCTGTTCTTTTATTTTCACAGACTGTAAATCTGTCATGTAGCAGGAAGACAACCAGAGAAACCGACTTTTAGCTGCTGCAGACCGACAGAGAGATTTATTTGTTTCTCTAGTGCAAAATTCAAGAGAACAATCAGCTTGAATTTCAGCGGTGCATTCAGGAGCAGGGGGAAAACTCTACGTTAAGTGTTGCATTCAGTGTCATAGGTCTTACTGTGCAGCTGCTCAGATTGCTTCTCTTTGTATCAAACTTCAGCACTGACTGAAAAACACCGACACGTTCTGGACGCTGCTTTTTTAAAGTCTGATCTTAAATTTGTAATTTTTGTTCAATCATTCTTTGATCAGACACTTTGTGATTTCAGTCGGAGTTTTGCGAATTGTAGTTTGTTTAGTTTTGTTTTTTGAGATATTACATTTCTTTTCTTATAGTTTATAGTCCGTCTTAAAAGACATTAAGTGACATTTTAAGGGGAATATTTTTCCTTTATTCTGAAGGGTCAAAGGTCACAGTACCTGGCGATAGACTGGACGAACATTTGGAGATTTTTTTTTTTTTTGAAAATAGCAGCAGCGAGCAAAGTAGATGTAGTTTAATAAAGATGAAAATATTTCTACAGTTGGATTTTCTTGAATTTAACAATATTTTAGTTTTTTTAATCTCCTAATAATTATTTATTAGATGTCCAGTGAAGCACTTTATGTTGCACATTTTTGCTGAGTGCGTGCCGTCTTAGAAAAAAGAATTTTGGTACCATTATCGGCTTTGAAAGCTGCACTGAACAGGAAGTGTGAGCTGCACCCTTGAGATAAGCTTTTATTTCTGTGGTGAAGAAGAAGAAGTAGAAGTCGACATCGAGGTCTGCCGCTGATGTCAGAGAATATTAAGTAGAAAGGAGCAAACAGGAAGTAAACAGGAAGGAAGAGGCTGTTTATTTTTATTCCTGGGGATGCAGAGAGCGACGATGGCGTTCAGCAAATGTTTTTGTCCACAGGGAGAGACCAGCTCCTCTGCTGGACAGGTAGGGAAGTGCACACACACACACACACACACACACACACACACACTCAGTAAACATTCAGTAGAGTCTGACAGAATTGCTGGAGTGTACTTTGTATTTATGTGAGTGTGTCTAGATTTGATGGGGATTAGCGTGTAATCTTAAAAGCCTCTTGTTTTGCTGAAGAACTCAATGAAGCAGATTAGCTCAGTGTGTGTTGGTTTGTGTGTGTGTTGTTGCTCAAAACCTCGGCCGCAAACGAGGAAATGTGGCAACAGTTTGTGTGTGTAACGTCTCAATATCCTGTTTGTTTGTTTCCTTCTGTCTTTCTTTCTGTGGTTCTGTTTTTTTTTTTTAGCATCCCTGCAGTTTACATGGCACATGAGGACTTTATTTTAGTCTGAATTTATTCCCTCTGTCAGGAGTGGGTGTCAGTGTGTCAGAAATTTTGAGGGGTGTCTGCTGATGCCACCGAGTACAGAGGTACTACTACTCGTACTCTGCGGGCACAACTATTAGGCAAGTTGTATTCCTGAGTATTCATTTTATGTTTAAACAAATAGAGTTAATAAACCTCAAAACTGAAAATTTAAGAAAGGAAAAGTGAGTGCAGCAGCAGCCACAGCCTCCCAAATGCTGTTCAAAGAGGTGTAATGTCCTCCCTCATTGTCCTGCATAAAAATCATGGCCTTCTTGAATGATGTAGAGTTTCTTCTGTACCCCTGCTTGAAGAAAGTATCTTCTAAAAACTGGAAGTAGGTTTGGGAGTTGATTCTAAGTCCATCTTCAACCTGAAAAGGTCCAACTCATTCATCCGTAATAAAAGCAGCCCACACCAGTACCTCACCACCTCCACCTTGCTGGCGTCTGACTCGGAAGTGGAGCTCTGTGCCCAGTAGTAATCCAGCCACGGGTGACGGGTCCATCCAGAGTCACTCTCATTTTATCTGTCCGTAAAACCTCTGAAAAATCTGTCTTTATATTTCTTGGCCCAGTCTTGACGTTTCAACTTATAAGTCATGTTCAGTGGTGGTTCTGTTTCAGCCTTCCTTACCTGGGCCATGTCTCTGAGCACTGAACAACTTGTGCTTCTCGACTCTCAAGTTAGGCTGCGTTTCTGGAATATGGCAGCACTGAAGGTTAATGGGTTCCTGGTAATAATAATAATAACAACTAGTCCATACCCATTGGTAGCTTTGTCACCTTCTACCTATGCCAATCCTCAATGCCTATGTGCAGTTTCACATAGATTGACCACGTCAGTGAGTAGAAAAACGTGGGACAGACAGAATGACTGACTGACAGAATGACACACTGACAGTTTCCGTGATTATGTACAACATACCATACCATGACTTAGTCATGCCAACAATTAGAAAAAAACAAAACATTGGTCCACAGGGGGAGCCACAGCGATCGGTCGCATTTTAGCCATTTTGAAGCATTTTTCTGTTGTTATAGCGCCACCCAGTTGCCAATTAGAGTTAAATTTCTCCAGTCACCTTGAGGCGTCCTGTTCTACATATCTACCAAGTTTAGTAAAAATGGATATCGCGGTTAGGCCTAGATAAGAAATTAGCTCTCTAGCGCCCCCATTTTGTTTGATGGGGTCAATAATGGAGGGATCCCCTCAGATTATGTGTGGTCATATGCCTACAAAGTTCGTGGTGATGGGTGAAACCCTTGAGATGTTATACACCTTTATGTGATGAGCCACGCCCTCCGCAATATTCATTGCCTTATAGAAGCTCAGTTTTAGTAAGTTTTCCAACTTTTGCTAAGAGGGAACTTTAGATATTGGTCCCTAGATTATGTTCACCCAGTTTCATGCAGATCGCTCAAACTTCCTAGGAAGAGATCGATTTGAAGTGTTTTTCAAAAAATTCAAAATGGCGGAAAATCTGTATAAGTGGAAGTTATGGGTTCTTGAGGCAAATTTGTTCCTCATGAGGAGAGGCATCTCTGTGCAAAGTTTCATGTCTCTACGACCTATGGGGCATGAGATATGCCCATTCAAAGTTTGTTATTTCAATTGGTTGCTATAGCGCCCCCCTTTGGCCAATTGATGTAATATTGCTTCATTGGCATCCTCCCATGACCCTCTACCACTGTGCCAAATTTCACATGGATTGACCAAGTCAGTGAGGAGAAAAATGTGGAACAGACAGTATTAGTAGTAGTGATATAGAGGTACTTCTTCTAGTAGTAGTATAACAGTAGTGGTAGGACTGGATAGGATTCCCTGTTAGTAAATGCAGAGATGACAGCAACTTTCGCTCCTCGTCTGTGTAGTGGAGATTGAGGCCATGTTTACGCGAAAACAATCTGCTGAAAACAGAATCGTTTCTCGTTTTCGTTTGGAAAAAAGTTCCTCGTTCAGACGACAACATTTTGATAACAATTGCCGTGCACACGGATCAGCAAAAATGGCCGCTGTAGTGTACATGTCAGGCCAGTAGTTGGCGGTGTGACTTTGTAATGAAACATGAGCCTGTGCACATGCGCTTCCTTCTACAGTGAGGTGATGTATAGACAAAAAAAAAAAGGCAACCGCACAAACTAGTGACTGGAACTGTAACGTAAATGTGCGAGAAGTCTCCGTTTTCAGAGGAGTGGCATATTGCAAGTGTGCGGTGCTGTTTCAAAAAACTCTGCTGTTGTGTAAATGATCAGCCAAAACGCAACTAAAGTTTACCGTTTTTGGTTGAGATCGTTGTCGTATAAACAGGGCCTTAGAGAAACACACACGTCTGCGAGTTTGTGTGTCATAGGTCGTTGCCATGGTAATAAACGAGGGACACCTGGAGCAGTGGGGCAGAGAGCAGACAGCTGTTCTAATGGATTATTCAAGTGTGAGTGATTCCAGTACCACATTTCAGCCACCAGCACAGATCTTCCTACATTTTGTGATGACAAAACCTCTGTGTGGAAGAGTAATAAGAAGTATGAGAAATATTAATTTGATATTTAAATTAATCTGCTGCTCAAACAATAAAGAATTTGCTTGTTTGGATAAAGCAAGAATTTGGAGAGTGCCACCTCGAGCTCTGCAACACTTTTCATAATTTAGTGTTTTACTTCATTAACTTCAGTTTGATGTTCTGTACACGAGTGTGAGTGTGTGTGAGTGTGTGTTTGGTGATTTGAGTGCTTTTCTCTCGTCAAGGTAATCCTCTGATTATCGTCATAGCAACGAGCGGTTTTAGTGCTATTGCTGTAGGGATTTTTGGTACACGACCATGACCCCGGTGCTGATGAGTTTGTGTGCGTCAGAGAGAACGGGACATTCGATAATTAATATTACAGTACATAAAGAAGAAGCTTAACACTGTGTGACAGCTCTTTATGTAACTTTACATGCCATGGTAAAATGTACATCTACTCAGATAGTCTTTGAGGGACTTGTACTTTACTGACAGTACTTTCTTTTCATGCCACCTGTGTTTCATAGAGCCAACAGAGACCCTCCATGAAGTGGGTATAGGCTGGATTACTGCTGGATTAGAGCAGGGAAATGTACACAGGGTGCCGAAACATATGGAAGCGAATCGTGACTAATATTTAAATTAAAATGTATTTGCAGAAATGCTTTTTCATTTTAAGAATGTGGCTGCATTATTTGACTCATAAATAAAATTAATCATCAGTCATCCTATTTGCATTTTAATTTTCTTCTTCAAGACTGCTCATTCTTTTACTTAATTAAAATGAAAAAGAAAAAGTCATTTGAGATTTCATTTTCAAAATATGCCCCAGCAAATAGATACCAAAATTCAATTTGAAATGTAAAATTTGAAAATTAAAATGCATTTACAGAAATGCTTTTTCATTTTAAGAATGTGGCTGCATTATTTCACTCATAAATAAAATGAATAATCAATCATCCTATTGCATTTGCATTTTCTTCTTCAAGACTGCACATTTTATGCCATAATCAAAAAGAAAACAAAGAAGACATTGCTATTTCATTTTCGTGGTCTGCCCTGCAAAATAGTGACCATAATTCGAAAATGATTTGGCAATCTGAGCGGCGCAGGAGAGTGACGTCAGGAGCCGCTCTTCTTCAGCTGACCATGGTGCTACCCATCTAATACAGTAGGGGGCGGTGTGCACATTTGATATATGGATGCGTCACAGATCATGGCGCTCCCTGAGATTGTGCTTTCTAAACATCGTAATTTCCCAAAACTGAATAAATACCACACATAGCAACACAAAACTGCTTTGCTAGCTCAATCATGTTGTAACTAAGATATCTGCTGGAAAAAATAATTTTTTCATGGACTGTTCATTGAGGATACGGAGTTAATACGTCTGCTGACTTGACAGTCATTTAAACTGGTAGCAGCTTATACTTGTACTTATAGCTTATACTTTGTAGACATCGTGATTTCCCAAAACTGAATAAATACCACACAGTCCAGCAACCTTTCCGGGGGAAACCCTGTGATATTGACACGTTAAATAATTTTCATACATACAAAGCTGCCTAATATAATTTAGATCTGCCCTGTAAAAGTGTGTGTATAGCGCACTGAATGAGTGTTAGGTGTGAAGAGGACCTTACAAGTGAGCGCACTGTGTTTTCTTATGACAAGCGGTAATAACATCTTCGCACCAAACACTCATTCAGTGCGCTATACACACACTTTTACAGGGCAGATCTAAATTATATTAGCCTAAATATTTAAGATGATTACTTATGTATGCAATGATTTATTGATATTAAATATATATAGATAATATAGATAAACATACAGTCCAACAATTCCTTTGATCAATGGATATTTTTTTGCTTAACAATTTAATGCAGAACAGCAAGATGGCATGATGCAATTTAATTTCTATCATGATCAAGATCATGCTGAAAGCTGAATTAATAGTAGTGTAAATATATCTATGAAACGTATACAAGTTTACAAGGGTCTTTGTTGACTGCAGCTTGTTAGCTATGGCCTCCAGGCTTATTACACACTGATGTCAATAGGTACTCCATATCATATCAGTTAATCTTAGCTGTGCATAATTTATTAATTTCACGAGCAGATTCAATATTCGACAACCATATTGTATGGGTTAGAATCAAACCAAGGCAGTATGTATGAAAATTATTTAACGTGTCAATGTCACAGGGTTTCCTCCGGAAAAGTTGCTGGACTATTATTTAGTTTTGGGAAATCACAATGTCTACAAAGTATAAGCTCAAGCTGAGTGTATCGGCAATCCAACTACAAAAATGCCAGTTGAGGGAATCCGAAGCCATTTTTAACTCATGTTGGTGTGCAAACACGAGGTCCTCCATGGTACACTTTGAACACTTTATTGACTTACAAAAACGTTAAAAACACCTACAAAAAGCCGAGTGTAAAAAAGACTTAAAACGAGCTCGTGCAAAAGGACAAAAATACTACGATTATAACGAAAACCCATTCACTCGACACACACACAGACATGGTTGAAAAACTGTGTGGCCTCCCCTGATTCTCATTCCATAACACTGATCAACTGTGACTCCCCTATCTAACCTACATGTGACTGATCACCACCTACGCCCACAGCTGTGCAGGTAACCCGTAGCAACCCTAGTGCCTACTAACACTGACACGGCACCTGCTACCAGTTTAAATGACTGTCAAGTCAGCGGACGTATTAACTCCGTATCCTCAATGAACAGTCCATGAAAAAATAATTTTTTCCAGCAGATATCTTAGTTACAACATGATTGAGCTAGCAAAGCAGTTTTGTGTTGCTATGTGTGGTATTTATTCAGTTTTGGGAAATTACGATGTTTAGAAAGCACAATCTCAGGGAGCGCCATGATCTGTGATGCATCCATATATCAAATGTGCACACCGCCCCCTACTGTATTAGATGGGTAGCACCATGGTCAGCTGAAGAAGAGCGGCTCCTGACGTCACTCTCCTGCGCCGCTCAGATTGCCAAATCATTTTCGAATTATGGTCACTATTTTGCAGGGCAGACCACGAAAATGAAATAGCAATGTCTTCTTTGTTTTCTTTTTGATTATGGCATAAAATGTGCAGTCTTGAAGAAGAAAATGCAAATGCAATAGGGTGATTGATGATTAATTTTATTTATGAGTGAAATAATGCAGCCACATTCTTAAAATGAAAAAGCATTTCTGTAAATGCATTTTAATTTTCAAATTTTACATTTCAAATTGAATTTTGGTATCTATTTGCTGGGGCATATTTTGGAAATTAAATCTCAAATGACTTTTTCTTTTTCATTTTAATTAAGTAAAAGAATGAGCAGTTATGAGTCAAATAATGCAGCCACATTCTTAAAATGAAAAAGCATTTCTGCAAATACATTTTAATTTAAATATTAGTCACGATTTGCTTCCATAGAAACAGACCGACATGTTACAGTTTAACACTCTGTGACTCTCTGTCTCTTGTAGAGGAGCTCCCTGGGTTTCACCTCCTTCTCCATCAGAGATCTGCTCAGGTCCAAAGAGCCTCACATCTCCCTCAGCCTCAGGTAAACACACTCTCTCCTTCTGTTATTATAAACCATGCGCCAGAACATGCTGGAGGGATTATATATCTCATCTGGCCTGGGAACACCTTGGGGTCCCCCAGGAGGAGTTGGGGAGAAGGATGTCTGTTGTGCTTTGCTTGGCCCCCATGACCCGCCCCAGATGGAGGTTTGTATACATGTTGTTTCTATAGCTGTTGATAAAGCCTCCTGTCAGCTACCGCTGTCATCACAAACTTACGTTGCTTCATGTGACGCTCTAAAGAAAAAACGTCTCATTTGGGTTGGGTTTCTGTGAAGTGCTATAAAGTTTAGTTGATTCAAAACACACATTAAACACACATTAAACATGGCTTTATAGACCCGTTCACGGTTTGTACACAATGATGACGTAGTACGTATGTGCGCACATTTTGGCAACAGAAGTATGGCGGAGATCGACAGTTTGTCAAGCTATGCAAGGGGATTATCAACAAAAGATCGCGAATGTTACCTCATCAAGTTGACTTTGACAAATGGTGTCCGACTTCCAGATCCGTGTGCTATTAATGAGTGGGTTGAAGACGTTAGCAAGTGGCCGAATATACAGTGGCCAGATATATATACGTATTTAATTGAGAAACCGAGCGTGTACACCAGAGAGAAATTACGAGCCTATAAATCGCTGGATGCTTATGAGTATGTTGTCTGTGGTCATGTACAGAACGTCAAATACCATGACATAGACTCAGAGTTTTGTGTGTTGAAATCAGAAATTCTCCCTAGTCAAAGACAAGGACACAAGACAACGATGTATGAGGCTTGGGTTATAATCAACCAACGAGAAAACTACGTCCTCACAGCGAATTGCACCTGTATGGCAGGGTAAGTAACCTATTATTTGGTGTTGTGGGCTTGTAGCTAACATAGTTCAGAGCTCTTTGATATAGTGGTTATTCAAACATTAATTATGCTTCTGTTTTACTGTCCTTTCAGGTTATCATTATGGATCAGCCAGTATGTTTATTATGTTTTTGTGAAATTTCAGGCTTGGGTCATGCTGCAGCCATGCAGCTGCAATATTATTCAAAGTTGANAACAATGAGTAGGGCAAAGCTAGCAGACTTTAGCGGTAAAGAAATCACAGCAAACTAGCAGCAATATGCACAAACCTAAATAATACTGATTACAGACAAGATGACTCGTCAGACAAAGCAAACTAACAACTAAAAAATAGGGAGACAAAGCTAACTAGAGACAAGATAACTAGAAACAGGTTGACTAGTGAGATACAGCTAACAAGAAACAGGTTGACTAGTAAGACTACATTAACTAGAAACAAGATGACTAGTAAGACTAAATTAAATACTAACAAGATGACTAGTGAGATACAGCTAACTAGACACAAGGTGACTTGTAAGACAACCTTAACTAGAAACAAGATGACTAATGAAATGCAGAAAACAAGAATCAAAGTGACTGGTAAGACTTCTTTAACTAGAAATAACATGACTAGTGAGACTAAAATAACTACAAACAATTTGACTAGTGAGACTACATTAACTAGATATAAGATGACTAGTAAGACTACATTAACTGGAAACAAGATGACTAGTAAGATACAAGTAACTAGAAACAAGGTGACTAGTAAGACTAAATTAACTAGAAACAAGGTGACTAGTAAGACTGAATTAACTAGAAACAAGGTGACTAGTAAGACTGAATTAACTACAAACAAGATGACTAGTGAGATGCAGCTAACTGGAAACAAGGTGACTAGTAAGACTACATTAACTACAAACAATTTAACTAGTGATATACAGCTAACTAGAAACAAGGTGACTAGTAAGACTACCTTAACTGGAAACAAGATGACTAGTAAGACTACATTAACTACAAACAATTTAACTAGTGACATACAGCTAACTAGAAACAAGATGACTAGTAAGACTACATTAACTACAAGCAATTTAACTAGTGACATACAGCTAACTAGAAACAAGGTGACTAGTAAGACTACATTAACTGGAAACAAGGTGACTAGTAAGACTACATTAACTACAAACAATTTGACTAGTGAGATGCAGCTAACTAGAAACAATATGACTAGTAAGACTAAATTGACTACAAACAAGATGACTAGTAAGACTACATTAACTACAAACAATTCGACTAGTGAGATACAGCTAACTAGAAACAAGATGACTAGTGAGACTAAATTGACTACAAACAAGATGACTAGTAAGACTACATTAACTACAAACAATTTGACTAGTGAGATACAGCTAACTAGAAACAATATGACTAGTAAGACTAAATTAACTAGAAACAAGATGACTAATGAAATGCAGCAAACAAGAATCAAAGTGACTGGTAAGACTTCTTTAACTAGAAACAAGATGACTAGTGAGACTAAATATACTACAAACATGATGACTAGTGAGACTAAATATACTACAAACATGATGACTAGTGAGACGCAGCTAACAAGAAACAAAGTGACTAGTAGGACTTCATTAACAAGAAACAAAATAACTGGCAAAACAAAAGCTAACTAGAAACAAGATGACTAGAAACAAGACCATTAACAAGACAACCTTACCAGACAGAAGAGCTAGTATGACACATAAACTAGAAGACTAGGAGACAAGGTAACTAAATCCTCAAGTTAACTAGTTCATATAAACAGGATGACTAATAAAACAAATGTAACTCACTGAGATAATAAGATATCTTACTGATGTTGAGGTCAAAGACTGTTAGCTGGACGAACCATGAAGGAACCAGAGAGACTAAACTAACTAGCTGCAGGAAACTGTGCGGCACAAAGCTCTGTACCTCTTGCCTACCTGTGCCAGGTATGTATTAGTAATCAGACACACCTGGACGCAACATGCCAACACAGACACACCTACTGTACACGGCCTGCTAGCACCTGGCTCTGTCACTCTCTGTTGTGATACAAAAACAGGAAGTACTCCTCTACTCTCTGCAGAGGTGGAGCCATACACTCCCCCCTTCTCACTTCCTCATCTGGCTACAGGTATCCAAGCAACAGCCAATCAGGTGACACCTCCTATACCTCTGTGAAATCTCTATGAGATGGATTTTTTCCATTCAGAAAGTTTCTGTGAGACGAAATGGGAATATGTGAGGAGGTTAAAGTGAGTTTGAAGAAGTTTGCAGAGATGTGTAATAACATAATAGACATAATAGTCCAAGTCAACCTGTGGTTTGACCCTGGGAACACTGCACTAGTAACCATTCAAGATGTTTGGTGATCTCTTGGGACATCCATATAACATATTAAAAGTAAACCATTACATACTTAGTGGGTCGAAATGTGGGGCCATTGTGTCACAGCATCACACAGAGAAGTGCATATCTCTGCTTCTCCTCATATAACTTCTGTCGTAACATTAGTTTTTTAGGATGAGTTGTTTTAAGTGAATGATAAAAAATTCTATCATGATAATAACAGTCAAGATGCTGATAGAATAGTTAATAGAATTGAGTAGCAAAGTTGCTGATAAAACCAGTCAGCTCGCACACACTCTGTAACCCCACGCTAATGCTAATGATATTAGCACAAGCCTATGGCATTTTACATTGTATAAATTAGCCTAGCAGCTAGCAGACTTTTCCTCTACTCATATGAAGCCAGGGACAACAGCAGCATGTAACAAAGGTAACGTTACAAAATTCAGCTCCTTTACAGCTCATAAGGTTCACAAGGATACTAAACACATTTTCCAAACAAATACAACATGCTAACGTTATTAGCACAAGCCTGTGGCATTTTACATTGTATAAATTAGCCTAGCGACTTTACTTCCTTTACTCATATGAAACCAGGATAAATCACACACAACACTTAAAATGCTTTTTTTGTGGAGGTTTATTGTTTTCACAATTTGTTGTTTCGTATCTGTGAAATTATAGTAAATAAAAGTTTTGTTTCCACTGAGGGAAATGGTTTCAGCTTACAGAAACAGACAGGAGGTCTGCGTCACAGTGACGTGTAGCTACATTTCTGGGGAAGAGCACGCCAGGCTACAGTGTAGGCTCTACGTCGACACAGTGGCGTATTTGCATCTAAACTGTCGATAAAGTCTTCCATATATATTTAGTATCTATAACGGTGTCACTTGTTAGTTTGAGAGTTATGTAAGGGACTGTAGTGCAGGGGAGGTGAGGGGTTGGGGTGACGTGGGGTTACAGAGTGTGTGCGAGCTGACTGGTTTTATCAGCAACTTTGCTACTCAATTCTATTAACTATTCTATCAGCATCTTGACTGTTATTATCATGATAGAATTTTTTATCATTCACTTAAAACAACTCATCCTAATAAACTAATGTTACGACAGAAGTTATATGAGGAGAAGCAGAGATATGCACTTCTCTGTGTGATGCTGTGACACAATGGCCCCACATTTCGACCCACTAAGTATGTAATGGTTTACTTTTAATATGTTATATGGATGTCCCAAGAGATCACCAAACATCTTGAATGGTTACTAGTGCAGTGTTCCCAGGGTCAAACCACAGGTTGACTTGGACTATTATGTCTATTATGTTATTACACATCTCTGCAAACTTCTTCAAACTCACTTTAACCTCCTCACATATTCCCATTTCGTCTCACAGAAACTTTCTGAATGGAAAAAATCCATCTCATAGAGATTTCACAGAGGTATAGGAGGTGTCACCTGATTGGCTGTTGCTTGGATACCTGTAGCCAGATGAGGAAGTGAGAAGGGGGGAGTGTATGGCTCCACCTCTGCAGAGAGTAGAGGAGTACTTCCTGTTTTTGTATCACAACAGAGAGTGACAGAGCCAGGTGCTAGCAGGCCGTGTACAGTAGGTGTGTCTGTGTTGGCATGTTGCGTCCAGGTGTGTCTGATTACTAATACATACCTGGCACAGGTAGGCAAGAGGTACAGAGCTTTGTGCCGCACAGTTTCCTGCAGCTAGTTAGTTTAGTCTCTCTGGTTCCTTCATGGTTCGTCCAGCTAACAGTCTTTGACCTCAACATCAGTAAGATATCTTATTATCTCAGTGAGTTACATTTGTTTTATTAGTCATCCTGTTTATATGAACTAGTTAACTTGAGGATTTAGTTACCTTGTCTCCTAGTCTTCTAGTTTATGTGTCATACTAGCTCTTCTGTCTGGTAAGGTTGTCTTGTTAATGGTCTTGTTTCTAGTCATCTTGTTTCTAGTTAGCTTTTGTTTTGCCAGTTATTTTGTTTCTTGTTAATGAAGTCCTACTAGTCACTTTGTTTCTTGTTAGCTGCGTCTCACTAGTCATCATGTTTGTAGTATATTTAGTCTCACTAGTCATCATGTTTGTAGTATATTTAGTCTCACTAGTCATCTTGTTTCTAGTTAAAGAAGTCTTACCAGTCACTTTGATTCTTGTTTGCTGCATTTCATTAGTCATCTTGTTTCTAGTTAATTTAGTCTTACTAGTCATATTGTTTCTAGTTAGCTGTATCTCACTAGTCAAATTGTTTGTAGTTAATGTAGTCTTACTAGTCATCTTGTTTGTAGTCAATTTAGTCTCACTAGTCATCTTGTTTCTAGTTAGCTGTATCTCACTAGTCGAATTGTTTGTAGTTAATGTAGTCTTACTAGTCATCTTGTTTGTAGTCAATTTAGTCTTACTAGTCATATTGTTTCTAGTTAGCTGCATCTCACTAGTCAAATTGTTTGTAGTTAATGTAGTCTTACTAGTCACCTTGTTTCCAGTTAATGTAGTCTTACTAGTCACCTTGTTTCTAGTTAGCTGTATGTCACTAGTTAAATTGCTTGTAGTTAATGTAGTCTTACTAGTCATCTTGTTTCTAGTTAGCTGTATGTCACTAGTTAAATTGTTTGTAGTTAATGTAGTCTTACTAGTCATCTTGTTTCCAGTTAAGGTAGTCTTACTAGTCACCTTGTTTCTAGTTAGCTGTATATCACTAGTTAAATTGTTTGTAGTTAATGTAGTCTTACTAGTCACCTTGTTTCCAGTTAGCTGCATCTCACTAGTCATCTTGTTTGTAGTTAATTCAGTCTTACTAGTCACCTTGTTTCTAGTTAATTCAGTCTTACTAGTCACCTTGTTTCTAGTTAATTTAGTCTTACTAGTCACCTTGTTTCTAGTTACTTGTATCTTACTAGTCATCTTGTTTCCAGTTAATGTAGTCTTACTAGTCATCTTATATCTAGTTAATGTAGTCTCACTAGTCAAATTGTTTGTAGTTATTTTAGTCTCACTAGTCATGTTATTTCTAGTTAAAGAAGTCTTACCAGTCACTTTGATTCTTGTTTTCTGCATTTCATTAGTCATCTTGTTTCTAGTTAAGGTTGTCTTACAAGTCACCTTGTGTCTAGTTAGCTGTATCTCACTAGTCATCTTGTTAGTATTTAATTTAGTCTTACTAGTCATCTTGTTTCTAGTTAATGTAGTCTTACTAGTCAACCTGTTTCTTGTTAGCTGTATCTCACTAGTCAACCTGTTTCTAGTTATCTTGTCTCTAGTTAGCTTTGTCTCCCTATTTTTTAGTTGTTAGTTTGCTTTGTCTGACGAGTCATCTTGTCTGTAATCAGTATTATTTAGGTTTGTGCATATTGCTGCTAGTTTGCTGTGATTTCTTTACCGCTAAAGTCTGCTAGCTTTGCCCTACTCATTGTTTTTTCCCAGTCTTTTGCCTCGTCAAATCATTGGTAACTAGTTAGGTTTCTCTCATCCTTATTTCTCATTAGATAAGCTAGTTGGGCCAGTTGTGATTGGGGTATTAAATTAACTTAATTAGCAGCTCTTCACGTGTCCTTTGCACACTCCAATTTTGTGTTTCCTAACAATCAGTATTGTTTTTTTCTGTCTTGTTCCTCTGTTTTATTCAGGACGATGGATGGAGTGAACGAGGTCGGGGAGGTGAAGGTGTCCTGTCTGCAGATGGAAGGAGAAACTCCTCCCGAACACAAGGTAGAGGAGGAGAGAGGTTGTGTAACTTTGCTCCCTCCACCCTTTCTGGTTGCTCTTGTGTGTAACATACAGACGTGTTACAGTTTGACACTTAGCTCTGTGGTTTCTGTTCAGTCATCTGAGTGAGAAAAAGAAGACAGAGAGAGAGACGTATTTTCCCTACATTTTACCGTCTCTGTGCCATCTTCTCTTCTCCAGTGTCCTGCGCTGTGTGACAGTCTGCACAGCTCCGTCCACAACAAAGAAAACAGTCCAATGATGAGAGCTGGTGAGAAACTTTTCATGTTACACACGTTCAGGGGTTATTTATACAAGTTTCTATGCCCTTATATGACTTTCACTTCCCTGCTGTGTGTGTGTGTGTGTGTGTGTGTGTGTGTGTGCAGTGCTGTGTGCTCAGGTGTGTAAGGTGTACAGGTTTCAGACGGAGGATCAAAGATGGCTGCTGGTCCGGGAACAGATGTCAGAGACGCCGCTGTCTTTCTATGTACCTAAACAGCTACTGAAAGTGCTCATACACAACCACACCAGCAGGTGTGTGTTAATGTTTCTCTCATAATATTCGAAAATCTGAATGGGAGAGTTAAATATTGAATTTAAGGCTTCTGTATGTCACTTTAAGAAAGTCCTTGCTATTAGTGGCACCGCTCTCTGAGGCCCTTAAGTTAGCTGCAGTCGACATCCTGTTGCTCCAGCTTGCACCACGTAGCCACAAGCCAGCACCTGGCACCTTGTTTCTAGTTCGCTGTGTCTCACTAGTCATCTTGTTTCTAGTTGTTCTCCACCTTTTAGAACCACATCTGTGCGCTAGGTACCCCAACAGAGGGGGGACCAAAAATGGGGACGGTACGGAACGGTTCCATTGGTACCATCCACAACTTTTCACAGTGAAAGCAAACAAATATGCGCACCGAACTGAACTGAACTGAACTGAACTGTACTGCTGGGCCGCCGCTGCAAAAGAGAAAAATTCGTCCCATGTCCTTTGCATAGAAGGACCTTTATTTCAGAATTTGCTGTATGTTCAGTACATCTTAACAGATTCAATTTAATTTGTTCCAGATATTCCAGGTAGTGGAACCTTATCGACTCAGCCGACTTAATTCTTCTTAGTGTCATGAAGTGGGAAAAAAACTAACTTTTTTTAACTCTTCCTCAGGGTCCAGGAAGTGAAGGATCTCGGTGACCTTTCACCCCACTGGGACGGGATCCGCCACGATGTCATTAACCACTGTCACCACCTGATTGGCTGCTATCAGGAAACGCTTGCTGAGCTCGACAAACTCTCAGGTGTCAAGTCAATCAAAGGGCCAAAAATAATCTTCCCTTAAAGGAATAGTCTGTGGAAATATTCACTTTGCTGCAGAGAGTTCGATGTTCAGATTGATCCCACCCGTCATGTCTGCACAGTAAATTTAAGCGAATACTTTTGGACGTTTACAAAGTATTTGAATGTACAATGTTTAGTTGTAACAGTGATTCTTCACTGTGGTGCTGCTGCTTTAACTTAAGATCCAGGTTCTTCTTCCACCTCTACACACTCCAGGAAGTGAAGCCCAAAATGTTGGACTGTTCCTTTAAAGAATATTGGTAGAATTTTGAATTCAGCTTGTTGTTCTGTGGGACAATTACCTCAGTGTTCTCTTTGTCTTTCGATCAGCTTCGTCCTGTTTTAAGTCGAGCGGCAGTAAATCAGACAAACACCTTCAGTTTGTTCCGACCAACCTGCACTCACAGAGGATGGAGGTCACCAACCCGGACAGCACTGGTACGTTCAGGAGCTGCTCTGTGTGGGTACATGAGACCCTAAAAAAGAGGCTGGATCATGGGGAGTACCGCCAGTTGGTCCAGGAGCTTCTCCTCTCTGAAGACCTTTTCCAGGCATATTTTAGGATGACTCAGGGGCAGTTTGACAACCTGCTGTCTATCGTAAGGCGGTATAGCTCTGGGTATCCAGCAACCACTACCACCAGTTTCTCTCCATTGTTTACCTGTACACTTGTTGTTGTGACGACCACAGAAGGCCCGCCTCTCAAATCGTCCATTTTGCCGAGAGCGCAGAAATGTGAGGCACATTGCAGTGCAAAACGCTTTCTGTGTGATCGGTGCCTTAATTCTTTTTATCGTGCTTCTTTATTTACCTTACCGTTATATTTACCGTTCTTTATGTATTTGTTGCCTTGATTATTTACATGATGATTTGTTTCATACCTTTATTTGTTTATTACATCAGCATATTTATTTATTTATTTATTTATTTGTTAATAGTGACATAAATGGCCTTCTGTATCTGTCCAGGTGTTTGGTATGAGGTCATAACGTTCGGTGCTCCGTCTGATCACCACCAGGCCTTCAAACACGGAGGACTGAAGAGGCTGCTCAGCAAACACACGAACCTCAGAGACAGGTGTGTGTGTGTGTGTGTGTGTGTGTGTGTAAAACCTCTCTGTGGATTAATCTCTATAATCTGTGCCCTGTCAGGATTAGTGACAGCACACAAGTACGTTTCATTCTGTTGAATTATTTGGACTTGTTCAGTTACAGAGCTGTTTTGTGACGATGCATTTCAAGAGGGTTTTTAAAGACTTTATTCGTCTTGAGAAGGAGAATTTTCTCAACACATAAAAGAACACTTCATCCTTCAGTTTATCACCAACATTTAACATTAACACATCTGCATGTTGTGATATATCAGTGTAAAGCTGCAAAGAACGAATACCTTAAACTGAACTTGAGGACACTTGAGTAAATGTTCTTAGTTTTGAGGGCACTTATCTCGTTGTCACTCCGTCCATCTCTTCAGCTCTGTCTCGTACTCTCAGGATGAGAGCTCCAGAGCGAAGGAGTTGCTGGCCAGCGTGGCCCAGCTGCAGCCCCTTGTCTTCGGGCTCGCTGAGGAGCTGCTGGCCGTCTCTCTGGAGCTGAACGCCGCCCGCCTGCAGCAGTTCCTGGACAGCCTGACTCAACAGGTGCGGGTGGAAGAAAAACGCAGGTGACATATTCAGACATCATGAAGTTTTGTTTTGTCTTGACTTCTTCCTTCTCACTCAGACGGAGCACTTTGTTCACGCACTCAAAGACGAGCTGGTGAAGAGCGCCCTGTTGGCGATCCACAACCAGTGCGCAGCCAGCTGCAACAGCAGCCACGTCCACAGCAACGGGCTGCTCTGTGACAACACGCCAGCCTATCAGGAGGGGCAGGCATCGCAGGGGCAACAGGATGCAACAGGACGGGACGCAGAGTACGACGAGGAGGAATGGGCAAGTAGAGTGTTTGTGTGAGATCTTAAAGCAGGGGTGTCCAAACTGTTCAAACAAAGGGCCAGATTAGATCATGTAAAAATACTGTTTCATCTTTCAGTAAGAAAAGTATTCAAATTTCCACCGCTCCTGAAAGCGGCGGCCCTCGCTGTTGACTTTTCGCTCCTTTGCTTGTGGCCACAGTTGACCCTTGGCCTGGACTTGGAGGAATACTTCACCCCCCAAATGATCTTTTGTTCATCTGTTACTCAGCCTGTGTAGGGCTGAATTCATGAAGACAACTTTGTTTCCTTGTATGCCTCCACGGTGAGCGAAGAATCCAAAAACAGAGAAGATTCTTGTTCAGTTGGAGTAGAAGGGCAAAACTACATCAAAGCACGGTTTACAAACTCTCACACAACTCGTGTTTTGATATAGTTTTGCTGTAGTTAAACGTGGACGCCTTCGACTTTAATTTATCAAGAGTTTTCCTCCTTGGATTCTTCGTTCAGTGTGGAGGCATACAAATTTAACATAACACAGGCTGAGTAATTGATATATATACGCACACAGACGTTTTGTAGGTGAAGTATTTCTTTAACTCGTTTATGATTGTGTTGTACCTGTTTTTATATGTGTGCGTGTGTTTGTGTAGGACAGAGCGTGGGCGAACGTCGCCATGAGCCTCAACTGCATCATTGCGATGGGCGACCGGCTGCAGGGGCGCCCTCAGGAGATGACATCATCATCAGAGCAGCAGGAAACCACAGCGGACACAAACTCTCAGAACACCGGTGAAATGTTATTAAATGTTTCTGCTGGCGCTTATTTATAATATTCAAGATTTAAGTTTGCTGATCTTGTCTACCTCCTCCAGCTTCCTCCTCCTCCTCCTCCTCCTCCTCTTCCTCCTGGCAGGAGCAGCTGCTCCCCCTCGTGGTCACTCTCAGGGATTGTGTGCGTGAGGCAGTGGGGAAGGCCCGAGCTGCCATGACCTTTGTGGTCCTGCAGGGGGCGGTGGCCACGACCATCGCCCAGGGACCTCTTCACATCGTCCAGAGACGCCACGCCGTCTTCAGCCAGGCGGTGAGAGAAAACAGAATGAATCAGCCTGTAGTACAACAAAACGTATCGTATGATGTATAGTATTATAACGTATAGTCTAACAAAACGTATATAAGAAAACGTATAAAGTAGAGATCTGTAAGCATTTCTGTCTTTGTGCTGCTGCAACACCGAATTTCCCCTCTGGATTAGTTAATCTCCTCTTGTCTCATCTGATCTCATCTCGTCTCCTCTTATCTCATCTTGTCTCATCTTCTCTTGTCTCATCCTGTCTCGACTTGACGTGTCTCGTCTCATCTTGTCTCGACTTGTCTCGTATCTTGTTTCATCTCATCCGATGTCATCTGATCTCGTCTCGTCTCATCTGTTCTTGTCTTATTTTGTCTCATATGTTCTTGTTTCATCTCATCTTGTCTTATCTTCTAGCTGTCAGCAGTAGTGTGCGGTTTCATGTTGAAGCTGTATGGAGGTCTGGAGGATGTTGACTTCCTGCAGCAGCTTCACTCTGTCGGACTGCTGGTTCAGTTCGAGGCCCTGCTCAGCACCTACGGTACACACACTCACATACACACTCACACACACACTCACACACAAATACACACTCACTAACTTGCTACACATCCCGTATGTCGTCTAACATGGTGGGTGTGTGTCAGGTGATGAGGTGGGGATGCTGGAGGACATGGAGGTGGGTGTGGCTGACCTGAGCAGAGTGACATTCACTGTCACCGAGGCTAAAACAGAAGAACCGGACGACCTGCTTCCGACACTCAGTGGAGCATGGTGGGAAACACACACACACACACACACACACACACACTCAGGCCACACACACAGTGATGCATTTTTATTCCTCTGCGCCAGAGGCATTATACTCTCAGGTCTGTTCGTTCGTCCCAGTCTTGTTAACATGATATCTCAAGAATGCCTTTGGGGAATGTCTTCAAATTTGGCACAAACGTCCACTTGTACTCAGTGATGTACTGATTCAATTTTGGTGCGCAAAGGTCAAGGTCCATGTGACCTTGCCTCTGTCTTATTCTTGTGAATGCAATATCTTAAGAACACCTTGAGGGATTTATTAGAAATTTGGCACAAATGTTAACTTAAAGATGATTGGATTGGATTTTGCTGGTCAAAGGTCAAGGTCACTGTGACCTTGTATCCTTGTCATTCTCGTGATTGCAATATTTCAAGACCTTCATGGGGAAATTTCTTCAAATTTGGCACAAACGTCCACTTGTACTCATCAATTAACTGATAAGATTTTATTCTTAATTCCCCATTAGCTTCCACACAGTGGTAGCTAGTCTTCCTTGGGTCCACTCACACATGATTAGATGTTGTTGGTCATAGGCCAAGGTCACTGTGACCTTGTATCCATTTTATTCTCGTGAATGCAGTGTCTTTAGAACACCTTGCACAAACCTTCACTCAAGGATGACCTGATTAGATTTTTCGTCCAAGGTCAAGGTCACTGTGACCTTGCATCTGTCTCATTCTCATTATCACAATATTGCAGTACTTCATGTAAGAATTTCTCCAAATTTGGCACAAACGTCCACTTGAACTTAACGATGAACTGATTACGTTTTGTTGGTCAAAGGTAAAGGTCACTGTGACCTTGCATCCATTTTATTCTTGTGAATGCAATATCTTCAGAAGACCTTTAGGGATTTTTAAAAAAAAATTGGCACAAACGTTCACTCAAGGATGACCTGATTAGATTTGTCATCAAAGGTCAAGGTCACTGTGACCTTGCATCTGTCTCATTCTCATTATCACAATATTGCAGTACTTCATGTAAGAATTTCTCCAAATTTGGCACAAACGTCCACTTGAACTTAACGATGAACTGATTACGTTTTGTTGGTCAAAGGTAAAGGTCACTGTGACCTTGCATCCATTTTATTCTTGTGAATGCAATATCTTCAGAAGACCTTTAGGGATTTTTAAAAAAAAATTGGCACAAACGTTCACTCAAGGATGACCTGATTAGATTTGTCGTCAAAGGTCAAGGTCACTGTGACATCTGTCCCATTCTCACTAATGTCACAATATTTCAAGAACTTCTTGAGGAAATTTCTTCAAATTTGGCACAAACATCCACTTGGACTCCATGATGAACTCAGTAGAATTTGGTGGTCGGAGGTCAGGCGTGTATATATGAGGTATGTAGACCTGTAGCTGTAACGTTTTGGCACCAACAGATCATCACTGATAAGATCCTATGGGGAAGTGAACGTGTCTGTCTGCGTCGTTGTTTGTCAAGCCTCCATTTTTGCTCGTCCAGACTCAAACACAACCCCGGAGTTTTCAAGTCAGTTGCATTTTCAAAGGTCTCTGTTTAAAAGTTCCAAAACCCTGAAGTAGTATTGACACTAGGAGTAAACGTTGTGTTTTTTAAAACAAAAATGTATTAGTGAGGATGTTGCCTCATACACAAACACACACACACACACACACACACACACACACACACACATAGTGTAAACTCACAGTGTGTGTTCACCTCCGCTCAGGGGCAGTTTGGTCGTCGAGGTCCCGTTGCTGCCAGAAACCTTCAGGTTGTTGCCACAGGAAGTGAAAGACGGAAGTTGGATTCAAATTCATCCTGTTCTGTTTAACATTGGAATCAACCAACAGCAGAGCCTGGCTGAAAGGTACACACACACACACACACACACTAGAAGTTTGTAACCTGCAGAAATCCTGGAAATGTTCAATATTTTTTATGGTTTTAGTTGAACACAGTTTTGTTTGTGTCAGGTTTGGTGACAGCTCCCTGCAGGAGAGAGTGAACCAGCAGAGCTGTGAGCGTCTCAAAGTGTACTGTCACACACTGACAGACAAAGTGCCTCACATGGGTAAGACTCTGACTGTGCTCATCGTAAAGCTTTGTTTTGCGTTTTATTTTGTCGTGATCAGGTGGAGACAGCAGATTATTGACCTTATTGTGTCAGTAATTAGTCCTTCCTCGCTGTCTCTCAGCTGGTATCCAGTCACTGTCGGACCTGCTGTCCTCTCTGGATCGCAGCGTGGAAACCAGGAAGAGGAAGAACGTCGAGGTTCTGTGGACCGCTGCTACGGTAAGACACGGGACGACTGACATTTATCAGGTGACACAAACACAAAGACTCAACAGGCAGTCGTTATAATCACATGACTTAAAGTCCAGGTGAAACTAAAATGTGTTTAGAATGAAATTTGACTTTACACTACCTGGAATTTAAGATGTGTGTGTGCGTGTTCAGGTGTGTCGTAGGGTGAACGGTGTGCGTCTGACGAGCTGTAAGAGTGCGAAGGACCGCACGTCGATGTCGGTGACGCTGGAGCAGTGTGCGTTACTGAGAGAGCGACACGCACTCAGCCAGCAGCACTTCAGCACGGCGCTGGACTGCATGAGGAGGTTTGTTGATTTCAACACACAAACATCCTCTTCCTCCCTACTTCCTTTCCTTTGTTGTCTCCTTTTCTTCCTCCTCACTCACCTCCTTTGGCTTCCTTTGTCCTCTTATTTTTATGTTGCAGAATATTTTTCAGTTAAATCTTTTCTTTTTTACTTCATGTCATTCTCCACCCGCTCCCTTGTTTTCTCTTCTTTACATTTTCCTGTTTCTTTCTTTCTTACGGGATCTTCATCCTTCTCTTCATCTCCCTCATCACATACACACACACACACTCCTCCTCCAGGTCTCGTCTGTCCTGGGGGCAGATGCTCGGCTGTTACACCCAGCCAGGGATCACTGTCCGTGGGTTTGAGCCGGCGGAGGGCCCCCCTGGCCTCCAGAGCTCCTGGCTCCCGCAGTGTTTGGCCCCTAAAGCTCCCAGACGGCACCTGTACCCAGTGGCCTTCCTGCTGGTGTCCTCTCACCTCCTGGTTCTTTGGTTCATCCTCAGCCTCGTTATACTGCTTGCCAAATACCAGTAGACCAGCACAGACTGGGAATACTGGGCACAAACTGGACGACATGGATGATTTCATGTTTTTATCTCTGAACAAGACAATTTCCCCGAAAGCTAAAAGGGCCTCTTCTTACTTACTGTCTGAACTGGACAAACTTGTTGTAAATCGCTTGTTTCAGCCTCATGAACGTCACCTGTTCAGGAGGAGGTGCACGTTCATCACATCTGATCATCAGCATCGTCCACGCCCCGAAAATTCAGCGTCGTCCAGGAAAGTTTCATTCACCAAAAAATGAGCAGAGTGAAAAGAAACTGTGGAGCTTCGAGTCCTACTGTCAGATTAAATTTAGCAGCGTTAGTCACCTTGTTTGAGGGTAATTAGAAAATATGAATCATACAGCTGCTGGTCATCAGTGTGGAAACCTATCCCCACCAATGTGATGAAAGAAAAAGATTCTGTAATTCATGATAATGACAAACGTCCTTTAAAATAATTACTTTTTGTTTTTCATTACTTTTGAAAACATTTCTCAATATTTTGAGGTACGAAGTCATTATTTTTAGGTTCTTACTCATTATTTTAAGATGCTAACTCATTTTGAGATACTTCATTATTTTGAGGTACTATCTAGTTATTTTGAGTAGGGATGCACTGAATATTTGGTAACCGAATATATTCTGCCGAATATTGCAAAAAAACCACACATTCGGTGGAATAAGTTGAAAGCAAGGCCGAATAATAGCGGCGTGTTTTGATAACGCAATCAAACAGCGTGCCGTGACGGGCAGAGTAAAATGTCGGCAGTGTGGCGATGCGTCCCTCACCGCACTCGCATTTGCAACTAAAAATAGTTTTGAGCGAGCAAAATAGGCTTAAATCATTCAGCACGCTGTGCGAGCAGCCTACAGATTTCAACCAGCAGCAGAAACGAAAGGCGAATCCCACCGGTTGTGGGTTGAACGGGGGTCACAGACACATACAGTAATGTATTCCTGTCAAATATGGCGGCCATCGGCTTACCGGCGACGGATAAGTCGGCTCCAATAATATCGTCTTCTTGGCGTGTGGGCTGCCCAGAAGTACCTGAACAGCCGAGCCAGCCGAACACAGGTATGTGACGTGTCAGAGGAGAAACGAGCCGTTCACGGCCCACAAACCTCACCGCACTTTAGGGACTGTTCTTTACTTGTCAGGGGAGGAGGGTGGCTGGTTGATTCTTATTTTATTTATTTATTTTATTTTGATCCCCCCTATGTTAATCACTTATTGATGCTGTTTTTGAAGTATGAATAAGTCAGTAAGTAATTTATTCCACTGAAATATCATTGATGTATTATAGAAAAGTGATTTATCTTTTTATAAATGACAAAAGGCACATCTGCCTCATTTTTGCTGTGGTATCATGATACTACTCAGAACCATGATATTTTCATTGATATCGTACAGTGGTCCCAATTTTGGTACCGTGACAACACTAATCTGGAGGGGGTTCATCTGCAAAAACTAATGAAAAACTAAACAACGATCTTCGGTATTTGGTACTCGGTATTCAGCCAAGCATTTAATATTATTCGGCTTCAGCTTCGGCCACAAATTTTCATTTCGGTGCATCCCTAATTTTGAGGTACTTACTCATTATTTTGAGTTACTAACTAGTTATTGTGAAGTACTTACTCATTATTTTGAGGTACTATCTCATTGTCTTGAGGTACTGACTCATTATTTTGAGGTACTAAGTCATTATTTTGAGGTAGCGACTCATTATTCTGAGGCACTATCTTGTTATTTTGAGTTACTAACTAGTTATTTAGAGGTACTTACTATTTTTGAAAAACTTTATCAGTATTTTGAGATACTTATTATTTGAGATACTGACTCGTTTGTTTAAATTTTTATACCAGCTCATCTTTGAGATACTAACTCATGTTGAGAAACTTTCTCATAATACTAACTTATGACTGAGTTTTTTTTCACACTGATGGAAATGAGCCTCCGTAGCTCAGAGCAGCAGAAGTAAAAGACGAAATGATTAAACATGAGGTTGAATTAAAAAAAAAAAAAAAAAAGCTCAGATGTTAGACGGTAAACGATTCAAACGTTTTGTGAGTACAACAAAATTGGTGAATAAAGAAAATGATAGTAAGTCAGTGGTACACACTGGTTCACAACAGATCTGTTGGGACGAGCGTTTTTTACCTGAGGCCAAATGTTGTTTCTTCACTGTGCTGGGAAATATTTGTTTATTCATGATTTTATTGTTATAATTTATTTATTAATTTTATTGTATTTTTTATTTTCATCTTTATTTTTATTGTTATCATTTATTTATTTTGTACAAATGTGTTTTATGTTTGTTTTCAAATTAAACAATGTTTTTTTAGTTTCTGGTATTTGTAACATGGCGAAGGAGCTGTGTGTGTGTGTGTTATCAGACATCCATACCTCACTGTTCACTGTGTGTGTGTGTGTGTGTGTGTGTGTGCGTGTGTGTGCGTGTGTGTGCGCGCGCAACCAGGGATGGCTGCAGGATGGAGAACGTGCAGAAGAACGTGGGCAGCAGGAAGTTCGCCTTCAGCAGCGTTCAGCTCCTCACTTTCCCCAAACTGTACAGACCTCCAGACGGCAGCTTCGGATAGACACACTGACACTTAGTTTTGTTTTATACACACATAGTTTTTTATACGAAAAGATTGTTTCATCATGTAAAGTGTATGTTGTGTTATACACACGTGTAAATGTTATGTCTGTGTTCGTGCTGTTCACTGTGACTGCAAGTGTTTGATTTACAAACACGTCTCTGCAATAAATGAATACTTGATTTGTTTCTGTCTAAAATCAGATTTATCAAACCAAATGGATCAAGAAGGTCACCGCTGCGGGCCTCGACTAAACCTCCAAACCACACACACACACGCACCAAATCAGGATATTCAGGTCTGTTGCATGTCAGTCAGTGTGTGATGAGGTCTGATTAAACACACATTTGAAGAAGAATATGGACCATGTAAGTATGAAATCATCCTCAGCTTTCAAACTAGACTTCGACACACGGTCTCTACAATAAAATCACAGGAGACACATCAGATGTCTGAACAAGTGAGTTTAATGTGTCATGAATTATATAAGAATAAGGCAGTTGTTGCGATAGATAACTTTGCACGGGCGGAGGAGCTGAAAGGAAACAAGTGAGTAAAGTTCTCAGGTGACAAAAGCTTTTCTTTGTCTGATCTGAAGACACTCGCTGTATCGTAGGAGTCTAACAATAACACGAATATAATCAACTAATAAATTCAGATGTATTACCATATATTAAACTACCCAGCAGTGTATAAAGTGATTAAAATGAGCTCCACATTAACCAGCTACAACATTAAACTGATGATTATGATCCAAGAATATATAAATTATTACTAAAGTACAATTTTAAGGTGTTTGTACCTGAGTGTTTCCATTTTAAGCCACGTAGGGCTGCAGCTAATGATTATTTTTATCGTCAGTGAATCTGCTGATTATCTAATCAATTAATTGATTAGTTGTTTGGTCTAAAAAATGGTTGAAAATGTCAGTCAGTGTTTCCTAAAGTCCAAGATAACATCCTCAAATGTTAAATGAGGAAAGAAAACATAAAAAATACTCACATTTAAGAAACTGGATTCAGATCATTTGGACTTTCTGTGATAGTCAATTCTGTAATAATTCCTGCATAATGAGTACTTTTACATTTGATACTTAAAGTACATTTTGCTGATAATACTTCCGGACTTTTACTTGGAATTGAGTATTTTTACACTGTGGCATTTCTACGTTTACTTAATGGACTGTTCTCTACTTATTGGAGGAGAGGGGTGTGACCTTTTTGTTTATTTTTTTTTCCTGAAGCTACAGATATTTTTCCTTGAGCCTCCCAGAGTGACTGGTTGAAAGTGGATGACCCTCCGTCCACTATAAATTATTTGTTTGATTTTTAAAAATTTCCCTTCAATGTTTGGGAGTTTAATGTTGAAGATGAAATCCTGAAGATAGGCCAAATTTTGAATAAGGTGTAGAATAAAATGATTTAGTTAAATATTTTAATCTATGTTGTATTTTTTTTTTTTTTTGGTTTTTTGTATGATGGAAGTGTTCTTAGCACACGATGCATCCAAGCACCATCGGAAATTTGGAAAAATCTGACAATTACTAACTTATAAATGGTCTGATTTTGGCGATTTATTTATTTTTTATTTTTTTATTTTTATTTTTGGCGATTCTTCTTTTATATTCAGTAGTTTGAGGTACATTTCATGCATGAATTGTGCTTTATAAATAAAGATATTATTTTGGGTGGCATTTGAAGGCATGTTTTCTTTAAAAATCGACTGTAAGACAAAAACAAAATACAACCATTTAAAATTGTATGCCTCTCCTCTGAGTCAAAATAAAAAAATATAAGTTGCTCCCCAGTGCTTACATTATAGTTTCACCAGCCTTCCCCCCACATAAATAATGAACAGTCCCTAAAAAAATAACAACATACTAAATAAAACACAGCAAAATAAAATAGATAGAATATTTTATAATTAAAAACCAAAATGCATGACTTCACTTGTAATAGAGTACATTTACACTGTGGTATTTCTACTTTGAGTTCAGTAAAGTATCCGAGTACTTCTTCCACCACTCATGAAAGTATAAAGGTACATTTGTATAGTTCTGTGCGCACAGCTGCAGTTTCTCTGCCGGGCCGCTGGGTGGCGCTGCTCGACATCACAGCACACACAGAGCCGCGTCAATTACATACACACTCATAACGGAAATGAAATGCTGAGGTCCTTCACAATAAAAGACAACGGCTTTCACTCGTGCCGTTTAATTTATCAGGATGTCTGAGACAAGAGTGTCAAAGATAAATTACTTAAACGCAGCGGCTTCATTAAATAGTGCGTGATTAAAAATCTAATTTAGCAATGCAAGTTTTTCACAGCATATATAGAATATTTTGAAACCTGCACAATTTTAAAAGCTGTTATAGGTATTCATATTTTGTATATTTTATATAATCTTTTATTCAAACTCAAAAAAGATAGCAGGTCATGTTGATTAAGAGCTATATTAAATATTTATATTTACTTTTGTAATTTGGAAGAATTTGAAAAAAAAAAACAATATTCAACCATTTAAATTTGTATGCTACTCTCCTACGTGTAAGTAAATAAAAAAAGTCCCTCTGTAGTGCTTAAAAATATAGTAGACATACCTCCCTCTTTTTGCCCCACCCCCTCATAAATAACAGCCAGTCCCTAAAAAAAAAAATTAAATAAAAATCTCCTAAAATAAAATTTTTGATTTTGGCGATTTTCATTTTATTTATTTATATATATATTTTTTTGCAAATCTTCTTTTATACTGATCACTTTGTGTTACATTTTATGCATGAATTGTGCTATATAAATAAAGTTATTATAAATAGAATTATTACTTTTTAAATTATTATTATTTTGGGGTAGGTTTTGAGGGCATGTTTTTGTTTTTTGTTTTTTGTTAAATCGACGGTAAACAAATGCCCTTCCCCTAAGCCAAAATAAACATGAGTCCCCCCCAGTGCTTTTTTTTTTTTACCACCCCCTCAACCTTTAAGAGTGATGAACAGTCCCTAATTATTATAGAATAAAACATGACAAAACAAAAAAAATCAATTTAAATTCTCAAATACAAAAAAACGACTCAAATTTATTTTTAAACCTTAGTGAAGCTACAAATATTTGTCCCAGTATTGTAAAAAGTCTCTGAAATTTGCTTTTGACTGATTAAAAAAAATAAAAAAAAAATAGCGGCATTTATTTTGAAATAAAGAACCGGAAGTGGTGTCAGATTACCGGCAGCTTACCGCTGGTCCGTTCAGGCCCAGTCAAAACAATGCAGCTTTAAATATTCAACGATTATTAACCGTTAACCTCGTCGTGCTGTGAACCGCGTGCTGTTTTATTTCGTTAACGTTCACTAACGTCGTTTTAACGGTTGTCTGTGTCCGCAGCTGTCTCCGGTGTGAAGCTTCTCCTGTGGGTGTTTTTTGTGTTGTTCTCTGTAACGGTTGGAAATGGAGACGAGTAACAGGCGTCTGATGCTAGGTAGCCTGAGAGCGGCGGTGGGGAGCGGCTGAAAACACCGTAAAACGGTAAAAATAAGAGCCGGGAGCGGGCGGTGAGGAGTGGGCGTCGAGGCTAGAAAGACAGGCGGATTAAATAACGGTGGGCTGGTAGCATGGTGGAGTAGGCGTCTGCGGCGTCGACGCTATCGGGCTCCTGCGACCGACCGACGGACGATTCGCTCTCACCGGGGAGGATCACCATGGCCCCGGGCTCTCTGGTGGCGGCCTGCCGCAGCCTGGCCCTCTCTACGTGGCTGCTCTCCTTCTGCTTCGTCCACCTGCTGTGCCTGGACTTCACCGTGGCCGAGCGGGAGGAGTGGTACACCGCCTTCGTCAACATCACCTACGTGGACCCGGCCACCTCGGAGCTCCGCACCGAGAAGACGGAATGCGGTCGCTACGGGGAGCACTCGCCCAAGCGGGACGCCAAGGGGGTGGTGGTCCTGCCCGCCTCCCTGCACGACCGCCAGGCCTGCGACCCCAACACCCGGTTCGCGGTGCCCGCACAGGCCGGGGCCTGGGTGGCGCTGATAGCCCGGGGCAACTGCACCTGCAAGGACAAGATCCGCCACGCTGCAGCCCACAACGCCTCGGCGGTGGTCATCTTTAACGTGGGGTCCGCTAATGCTAACGACACCATTACGATGCCTCATCCAGGTACACTGACCCTCCTCATCTCAGCACTACATGCGCATTAAATAATGTTTAGTTAAACTCATCAGTCAGTGAGTTTATGTTAATACTTAACACTGTGTTATAACTTCTTAAAAGCTACAGTGATTGTCATGGTCACAGTGGTTCAGGTGTGCAGGTGCAGAATCATTAATACACATTATTACACACAGTGGATAAAGGCAGAGGCGGTCCCAGACTCGGGGCACATTAACCCACAGAGGCCCCCCAACAACCCCGTCTTGTTTTGACGACTGGTGCACAGGGTTGAGCAGTAAGTAATTACAAGTAACTGAGTTACAATTGCAACAAAATAAGTGATGTAGTTTTACAGTTTGTCTCAGATATTCAGTAAAAAACAAAATGATCTCTCATTTTGATACATCATGCTAACGTTATTAGCACAAGCGTATGGCATTTTACATTGTATAAATTAGCCTGGCGACAAGCGAAGGTTTCCTCTGCTCATATGAAGCCAGGACAAATCACACTCAGGATGTAAAATGCTATTTTTGTGGAGGCTTTATCGGCCTCACAATTTATTGTTTCTTATCTGTGAAATTAAAGTAAGTAAAAGCTTCATTTCCACTGAGGGAAATGGTTTCATCTTACAGAAACAGACAGGAGGTCTGCCTCGCTCAGTCATTTAGGATTTTGCTAAAAGAAGGAAATCACCTGTTGATTTATATCTATAAATCCCAGGGGACATTTTTGTATTTGTGAGCTGTTTAAATGTGTAATTTGTGGTCGATTTTATTTTGTTAAACTGTTAATATTGTAACAGTATCTGAATCTGACTCTGAGTTACTGTTGCATGCAGCTGCTGCACAGCAGTCACCTCTGAGACAAATCGGTGCAATCTTGTTTTTATCTCAACACATTTCCTGGTTTCTGCCTCTCAAATGTGAAAAGTTGCAGCTTATCTCTGTTTTTGTACCACAGTGAACTGAACTTCTCTCAAACACCACCGGCCGCTTGGAGACTGTGATCATTATTATTATTATTATTATTATTATTATTATTATTACTATTACCTTGATTATTCATTTTGAGCCAGTTGATAGAAATCTAGGTCATAGGCACACTATCTAATCATTCTTAGGTCTTGATCACACTGAAAACATTTCAGCACTTTTCAGTACTTTTGGGTCCAAAGGTACCAAAGTGTTTGGTGGAAACGGGGCTTAGTGTGCTGCTGTGTTGCAACACTATCAGATTCATTTATATATTAGATGTATTATTATTCAGCCTGTCCTGCTGTATCGACATCAGCTGGTTGTGGAAAACTCGCTCTGCTGAATCGATTGTGTCCAGAGAAGCTCAGCAGATATGATGATGAAGTGCTGAGTTATATAACAGACTGACTGTGCTGTCGTATCAGTCTGAGGTCCTCCAGTCTAAACTGTTGTTTTTCTTCACTCTGTCAGTGAAGTAACAGACTCACAGCTGCTCCTCCGTCAGCTGGAAACTCCTTCAGGGAGTCCCCAGACCCACAAGCACGAACAACACACTGTGTGTTTACTTTAAATCCACTTTCTCATGGTTTTTTGTTAACTGTCAGGGTTATTTTCTGACCAGAGCTGCAGTTCATATTCCAGAGGAGATTTCCCTTTTTCTTCCTGGGAATCTTTCCTTGGATGCATGAGCACGCATTACAGAGATTTCCCCCCCAGAACACCATCTGTTCTGGGCTCAATATCACACTTGTTATCCAGATACTTATTCATACTACTTGTGGAGTTGTTTGGAGTTTATCTGATTATTATTAAATGGTGCTTGTGATGCTTGTCTAGTGCTGCAACTATTGATTATAAATATTGTAATTACCAGGATACATCATCAAGATACATTCATTCATCGTTCATTTTCCATAACTGCGTATCCTCTTGAGGGTCACAGGGGGCTGGAGCCTATCCCAGCTGAGAAAACCCACGCTGAAGCCGGGAGAACATGCAAACTCCACACAGGAGGGCTTCCCCACCCCAGGATCAAACCAGGCGAGAATGCTAACCACTGCACCACAGTGCCGCCTTTTTTTAAATCTGATAGTCAGTCAGAATCAGAATAACTTTATTGTCCTCACAGAGGAAATGTGTCTTTTTGACAACAAGGCGGCTGCGGCTCACAATTTAGAGTACAAACGACATTAACATTTGAATTATAAACGGCATTCAAGACAAGACATAAGAACATACAAGGACAGTTCAGTGCTTAGATGGTATCTGGATAGTCCATCTGATTTTTTTGCACATGACCCAGCAAAGAAAAAGTGGTTTGTGTAGGAATCAAGTATTGCACAGTTCGAAAAGTGACCTGTGCTTGGACCAGTACACAGATAACATGGCAATGACATGACATAAAAACATAAAAAGATTATTGCACATGACCCAGCAAGAATTTATTGCACAAGTTCAAAAGTGATCAAATAATCAAAGATCGGATAAGCACCATAATAAAACCACAGGCAGGAACCAAGTGCTGTTTTTGATTTAAAACTGAGATTGAGCAGGTTGTTTGTTCAGAACATCAATTGATGCTGGAAGGAAGGAGGGCCTGTACTGGTTGGTTTTATACCTACAGGCTCTATATCTTCTACCCGAAGGCAGGAGTTCATACTCTGAGAACAGAACATGTGAAGGATCATTCAGGATACGATGAGATTGTTTGAGTACAGATTCTTCGTAAGTGATTTGAAGGGATAATTTTTTGTACCGATCACCTTCATGGCTGCTTTATCCATCCATCCATCTTCTAACTGCTTCATCCTCTTGAGGGTCGCGGGGGGGCTGGAGCCTATCCCAGCTGACATTAGGCAAGAGGCAGGATTCACCCTGGACAGGTCACCAGACTATCACAGGGCTGACACATAGAGACAGACAACCATTCACACTCACATTCACACCTACGTACAATTTAGAGTTATCAGTGAACCTAATCTCCAATCTACATGTCTTTGGACTGTGGGAGGAAGCCGGAGAGCCCGGAGAGAACCCATGCTGACACGGGGAGAACATGCAAACTCCACACAGAAGGGCTCCCACACCTGGGATCAAACCGGGAACCCTCTTGCTGTGAGGCGACAGTGCTAACCACCTTAGATTTGCTCTGTGTAGTGAGGGAGCCAAACCAAGATGCTAAGCCATATCTGATCAGACTACCCAGGACAGCATTATAAAAAGTTAACATAATTTTACTGTTAACACCGAACAATCTGAGTCGGTGGAGAAAATGCATTCTCTGAGCCAATTTGTTACATAGAAAGTTCACATGTTGGTTCCATTTCAGTCCAGAACTAGTTGTGGTGGAAAGAATCTGTTCACAGTATTTATGTGCGGCAATATCGTATCACAACAGTAGCCCTTTTTAGATAGGAATTGTGCAAATTTGCAGGAAAGCCCAGTCAGTCTTTTTCAGCATTGGCAGTATAAAAACAAAATTGGGGAGTGCAGCAAAATGCTGCCTACCTATTTTTGTTTATACAGAACGTGCCTTTTTCAGGGCCGGGGGAGCAAGTAACAAAACGTGTAGCTCAGCGTGTGATGTAAACAGTGATGTGGGAGGGAAGCCGCAGCTGGTCAGTCTTTCGGCGATTCTCTCGTAAATTGGCCCGTTCTTCACCTTCCCCGTCATCTGACGGTTAATGGCCTTTTCATTTGCGAGGACAAGGAGGGCGCACAATTCCTTGTCTCCCCAGTTGCTCATCTTTACAGTGTCTGTCAGGTTTGTGTTTCCCTCTTGCTACTAGCTGCTCGCTAATTCCTGCTATCAGCTGTTTCCTGTTTATCCACCGCCAGTGGGTCGCATGTGGGGCGTCATCAACATCTCCTCCCACAAGTCATCAACTGCCCCTCCCGCCTCGGTCCATTTAAACTAAAAGGTTCCGCCAATACGACTACCTTACGAGGTGGAAAATTGGGCGCCTCGGATCAACTCGCCAATCCAGCTCTGTGTGTCTAAACGCTCGCAGCTTGCCGGCAAAACGGCCCAACATTCGCGAAAAAACTGGCAGTGTAAAAGGGGCTACAGTATCGATTTTTAAAAATTATGTACATTTTTAATATTACAAATACAAATTAAACTTCAGGTAGCATTCTAGAATAATATAATCAATTGTGTTTTCAGTCAAAAAATGGCTGAAGAGAAATAAACAGAGTAAAAAGCTTCGTCCGCTTGGCAGCAGGCCAACGAAAGCACCCCAGACGTCCCTCTCCCCAGCAACTCTTTCCAGCTCCTCCTGGGGGACCCCGAGGCATTCCAGGCCAGATGAGATATGTAATCCCTCCAGTGTGTTCTGGAGAAAACTTGTTTTATCAAATAAAACAGATGCTGACAACGTTTTTCTCTGGGGACCTAATTTACAGTTCAAAAAAGGTAATATATCGCAATATATTTTATCGTAATACTTAGCGTATTGCAACATATTTAAAATCACAATAATATCATATCGTGGAGCCTCTTCTGATTCCCACCCCTAGTTCATCGTGTGTCCAACTCCAGTTATGCTCGTTAAACGGCGCGCCAGGTAAGGCGCAAGGGGCGAAAGAGTTGTGCTGTTAATGGGTTTACCACGGAAGATATATTTGACGTGTTACACATGTCAGTCTGTTGGTTAGTTTTGCTACGCTTCAGTTTACTGCATTAAAAGCTAGCTAGCGGCACCACTCAATCTGCGATTAGCATTTATAACGCTGTCCTGACTCAACAGTGTTGCTGAGGAAACATGGCGACCACCCTCAGCTGTCCTCTCAGGTCACTGCAGCAAGCAAGTGGCTCAGCGTTAGCATCGTTAACTGTTTGTGAAACTCCATAACAACCGTTCTTAAGTGGAGGGAGACTCTAGTGTCACTGGTGTCAGGTCAGAATCGGCACTGGGGGAAAAAATGTTGAACTGGTGCATCCCTCGTCCAGTCAGACCTCTCGGCAGTGAAAGAGCGTTAATCCACCTGGAATCAGCTGGTTTCATCATTCCTCAGTTCATCCCACAGATTAGTTTTAAGCTGCAGCTCAGACCAACAAGCACGTCCACACAACAAAGAGTTTTCTAAAGTTATGAAAAGAGTTCAGAGACAGGATGAGGAGCAAGTTTTAGACCTTTTTAAAAAGGAGTTCTCACTTCTTCACAGGAGTGTTTGGGAGTCCCTACTTGGTGTGATGGTTCAGATTAAGGTTAGGTCGATGGCTTGGCGGTGTGTAACTTCAGCGGGGATAGAAGTAGAAATGTGTGGGAGAGGGAGACATTGATCCCTGGGTGTATTTTTAGGCAGACTAATCAATTTAGTTGCTGTTTGTGCTTGTTGGGGTTGTAAAAGTTCAGTGCCCACCTCGGGGGAAACACATCCAACTTGTGGTCGGCCAAACTGCAAAAACACACACACACACAGACAGAGGAAGCATATCAACTTCTGAGCAAACACACAAAAGTTATGTCTCCACAATATCAGCTCAGATTTCCCGTGCACTACCGTCCATGCACAGGTGGTGTTTCCAGCCCTGCATGCTGTATCAAAAATGTACCCAACCACGACCCCGAAACTAAGGTACACACAGAACAGTGATTTTTGTATACTGTTGCCTGATTCGTTATCCGTCCACTTCACTTGCTGTTAGTGTCGTAGTGAAAAAGTTTGTGCCGTCAGCTTCTCTTGTAGTTCATCACCAGCCTGTTGGCACAAACATCTGTCTGCATCAGTGACTAATTAGTTGTAAACTTGTGTCGACACGGCGTCGCATTCTCGGCCACTCCGCTGAAGGAATTCACCGCACTGTGTAGCTTCCCTTTGTACATGCTCGCAGCAGCTTTTCACGGTAAATATTTAACACGGGAATTAAACTTTGACTTGTTTCAACCTCAGTTATGTCTCCAAGTGGAAGTGAATCCTCGTCTGGAGAGTTTGTCCTCCATCCTTTGGAGTCACATGAGGGCGTGTTAGTCAGACCTCAGTCACAAGAATAGCCTCAGAATTTACTGAATTGCCACAATCAGACCAGCCTCGATGTAACGGCCGTGGTTTGGCGCACACTCCTCCGCTCGTGTCCTCGAACAGTGCACTGAATCATAAGCAGCTGACCTTTGACCTCTGTTTACCCTGAAGGAGTCACAGAAACGTCTTCCTCTGCTTTTATCTTCCTTCTCCAAACAGCTTCATGCATCACTCTCAGTCACTCGCTGTCTTCAGATCCCTCACACCTGACCGCCATCACTGACTAATCGCTGGTCACTGCATCATAGAGTTATATGTAACTGTGTAGTAACCCTACGGTCTATTATATAACGATCGTGTTCAAACTGGATACAAAGATGGATGTTCAGTGAAATGAGGCCACGTCATCCAGCATGTTGGGGTTCACTGTTTATTTTTAGAGTGGCTGTCTCTGGTGGGTGGACGAGGAGCTGGTCGTCATAGTGATCGGGGGGGACTGGATGAATGAATGAACAGGATACAGAAGCTGAATACAATCTGTAGTTGTAAAGAGGGTTTTAACAAGATAGGGAACACATTCACGATATTATAAATGGTATTTATTTTGTCTGACTTTCCTCTGGGTAGTTTTCCCCCCTCTCTGATTTTTTTTTAATTATATAAATTATATAATATGCTGTGTTGAACATGTCAGTGATGACCCAGTGATGTGTTACGGTTCAGGGGACTCGCTGATTTAGAAAATTTTAAAATAAAGCTAGGGGAAAACACATATTTAGAATTATTAAAAGTACAGTTTGCATCCTGCCCTTGTCTCCAGGTACAGGTGAGGTGGTCGCCATCATGATCCCGGAGCCAAAAGGCCGCGAGGTTGTGTCACTGCTGGAGCGCAACGTGACGGTCACCATGACAATCACCATCGGGACGAGGAACCTGCAGAAGTACGTCAGCAGGACGTCGGTGGTGTTCGTGTCCATCTCCTTCATCGTGCTGATGATCATCTCTCTCGCCTGGCTCGTCTTCTACTACATCCAGAGGTTCAGATACGCCAACGCACGGGACAGGAACCAGGTAAAGTCCTCGCCTCTGATTGGTTGATTTTGGTGTGCCGCAAATGCCATTAGAAGCAGTAGGAAGAGGAAGAGGAGGAGGGACAGATAACTGCTTCTGTTCCTGTATTATTACTGTCCCATGTACTTCTTTCAGAACAGTGCTCACATGTAGGGAGCTGATCATAAACTGGTTGTGGCTGTTCAGTTCCCCTGACGCCACGATGTTTAAGAGATGAAGTTCCTGGAGAAAACGAACTTTAACAAGGTTATTTAAGTGCATGTAAACAAACTTAATGTCCCCCAAACAGCTGAAGTGATTAGAAACAGGTTCTGAAAAACGCTTATGAAATTCAAGCGCTTCTATCCAAACTGTTTGCACAAGTCAGAATCAACCACAGCTGCTTCCACTGGCACGAGGGGGTGTAACAAATGATGACAGCATTTCCAAGTCAGTGTGGAAAGTCATTTTACTCTTCTACTCCACTACATCTCACAGGGAAATATTGTACTGCAGGACTTTTACTTGTAATGGAGTATTTTTTAGATGTGGTATTTCTCCTAAGTGAAAGGAGTGCTGCTTCCACTGCTGCCTCACCTGAGACTAAATACATCCATCATCTCCACCTCTCTGTCTCTCCCACAGCGTCGTCTCGGCGACGCGGCGAAGAAGGCCATCAGTAAGCTGCAGGTTCGCACCATCAGGAAGGGCGACCAGGAGACGGAAGCCGACTTCGACAACTGTGCTGTCTGCATCGAGGGCTACAAGGCTAATGACGTGGTCCGCATACTGCCCTGCAGGTAAACACACAAATACACAAAGAGTGTTTCCAGCGCTGGGGCTTAACCAGGACTGAAAGGACTTTGTGATGGTTTCCAATGAACTGAGCTTTTCCAAACCATTTTCCAAACATATACAACATGCTAATGTTATTAGCACAAGCCTATGGCATTTTTCATTGTATAAATTAGCCGAGCAACTAGCAGAGATTTCCTCTGCTCATATACAGACAGGAGGTCTGCGTCGCCGCGACATGTGGTTACATATCTAGGGAGGTGCACGTCATGTTACGGCGTACCTACGGACAGCGTCATTTAGACGCAGAATTATAAATCCCGGACTAAAAGCAGGGGTCCGCAAGCCCTGTGCGCGCAAAGCACGGACTCCGCTCCGCGCACCAGTGTCACACAAAAGACTGCTTGGCATGTATTTTTCACATCGCAGGGATTTTTCACGGACATTTTTACAGGAAACTACAACGTGAAAGTGCGCTTGACTATGGATGCCCGAATGACTGCGGACATTCCTCGCGGAGTCCGCTCCACTTATAGTGCGCCCGAGTCTGTGAGCACCTGTGTCTGCCTCTTCACCAAGCACACAGCGAGCAGTAGAGAGAGGGGGGTGGGGGTGGGGCGGATACTGAGCTAGGGGGTGCAAATGCGCATGCGCCAAGGCCTCTACTGTAGCCTGGAGTTTAACAGTGATGGGGAGTCGATAATGGCGGACAATTTAGTCTCGAAGAAATCAAAGAATGCGCCAATATGGCAACACTTTGGCTTTGAGCCAGATGAAGGAGGCAACCCTTGTTTGCACTGACTGAGTAAGCTAAACCTGCAAATTTATTTGTAAGGAATAACGTGTTACTGTCACTCTGTTGTCCTATGGTCGTTTTTTATTTTAAATGAGTCAATTGCGCCCCCAAGTGGCGAAAATCTGGTATTACCGACTTGATGTGGTTTTTCACAAAAACCGGACCGTTTTTTTTTTTTCTCATACTGACCCAACCCTATTAGCCGTTGTGCTAAATGTTGCTGCAAACAGCAGTCTGTGTTTGTGAATACTGCTCCATGTACAACATTTACAAGTAGGAAATGTAAAAAAATAAAGTAGCTTTGTAAAATCTTTTCAATCATCATAGTTTTTCCCACTTTGTCAGAAATGTTCAGACATGTGTAAAACATGAAATCAGTTATATCACTTATAAGGGCAAATCATTTAAGGGTTTACTATGTGCTTTGTTTGTGTGGTTTTTTTTTTTGTGCTGTGCCTCTTTGATGCCTGCTGCTTCAGCAGGGATCTGGTCGCTACCTTTTTATAAAGCTTTGACTTCACCTGAGCGCTGTGAGGCTACACGCCCGGAAACTTCTTGGAAAACAGAGATTAAAGAACTCCAAGCAGAGGCAGAGTCTCTTCAGATAAACACACCACCACCACACACTGAGAGTGGCTCATAAGTGATGATTGAGTCTCAACACACTGCTTCTCATTCATGAAATGTCAGCAAATCTGTGAGTAGATTTGCACATAAAAAACCTTGGTTCTAAAAACCTTCTCAGGATTCACGAACGCCGCAGAAAACTCGGATTTAATCACTCATGAATTCCAGTCAGTCGTAAACTGACAGCGCACTCCCACTAGTCAGCAATTAGCATACATCCACGCCCATGAGTCGCCAGAGACCGCCATATATGGAGGTGTTAATTACTATGGATAGGTGCAAGAGAAATAAAAACTTGTCTCACAAATTAAAATTGTAATTTCTAATAATGACAAACACTGTTTCTGTGAAATATCTGAAATGAGCTTCACGAGATAAAAATGAGAAGCAGACTCTTAGCCTTGTGTAACAGTTCGAAATAAAAAGCAGCTGTAAGAATGTGGATAAACGGCAGAGCGAACTGATCCCGCTGTTTTTCTTCTGTGCAGGCATTTGTTCCACAAGACCTGTGTGGATCCGTGGCTGCTGGATCATCGCACGTGTCCCATGTGCAAGATGAACATCCTCAAAGCTCTGGGCATCGCTGTGAGTCTGATAGACTTTAATGTGATCCTCTGGATGTGTTTTTAACTTGTGTCTTTTCAAGGAAGGGTTTTGGTGAACAGCAGCCTTGAAAACTGAGGATGTGGAATAAACTCAAACCTGTAAACAGAATATTTTCTGAGTGCTTAAGAATCAAGATGATACAAGAAACTGCACTGGATTTAATTTTTTTTATTGTTTCAGTGCAATTTGTAATATTGGTGAGATAAAGCAGTATAATCAGGCCAACTCAAAACCACAGTTAAAACAATAAAGGTTTATTTTTCTTTTGAATAACAGTTCAGTTAGGGGTGGGCGACATATCAATTGTACTCAGTCTGTCGCGACTTGCTCTACATGGGATGTATAAAAAGACTATATCACAGACGCTGAGAAGCGTCACACTTGTCCACCTATCCAGATCACTCTCCCCAGGGCGTTAGTGTGTGTTTTTGTATCTGCAGGGCTCCAGACCGAGACTATTTAGTCACATTTTGTGACCATGGAGCACCAGTGTGACCTGCAAATATTATGAACACATGAACTGGAGAACTGTTGGTTTGTTTCCACCTCACAGTGAATAAATCCTCATGTTTAACAACACCAATGCAACAGTTTAACTGTCCACTAACCGTTTACTCAAGTTTACAGCAAAAACGTCAACACTTCCTGAGAAGTGACGAGACGAGCTTTGATTTGTTTCATTATAACTTTGCTGTAACAACATTTAACTTTATTGTAACTGTACTTTAATTAACTTTATCATAACAGTACTTTATTTAACTTTATAACAGTCCTTTATTTAACTTTATTGTAGCTGTACTTAATTTATCTTCATTTTAACAGTTCTTAATTTTACTTTATCATAACAGTACTTTATTTTATTTTATCATAACAGTACTTAATTTAACTTTATTATAACAGTACTTTATTTTACTTTATCATAACAGTACTTTAATTAACATTATTATAACAGTACTTTAATTAACTTTATGTAGCTGTACTTCATTTAACTTTATTATAACAGTACTTTAATTAACTTTATCATAACAGTACTTTATTTTACTTTATTGTAGCTGTACTTCATTTAACTTTATTATAACAGTACTTTATTTTACTTTATCATAACAGTACTTAAATTAACTTTATTATAACAGTACTTTAACTTTATTATAGCTGTACTTAATTTAACTTTATTATAACAGTACTTTAACTTTATTATAACTGTACTTTATTTAACTTTATTATAACTGTACTTTGTTTTACTTCATTTTAACAGTACTTTAACTTTCTTGTAGCTGTACTTTATTTAACATTATTTTAACAGTACTTTATTTAACTTTATCATAACAGTACTTTAACTTTATTATAACAGTACTTTATTTTACTTTATTATAACTGTACTTTATTTAACATTATTTTAACAGTACTTTATTTAACTTTCTTGTAGCTGTGCTTTATTTAACATTATTTTAACACTACTTTATTAAAATTTATTATAATAGTACTTTATGCCGCTTTATTAAAACAACACTTTACTTCATTAAATCAATTCTTTATTTAAATGTATGACAACAGTACTTTATTTACCTTTATTACACCAGTACTTTATTTTAACATCATTATTATTGTTGAAAAATACAGCTAATTTCCTCGTGGGGAAAGACACCCAAATGGCACCATAAGTTGCCCAAATTAAGGAATTGTTTTAGATTTTTCTGTGATAGGGTATTTCTGATTTTAAATATTTTGATACAGAACTTCAAAAACTGCTGATTTGGATCATTTTGTGATTTAGTCAAAACTCTTTTTCTGAAACTTGTTAAATACCTAAAGGTAAAAAGAAGTAAAAACTGTGGCACATGTGTAGAACATTGTTTACAGTGCTATGTACTAATGTTAACTGTAAGTAACAGTTGGAAACATGTTCTCTGAGTCTCTCTCTGTCTCTGTTCACTCCAGCTGAACGCAGACTGTCTGGACGACCTGCCGCTGGACTACGACCTGGCCCTGGGCGGTGTCGGGGGGGTGGGTGTGGGTGGCGTTGGGGCCCTGGCCCTAGAAGCTGTGGTGTCCGGGGCGTCCAGTGACGGCACGCTGAGTGAGGGCGGCTCCTCGGTGGTGCTGGACCCCGGGGTGCGACGGGTGGGACTCCCTCAGGACTACCAGGACCCCGACACACTGAGAGACAGCCCTGTGACTGCCACCACTGACACACACACAGGTAAAACACACACACTGTACTGTATGTTCTCTGATAAGTGGTGTTACACTGGCACCCAGAGGCGTTTCTGCTACATAACACTTCTTTCTCATGGTGTTGCAGTCTAAGTCACATTAATATTTCTTCTTGCCTCCTGTATGTGAAGCACGTTCTTCCTGCTGAAAGAGGTGAGACAGGTATGACTGAAGAACAGGAAGCTGAAATGATGAGAAACCAGAGTGGCTGTTTTTTTTAATGTAAAGCTCAAGAATGAGAAAAAATTATATGTCAGTTCCACTCTGACTTCCACTCTCACTTCACTGGCTTTGTGAAGTTTCTATTTGTTTCTAACTTAACCTCACCTGGCTCGCTTTAAATCACCTCGACTGTTACTTCCAAAATGCGCATATCTAAAAAGGGGGTCTGGTCTGCTGAGCCTGGGGCACAGGGAAAATCTCTCTTTCCACTTAACCTTGGGAGCTATGGCAACGGAGACTGCAAGTCACACTTATCTGGGCAGCTGCACTCCCTCCGTCACAACTGGGAGGCGATAGATGGAGCGCATTCCGGACCTCTTTTAGGTCTTCTGCTGATCCATCTGCTACCATAAGCATAACTGTCATCCATTCCCTTTAGTGACCAAGGCTGAAGGCTGTAACTAGGGACGCACTGATGTGGTTTTTTTTCAGCCGATACCAATAACCGATAATTACCTGCTCCTCATGGCTGATAACACAAATGGTAACCGATAACTTTTTGTATGTTAAAAAGGAGTGTATAACCTGTAGTTTATGAACACCTGAGGGTAAGAAAGGCTGCGATGTAGTGAGAAAATATGGCTGATTCAATATTCCATAGCTGTGACCGAACCAAAACAAACCAACATCACTTGCTAATAAAACAAAAACAAATAACAGTGCCAACATTAGGTCTAGCCTCAACGCCCCTGCCCCCATAAAACTATCTATTGTGTGTCGGTTGGTCGCAGATCAGACCCTCGCAGCAATCCTGTTGTCTTCCTCTGGAACTGCGAAAGACGTCCACACCGTGACATATTTTGTCCTCCTGACAGTGTGCTGCAGTTGTTGTTGTTCTTCTGTGTTTATTGGCAGCTCGCAAACCGGGTGTAGAGGTACATGTACCACCACCCATTATGTTGGGTGTGCAGGTGCTGCCCTTGTTAAGTCAATGAAAGCAGTCTGGCTTCATATTATGGGCGCAGTTTATTGGCTGTGATTGTTTTTGATGGAAACCTTCAGTCTTACCCGTCCCCGCTCTCTTTCAGGTGAGCTACAGCCAATGGCGAGCAGCGCCTCGGTGGCATCATTGGTCATCACCGTGGAAACAGGTCTCTCAGATGAGGAGGGGTCCATGGAGCAGTCTCAGCTGGGGGACAAGTCCTGAGAGCAGCACAACAGAACCAAACCAGGACCCCGGGCCAAAACAGACTCAAATCAGGTTCAGACTTTTAACAGACTTCATTTGAAGCTCCAGAGAACGACCTGACTAAAACCAGATCTGAACCTAACCTTACTGCACCAGACTGAGCGTGACCCAGGACCTGGTTCTGGTTTTTGACCGGTTTCAAGTGGAAGCTAAAACCTAGAACCAGCACCGGTGTTTGACTGGGTTTTTCTCTTTGGACCTGTGTGATACAGAACTAAACCAAACCAACTGGACCGCAGGTGGACTAGCCTGCAGGGTCTAGACTATGAACCAGGGTCTAGACTATGATGGGTTTTCATGTAGTGGATCTAAGTTGGATAAACGTGTCTGTGACCTGGATTGGCTTTGTTCTTCTATTCTCCTCCTGGACCCTTGACGAGTTTGGACCCAGGACGTAACTTGGTAACATGTGTGATCCAGTGCGTTTACCTTGGTCTCACCCTCGGCTCTCCTTGGTATAACCAGGTGTTGCTCCAACCGTAAACTGGGATATACCTCGTGTCTGTCTGTTGTCGCTCCATGCAGATGTCTTAATCAATCCACATTTGCCTCATGCTGTTTCTAGAAATAGACCCCAACTTCTTTATGGTTCTACCCCTCTGTTGTCAATCCACAGTGACAGAAAGAAGTTCAAGAAGTCCAGTCCATTTCAAATAATGTCGCGACATTTCTCTCCTGACTTGATGAACTTTTGAAGGTCGGATGGAATTCAAACTGAGTCTCCACAAGCCACATTTATACTCAGAGAATCATGAAGATGATATTGAACTCACCTCGATGCTCGCCTCAACAGGGTAGAACCTGAGAAAGTCGTCTGCCAAATTAGGATCCACTCTTCGAGGGTCAATATTCTCCTTCATCAGCAAATCTGGAGGATCTTTGACGAATGCGTGAGAACTCCAAACACCAGATTGTGTGTTTTTAAAAGTGTCCGTGAGTGATCCAGGCCAGGAATCTAGATTTACCTGTGTATTTCTACCTGTTGTACTTCAGTACGGAGTGCTCTTGTCTCGGGACCTTTTGTGGAATATTCTGTTACCTGGTTTTTCCAGGTAGGAGAGGAACAACAAATAAACAAACCTTGATAGGACTCAGTATCGGGGCTGCTCCCTTCTCACCCTGGTCTGAATTCTTGGAAGATTTAATCTCTGGTTAAGTTAGCTCATTTTGATTTGCCTGCCAACATGCCAGGCGCCGTGTGTGACGTCTGCGGTGACTTTTCATTTTGGAAAGGAGGACTTTTATTTTTGAAAGGACTACTCCAGGCTGTCGATTTGGTTTGTTTCTTTTTCTAGTGTTTTGCTAAAACGGTGGACTCGTCGTGGCAGTGTTACAGCTACAGTTTGACTGCAGTATTGAATAACAACTACACACAGTATTTTGTTTTTTTCTCTTTTTGCCTGTCAGTATAATTCAAGGCTCCTTTATCTTCACAGCACAGTAGTGCTGACAGTTTGGTTTGGATGCTCTCCAAACAGGGTTCCTATGTGTCTGGGAAAACTGGTGACACCAAGAAAAACTCTTGACTGATTGCAGGGCTGTACAGAATATTATAAGGTATGAGAAAGCGTGTTAAATGTAAAATTTCAATATAAGAAATAATGCTGACTGTAAAGCACAGATGAAGTCAAATGTGTGAAAATAGTGACAAATCTTGCAGCGTGGGTCTTCACATACAGATCATTTGGAGAAAGTGATGACAAAATAAATGCCACCATGACGTAGGAGAGTTTTAAGCTGCACCATCACCTGTTCTCCTTGGTAGTTTTTCTATTTACACAATTTTCAGAAACATCCGTAGCGCCGGGCAGACACTGCATGTTGTTACTCATTCTCACACGTCAAATCTTAAACTGCCTTGCTTTATTTTCACGCATAAACAACCAGCGTCATTGTAGAGCTCTCACTGAAGGAACCTGAAACACCTGTTTGGTTTTGTCCAGTGACGGTTCCAATAAAGTTTATTCAAACATAACAACCATATCCTCGACAATGTTGAGGACTATGAACGGAAAGTAAGAAGCTGCTCTGCTCTGCAAAAATTCTAAAAAGTCAAAGTTTTATATCAAAGCAGTTTCAGACAAGACTCAACCATGGATGTATAAAGAGAACTGGATACAGAGTCGAGCCGGGGCCCCGTACATACATATGAAGGTTGCTCAGTGGTGCATGGATCCAAAAAATGTTCGACTTTCCCTTATAAAATTCCCCCAATCTTACAATCTACTTCCACATCATTGGGCCCATAGAGCATGGATGTATAAAGAGACCTGGATACAGAGTTGGAAGCGGCTGTTTCCACGGTATGAAAATAACCAGATCTTATGCATCATCGGGCCGTTAGAGCAAGACCACTGGAGATTTCCTCCGGCCAATAGTTTAACTTCTAGTTTCAGGTTTCGCTAACTTGAATGGGGATGAAACAATTTAAACATGCGACTCTTTTAGACATTCAGAATGTTATCATTCATTTTGTGGGGGTTGTGATGCCCCAAAAACTCTATCTACTGATTTGCAAATGTCTCTTTTGCTATAAAAATTTCCGAGAAAAGGTCTTTTTGGGCCCCATGGCATCACGTGACAGACATGGAAGTTGTAATTACACGGTATGGCCACTACGCCCACTTGGCTTCAAAGCCTAGCACTGTTTCTGGGGTCTTGGCCACAACGTGTAAAATAATAAGTACTACTTAGAGGACTTAAAGTTTAAGTATTATTCTACACATTGTGGCCAAGACCCTAGAAACAGACTCAAAGTTTATAATGGATCTTTTGACAGTAGCCATGTTGAAAAATTGTACAGCAGAACCAACCACATTTTTGGACATACCAGAAGTTCACCTGAATGTCTGACAGCCAGATCGTCAACGGCTTCGGCAGTTGATACGGCATTGTAATTGGGGGTTTGTTACGAGGCAATCTGTCCAGTCAGTCCATGCTACATTGAGTCGGGGGCGACAAATTTGAGGTTTAAATTGGATGTAAACCGCGTAGTGTCTGCCTGGCTAGTTAGGGGATTAGGGGATGGAAAGACTTCCCTCATCAGTCTTCCATCGTGGCCGTCGCGACATTCTGTAAGTGTTAAAATGCCATGTAGGAACCCTGTCTATAGTGTTGCCTTGTTTTGTTTCAATGTCCGTCCATCTGTCCGTCTGCCTGACCACGTGTCCAAAACCCCCGGCCTCATGCTGCCTTTTTAAAAACACCTTTACCTTTAACCCTGACAATCAAGAATCAGATCTTTTACTTGCTAGTTGGGGATCTTTTCTCCAAACTCTAGCAAACCTAAGAGGTGTCTTTCAAACACGCCTTCTGTACACCACAGTAGGTGTTAGCTGCCATGACCATTTCAGTTTCAATTTAAGCGCCACCAAATCAAGCTGTGAAAGACGATAGAGAGACGGTACCCAGAGTCGTAGACATGACGGAGTTTAGCAAAGAATCCCTCCCCGCTTTAGTGAGTGTAGCTCACTCTGGATGCCAAGCATGTAAATATAAAATGTATACTCCACACGTTCACTACATCATGTGGCATTGCTGTCGGTTTGCCAAACTGGTGTGCAGACTGTGTAGAGCTGCGGCCGCGTCGTGGCGTCCCCGGCGCAGAGAGAGATAAAGATTGTCGTCTATTTTGATACCAGAGGAGACGTTTATTTTTGTAATGAAGACACCCAGCAGCAAAGACTGATTTCTCTCCCCTCATGACCCCATGGCCTGGTGATTCTCAGTGTGATTGAGTGTTGATCAGGCAGATTTAAGTGTTGATTATTTGTGTAATTGTACATACCTACAGTACGCTAAGGACCTTGACGATAAGACTCTAAACTATTGTAAGATTGTCCGTAAATATTCAGGATCTGATTGTTAATGATGAAAACTGAACCTGAGAGAACTGAACCTGAGTAAAGGCTGGAGAACCAAAGCTGTACTGTTTGTTTCCCCCTGTCGCTTTTGGTACTAATTTTTTATTTTTTTTTTAATTCCCATTGGTGTAAATGTTAAATAAAACCTGTTTAATTGATTTAATTAAGTACAAAGCACTTAGATCACAAGATTTGACTTCTGAAACTAAACATTTAAGTGTAATTAAGACCGTCTCACAGCTTTGCGTGTACATAGCATTGTTTTCCAGATCCTGGACCTGCAGTCTCAGTAAATTTAAGCAAAGCAAACAGTGCAACTAGTCTCCATAAGAAGAAAAACCATCATACGATTTAGTCTGTGGGATTTGTAGTTAGCATTCAACTCTTAGTATGAATAATTAACAGGAATTTTTTGTCAAGGAAAGCTCGGTTTCTTCGAGTTAAAATTGGTACCAAATTCTAAGAAGCAGTACTTGTGTTGGTGTTTCCGGTCAAACCAATGGCTTCATTTTCTCACAGAAACCATGAAGACTTTTAAGTATTTTCTTCCTACTTTGCTTCCCAGGCTTCATCTTTCCTCTCTGCTCACAGTTCACTCTCAGTTCAGTCAGTTATCAAGTATATAACAAACACTAGTTCATTTAAAACACTGGTGGGGAATGAATTTGCTGTAATATATGAAGATGATGGATTTGTACGCCTTGTCTCGGCCAATATTCAGTGAACGATGTTTTAATTAAAGTCACTTCCTTTGTGTTGTAAGCTTTATTTTCAAGGGATTTACCCAATGTTTGTTTTCACATTTGCACTGTTTCATTCCCTTTCTGTCTTTCTGTTTTTTATGTGACTGCAATTCTGCCGCCACAGTCATGAAAGTGAAATTGAACTCGATCCATTTCTTCCATTCTTCTAGTAGAGACTGAGGCTGCCGTGGTGTGTTGGTCCCCGTTAAGTGTTGGGCAGATATCGAACCTCAAATACTGATTTGTTAACAACCAAAATGTGTCTGTAGCAACAAGCGTCAAAATCTGTAATGTTCGTTTTTGTGTTTGTACCTAACGTACGGAAGTTGGACCTCTTCAGTTTTTTTTTTTAATTATTAAAAAAATAGTGTAGAAAACGGTTGTATTTTTTTTGATTAAAAAATAATGCTTTGGTATCTGCACCAAAACTAATGTATCGAATCAGCACTAGTTACGAATAATAACCAAAATTTAATAATACCCAGCCCTAATACTCATGCAGGACTTTGGAAACGGCCCTAAACTGAGGCAGGAAATTTTTTTTGGTATGAAATGTGACAACCACATTCAGCCATTGACTTTCCATCTTGGTAGGATAGATAACTTTTCAAAAACATGATTCAGAAAAAAACAAACAACAAAAAAAAACGCAGAACTGTCGAACTTGTCTTGTAGCTACGATTTCTATATAAATATAATCATGAGACAGGAAGTCATAAATACGAGATTTGGAAAATCTATTGACGACATAATGTATTGTCTTTTTTCAGCAGGTTACGCAGCTAATGTGCTAAAATGGGACCTTCATGTCACGGCTAGTAATGACGTCTGATTGGTTTTTCACAACCTATTGGCTGTTACCCCTGAATGCTGTGTTTTGATTGGTTGCTCGGCCTCTTTTTTTTTTTTTTTTTTTTGGATGCACTTTAATTCTGTTTCTCTGGAAGGTTCTGGAAAAGTCTCGTCTTGCCTTTTATACTTTCTTTTTGCTTTTTTTTACTTTATTTTGTCTTTGCTCTTTTCTGCCCCTCCCTCACAACTTGTTTAGTTTCCTCCACTTCCTCTTTTCTTTCTCATTGTCGAAAGAGGGATTTATACTTGTGCATCAGCTCCTACGCCGTAGCCTACGCTGTTGTGAGCATTTATACTTGTGCAGTGGTGTGTCTGCCACTGTGCAGTTACACATCAAAAACTAGTTGGAGGCGGAGGTTTCTGTGAATTTTAGGTGATTCAAAACACACATTAAACACACATTTAACATGGCTTAATAGACAGTTTCAAACACAAGTACACAAATCAGCTTCACTATAACTCGCAGCATTCACAGACAAACACTTGTCTTTATCTGGACACATTGTCCCCACAAATACAACATGCTAATGTTATTAGCACAAGCCTATGGCATTTTACATTGTATAAATTAGCCTAGCAGCTAGCGGACTTCTCTCATCTCATGTGAAACCAGGGACAACAGCAACATTGAACAAAGTTACATAATTTGGCTCCATTACAACTCACAAGGTTCACTGACAAAACAACTGTCTTATACTAAACATGTTTTCCAAACAAATACAACACGCTAACGTTATTAGCACAAGCCTATGGCATTTTACATTGTATAAATTAACCTAGTGACAAGCGGAGATTTCCTCTGCTCATATGAAGCCAGGATAAATCACACACAAGACTTAAAATGATATTTATTTTTGTGGACGCTTTGTTGTCTTCACAATTTATTGTTTCTTATCTGTGAAATTAAAGTAAATAAAAGCTTCGTTTCCACTGAGGGAAATGGTTTCAGCGTTTCTGTGTCACTGCGACATTTAGTTACATTTCTTGGGAGGTGCACGTCAGGCTACGGCGTAGGTATGGCATTGATTCAATGCACAAGTGTAAATTCTGCCTTAACAGTGTTGGTTTTTCTCTGGCACTCGTCTCAAGATTTCGGTTTTAAAAATGTATGGGGTTATTTTGTTTGATGGTGTTTACCTTTGGTTATCTGGAAAATGTTTCCTGGTCCATATTGAACTACAGATCATATGTATTTGTAGACTGCCATATCTTTTGCCATATATTGTAATTTGTGTCGTAGTTTGTTTTGTTTCTTTCCCAAAGCAGGTGAATCCTGAGCCATGTAATCCCACTGGGATTACGCACTTTAATCTAATTAATTACTGACGAACGCAGTGGCGGTGTTAAAAAAAAGTAGCTTGAAGAACATAAAAACTGACACAACGCCTGCTTTTAGGTGGATTTGAATCCAGCAATTCTGCTAGTGAATTTTGTTAGCATTCAGTCACAGCTTTAGAAGAGGACGTCAACGGTAAAGAAACGATGGTGAAAGAAGAAAATGAAACAAAAATTTTCAGATCCTTCCAGATAGATGGGGAAAGTTGAGGTGATCCGATGCGTCTGTAGCCATGTTAGCCCCTCTGCTACCTTGACAACAGGGTGTGAAGTGGTGTCGTGTGTTTCTACGATATTAATTGTTTTACAGAGCGTCTGTTTGTGTGGTTGTCCTGTGCACGCAAACACAAAAATACCTACATACACACGTGTATATACAAGGCGGCGTGACGCCATGTTGTTTCTGTGTTTCAGTTGTTGCACGTGTTCTGATTCAGGACAGAATTTAAATAAAGTTTTAATGCAAGTTTTTGTTTTTATTCCAGCTCGGTGTTTGTGTGTCATCTTTGGGGGGGGGGGGGAGCGGGGAACAGGGAAAATTCTTGTTTGCTTTTTCCAATTATAAAAACTAAATTATAGCGTCTACATTCCTGATCTGCATGTCTATACTTTACTCTTTTTGGAATATGTGTGTATTTTGGCGATTTTTTTGTCAATGAAAACAAACAGTTTACAAAAATTACAAAAACAATTATTGATTTCTTGATGATGCTCGTGTATTTTTAATAACAATTCAAAGACGTTTCAGGCATCCAGCATTTATAAAATTGATTCACGATGGAAAAACAGAATAAAGAGAAACCGACATACTGCTGGCAGCATTTTATAACTTATCAAAGGACTAAATGTTTTATGAGTCTGAAATAAACTAACTTAGTTAATTTTCTTCCTAAAAAAAAAACGAACAAAAAAAGCATTAGTGTATAATTATCTCTTTGTTATCCAAGTGATTACAAGAACAACCCTTTATGAGATGTAGACACTTATTGGATCTTTTCTCGTAATTCCGATCTCCAATTTTGTAATTCTTTCTTGACTTGAACGCACCTCGTCAAGTTTCTGAAGGTGGCACGATTTCTTTTTTGTGCTGTGGTTTGTCATTGCTAACGGCACCTGTGTTTTTTATTCTAAACCAAACATAAAACACGTCACTCCCTGTTGAAACGTAGTGAAGAAAATATCAATGATAAACTGAGGACAAAAAAAAAAAAAATCACAGTCAATTTTATACGTAACAACAAACATTTAATGACACTGCCGTACGGGCGCTAATGCTACATACTGTATGTAAACAACAGGTACATCCGATAATATCTTAACACAGACAAAAAGATAAAAAAAATTTATCATAACTTATTAGTAACAACAGAACAAACATCTAGCTGGCGGAAGCAGCAGTGGTGAGTAAACTGACAGCCCACCGAACTACATGCTAACGTTAGCATGTTTCGCTCCTCATGTGAATAAAAACATGTTCATTCATTCCCTTTAAAGTTAAAATTAAGTTACATACTTTCTTAACTTCATCTTATCTTTTATAGAGTAAATTCAATTTTTTGCTTTTTACCTGTATGTGTCTCGTACCTGAGTTTGAGCGACACTTCATTCACTTTCACTGCCTTCTTGTAAGGAAATTAACATACATGACAACTAACAAGGTAAGTAGTACCGTTTAAGTATTTTTGTTTTATGTCGTGACGCTTCATCTACGGTTCCCATGGTCATGGAAAACCTGGAAAAGTCATGGAATTTCACTGTCACATTTTCCAGGTCTGGATAAGTCATACAAAAACATCATGGACAGCTACAGTCGTTTTCCGTGGATACTTGTAACATGACAGCAAATTTATTTTCTGAGGCTCTCGAGAAATCGCAGCTCGAATATGCGTCAACGTGTGATGTTTGTCTACCATCAGGTACATCGCTTAATTTCCCCCCTGCATTATGTCTCTTGCGCTGTGTATACCAGCTAGCTAAAATTACACTTAAAAAAAAAATATCGGGGCTTGAAAAGTCATGGAAATTTTTAAAAATTTTGTCCATGACATTGTGTTGGAACCCCTTTCATCAACTATCATTTCACTTCCATCATTGCACATTTTTATCTTTAGCTAACTAGCATTTACTTTTAGCTACAACATGAACCAGTCGCTAGCTTCTACATCCCACGCAGTCAGACAGTCTATATTAAAACTCGAATAGAAAACGACTGTAAAATTAGTAAAAATTAAACTGAGTGGAGCCTTTTGTTGGTGATAATCCATGCGCTGTGCTACAATTTTTAATAGTAGCAGTTGCTATCAAAACTGTTTGGCTAATATCTGGTGTTTGTCTTGAAATTGTAAAAGTTTCATCGACCCAGCTCGGCAGGAGAAACAAACATCTGAAAAAACAGGTGAGTAGGTCATTCATGATTATTGTTTAATGAGGTAAAATCAAACAGAAAACAGAGTTGTTACGTAAGTTACTTAAACAGCAAACCAGGCACCATGTTTTTTGGCGCCGGATGGTAAAATTAAGCAGCCAGTGGCATTTCAAGCAAGCTTTATGACAAGGCATGACTTGCAGCTGCACCAGGTTACTGGTTGTTACTGATAACAGTATGATACACCGATCAGCCAAAACATTAAAACCATTGGTGGGTGAAGTGAATATTGATCATCTTGTTACAGTGCAATGTTCTGCTGGTCCTGGCATTAATGTGGATGCTACTTGACGTGCTCCACTCACCTGAACTCTGTTGCAGACCAAGCACAACCCCCTCATGGCAACAGCACTTGTTGATGGCAGTGCCCCCTCAGCAGGACAATGCACCATGCCACACCACAAAAACTGCTCAGGAATGACCCCAGGAATTGGACAAAGCGCCCATGGCATTAACCTGGCCTTCAAATACCCCAGATCCCAACCTGATCAAACATTTTAGGGACATGCTGGTACCCCAGAGGTACCCCTGATCTAGACTACGGTGGGTCCTCTTTGACTGGATTTGGCTCTGACCTCTTAAGGCATGGACACAGGACCTCTGGAGGGTGTCCTTTGGTGTCTGGCACCAGGGTGTTCGCTTCAGATATTTTGAGTCCCGTGAGTTCTGAGGTGGGGCACCAGCACGTCCCACAGATGTTTAAACAGATTAGGATCTGGGCACTTTGGAGGCCAGGTCGACGCCTTAAGCTCTTTCTCACGTTCCTTGGGCCATTCCTGAGCTGTTTTTGTGGTGTGGCATGGCGTATTGTCCCGTTGGGGGGCCACTGCTAATGAGGAGTGCCATTGCCATTTTGATTTAGTGAGTCAAAATTTCCAATCATAAAATCTTAAGAGGTCGTAGTTTTTACAGACTGTCTCAGGATTCTGACTCAAGGTTACTAAGTAGCTCATAATTTATACTTTTTTGAGTATAACTGGTGTTTTGTCATCCTGAATAGTTAACAAATGTCTGTTTTTTCTAATCCTTTCCAGTGTCAGATTGGCTTCCTCAGATCTGGGCTGCGACAGCCTTTTGTTGCTCAGTGGTCAACCACTCACAGTAACTCTGGGATTTGTTCAGAGACGGTAAGTCAAAGCAAATATTTGGGGTTGTTGTGCTGATGTACTGCTGTACTTTTAATTATCTGGCTTGACTTAGTATGAAATACTACTGGTAATAACTGGAGGAGAACAGAAACTACACAACAGCAGACACAAATGCTTGGAGGTCTGGACTGGTCTCAATCATGGGGCTCCTTTTTTGCTGGTCTTTCACAAAACCTGAGAACAAGAGGAACATACAGTATTTGATCATCTGTTGTACTTAACATGATGATATTCATGTACTTAACTAATTTTCAGGGCAGGTTTTTTACCTGTAATGTATTTTTACTGTGTGGTATTAGTACTTTTATTTAAATCATGGATCACAGTACTTCCCTCCTTTAGTGTCAGTACTATGGTAAAGCTGTGCAGAGGTAAAACAGGTGTGGGTCAGTGTTTAAATAATGTCTTACCTGCTGACCTCATTGTGTTGAAGAGTTGCAGCTGGAGAGAGAATGGAGACATTTTCCTAAGTTTCAGATTTATCTTTTTGTTCTGGATGCTCAAAGGGAAAAGACTGTTCCCGGTCCAAAGTGCTTTTGTCAATTATGTGAATATTTTACCTCCTGGTTTAACTTCTGGCTTCAGCAAACTTGTGTCTCAACAGGAAGGAGGCCACAGCCTCAGCCACCTACACAGACAGACAAAATGACATACTTTAAAATTTCAATTAGTAGCCCAGCCTATTATTTATTTATTATCGAGTGTATTAAAGAAGTCTCAGATCTTTGACCTAAACCTGTGAAACATTTGAGCAAAAGTGAAAGTGCTGCATTTAAATTTTTGTTCAGTGTAGTTTATATTAAAAATATGAATCTGCAAAGTCACTAAGTCACTAAGTCACTAGTCACACTCAGATAAATGTAGTGACAAGTACATTTTGGCTTCCAAAATGTCATGGAGTATAAATATGAAGTATGATAAAATGGAAATACTCGAGTATCTCAGAATTGTATTCAAGTACAGGACCTGATTGAATGTACTGAGTTACATCCCATCACTGACAGTGAATGGTGAACAGTTTTCTTACTCTGTCTGGTTGGTCTTCTTCCACTGCGTGTCCACAGGGGGGCAGCACCTGCATCATGAATTTACCTGGAGACAAACAGCGAGACAGTTACACACACACACACACACACACATTCTCTCAACTGTCCGTCTTACACACACACTTATCCCCAATGCTATTTTCTTGCACACACACTCCTGCGCTGTCACTTCCAGCATGGTTGTTGACTGACAGAAGCAGCTGTCTCTGGAGAGGAACTGCCGCCTCAAGGTGTGTGTATGTGTGTACACCTGAGTGTGAACGTGTGTGTCCTCAGAGACGTCTCTGCAGCAGTGGAGACGTCTTTCACCTTTTCCCTCACAGTCAGTTTAGAAACACGGTGTGAAAAGAATGTCAAGTATTCCCAGTATCACAGTGTTTCTCTGCATGTGGCATTTAGTTTCTCCAACACTACATCTCCCATCAGCCCTGTCAACTTAGGCTTCTTTCTCCCTTGTCTTTGTAGAGGAGCAGCATATAAGAGGTGATAGTTTTCCATGCACTGTTTGCAGAAAGTCTGTTTTGTACAGGATTTCTTTACCTTAAGAGACACTTTGCTGATTTTCAACCAGCTTTGTGTCATAACGACGTGGGTAGTGTGTGTAGATTAACTGTGGTAAACTTTCTTTCATTTAACACTCAGATCTCCCGGCTCATCCTCCAGCTTAAAAATACGCATCATCCAGTGGATTTTCAATGGCTGGAGGGCTGTTGTTCAAACTAAGGATTGTACTTCCACATTTTTCTATGCCCACCACCACGGACACAAAGAGTACAGTAGCAGATCGACAGAGATTCTTCTTCTTTGATTCTCTCAATCTCAGATCAAATGGTTTAAGAAGTATTTGACTGCTGGTCTTTTCATAAAACCGGACTGTCTCTGCAGAAGAAACCTTTGAAGTTGGTGCTGTATGACCAGAGACAGCAGAGAAAAAGGGCTGTAGTGTTCACTTTTGCTCACGAGGTAGAAAACCTACAACTACCAGACTAAGCAATCAACGCTCCCACTGGTAGGCGATGTTACGCAAATCTGTCCGTTTTGCGTAAGTGCAGGTGGCTGGTAGCAAACGATCTCATATTACAGTTTAACGGTAAGCTAAAACATGTTTCTGAAAGCATCTGAGTGAGAAACAGGCAACACAGTGACAGAATCTTGGTTTATATTTGATCAGCGCTGCCTAGTTTTCAGTCTCCGGTTTTCGACTGTGCAGGAAACAGTATGGCGCTCACTTCCTGAGCTCATTTATGCCGTTGGGCATACATGAGCCCTAAGCGTCTCACCTTGCATCTGGCCGATAGTCAGGTCTCTGTCCAGCCGGTCGATTCCTGGAAACAAAGCAGTGGAACTTTGCTTACTTTTAGTACATCATTAAAAATATTCTAAGTAATATTTTACACTGGCTAATGAAGGTAGTAATTTTTATCCTACAACGCCTTCAAGAGGTTTTGAAATACCTACCAGCCAGTAGCAGGAGTTTGGGTAGATTGCAAGCCAGGAAGAGGTTGGAGGTTCCTCTAAACCAGCCGTCCCAATACTTTTCTGACTTCGACAGGTCTATGCGCCACATGTACACACTCTTACACACAGATACACAGGGTGGTTGATTAGTAGTCTTTGTAGTAAGACATTTGAAGGACAGGAAATGAAAGAATTAGAACAAATCAAGTTGTCTGCCTGTGTTAGGTTTGAGTGGTAAGGCTGGCGAAGAAATGTAAGTCAGTGGAATCACATTAATTATTATTGTACATGCCGATGTGCAAATGCGCGTTTAATAGATGGTGTCAGTAAATGTTTGGCGATTAATGAAAGTCAACAGAAGTCATACATGTTTTTGTAGGTGTTTTTATTTAGACTTTCAGAGCTGTTGACATGAATGCATGTCAGTTTTGTCCTTGCTAGTTATTTTAATGGCACAGTTTGAACAGAATGGCCTACAGTTTCACAACACATACATTATCAAACCTTGATACAAAAATGCTGTGGTGATAAATATAAAAAAATTAACACACAGATTGACGCCAAGGGCTAATATTACGTTATTAATGAATGCAAGTCAATGAAATATTCAGTGTTTCTGTGTGATCGTTTTCATACCTGACCTCCCCTGGGGCTCACCTCTGAGGCAGCATTTTCTTTGTCATTGACGTAGCTCTGATCGTAGAACTCTTCATTACACTCGACGACAACGTTGGTCACCGGGCTGGCCTGCTCCAAAGTGTCAGTCTCCTCCACTTCACATCTTTAACGGACAGGAAGTGAGAGGAGGAAATTATCAGAGAAAGTCAACAGTTAAATTTGCTTCAGTCATGCAGTCATGTCTTGTTTGGTCTGGTGTATGCCAGTAATTTGTTTTGCGTAACATAACACGCCGTGGATTCTCAAATTAAAAGCACTCTAGCGTTGTAGTAGACAGAATCCCTTCATTCCCAAACAGGGCTTTTATTGCGAAACATTTGCAGGACCATGTTGTATGATGCTTAGGACAAGAAGCTGCTACCATCTTGTAGCACTTGCACAATAGTACATAAAAAAAGTTTGGCAGGGACATTAACTTACATACACTCACAGTGACTGAAAAAGGACAATATCACTTTAGATGAGTAACCCAGAACAACAAAGAGTTGAAAATAGGTTAGCATGACTACACTGAATATTAAATTAGATTGGTGGAAATGTACATTGGTTTACTCAGATAGATATAGAAAAAAACCATCTGTAATCTACTTAGGCATAAACCAATCATCACTGAGGTTCCACCTCTAACTGGCCGATCATAGCCAACCTACCTTTTGATCTGACCGACCACTGAGACTCTAGCAGATTCCAGGTTTCTTATTTGCCCACTCTTGACACTGTAGGAAGGAAAACAAAAAGTTGTTAGTGGTTTAGTTCGGAGCTGAGCTTTGTGAGTGCAGCGAGTGGTTGAGGATACTGTGATTATAGATGATCACACAATAACAAATCATGATCACTGCCTTGTTTTCCCCCTATGACGTGAATCTGTAAGTCTAAGTCGAGTTTGTTGGATACAAGTTAAAAATCTTGAGTTGTAGAATATTTGTTTTATTTTTTCCACATTTTGTAAACTACCTTGTGACGGTCTGGCAGGTTCTGATGCACCAGTTTAGGACTGCAAGTCTTTTTGATGCCATTATTCACTTCAGGTGTCTTGGGCTGAGTGGATCAAGCAATTAAACATTTGTCTTACCCATAGTTTGTCCATGTGTTTGTTTTAGTTTACGAATAATGGTCAGCTGGATTTTGGTTATGCTAACTGGTCATTACTATAACTAAGCTTTTAACTTACTCTTCTGCTGGTGTTTTTGGCAGCTACCAAAGAGGCCCCCAGGAGGTGTGCCTTACTTTGGATCCTATTGTACATAATGGCCACCCCGTCTAACTAGAACTTCCATGCTACCAAACTGCTTCCGGTGAATTGTCACCACCCTCTTTGCTTGAATAGAGCCGAACCTGAAGTCAGATTGCCATCAGATTTGTGATCTGGCCAAAACCATAATGCATATTTGAGGGTAGGTGCATCATCTGTATTTTATCGGATAAGTCGGGCCTTAAATACTCACCTCCACTCTATAGCATGGTCCATGGACTTGAAAGACTTGGGTCTTCCCTTCAAGAAATTCTGTATGCTGTGGAGTGCTTCCATTGCACTGCCTAAACGAGGAAATGAAGACCAGTGAAGTCGATATTTGTGTACATAAAACTATCGCAAAAACAAGGAAAAGGCACTTTTACCTTCTACGACGTCAATAGCCACCAGGCCAACAGTGGTTGGTAGCAGCATGTTGCTGGCTGTATGCACTGCGATCGCCCCACCAACGCCATGACCAATAAGGACAATGGGGGGAGGAGTCTCACCGTAGCAGGCTCCAATCACATTGGCTACATCACTGATGAGAGTTGAGTAAACAATAATTGGCAGATAGCAACAGCACGAGTCAGATTGGTTGTTTTTAGTTATGTAAACATGTTTTCATTTAGAATTACCATCTTTAGCATGATGGGTGTTTTTGTTGATTTGAGGTAAAAGGATTAGTGGGAGCTTTAAGTTTGTGCTGGTGTGCCATGTGCTGTTACCTGGACATGGTTTGAGTTGAGAAGTCGTCTGATTGGCGGACCACAGTGTCACCTAAATAGAGATTTCATTAAAACAGTGAGACTCTGCTCATCTGTTCAGTGTCAGAGAAACTTGGATTTACCACTTAGTACGTTTACATGACATTAAAGAAAATTGATTCATTGTGTCAGTCCGACTAAAACCCAACTTTTAAAATACATGTAAAGATTTTAGTCCGGCTAAAATCGCACTAAAGTGAATTTCTCAAAGTTGGACTAACACACCCAGATAATGATTGGGAGTCAAGTTTCTCTTGCATGTATACAGTCGATCACACCCTAATTGGCCGAGGCGCTCTGAGCATGAATAAAAAAAATAAAAAAGGTGAGAATGCTGGCCAAATGTTCACAGAGAAAAATCCAATTCTGAAGCACTGACATCAACACAGTCTACAATCTCAACAAACCAACTTTGCACGTATGTTGTTACCTCTGCCATTGAGGTTCTGCTTTTCTTTTGGCTTGTTTGTTTGTTTGTTTGTTTGTTTGTCAGCAGGATTAAAGAAATACTTCTGGCCTGATTTTCGCGAAACTTGGTGGCCCAAGGTAGAACAAGTTAAATTTTGGAGCAGGTCCACATGACAAAGTGGCTACATGCATTGTTAAACTTTCTCGTTAACATTGTGAGATAGGGCGTTCCACCTTGGGGGAATAAATGCCATACTTCTTAAAATTGAGTAGATGGTAGTTCAGTAACATTCACGGGTTCCAGTAATCCTCTGCAGTAGCCTACACATGTAGCTGCTCAACTTCATACAGAAGGAAGTTGTTATGGAGCACATGATTGACATAATTCTAAAAGTTTTGAAGATATATCCAGACATATATCGTGGTTACACAAACAGATTTGCGTATCATAGAGGACTGGATAATTGGTGGAGGTCTGCAGTCTCTGAATATCTTCCTACTTACATCTGCATTTGCCCCACAAGTTGTCTTGATAACCAAAACTTTTTGTATTTCTTTATACTGCCTCACCGTGACCCCTGAGGTCCATAGCAAGTACCCTGCAGGTCACCCTGCTGGCGATGGCTGTCTGCAACACAGAAAAACACCAAGACACACTGCTGATATTCGGCATGTCGCCAAAGTGAATCAATTGACCAGTCAGTCATTGGATCGACCTGCTGACTGTGCATATAACTCACAGTGAAGACGGCCCAGGACAGGGCTGAGTGTCCTCCTCCATGAAGCAGAACCAGCAGTGGTCCATCATGTCCTGCTTTATAAATCCTGAATATGTCTCTGCTGTCGGCCGGTCCCACATGCACATCCTCCATCTGATCAAAATACTCCCGCCAGGAAACCGGTGAGTAGTCCTGCTTACCGCCAACCTCACTGGTCGACATGTAGACACACAGAAACACACAAACTGTACTGTATACTACCCACACAAACTGTATACTTAGGCAAGACTATACCCTGACACAGCAGTGGATTATCAATTTTACAGACATTTCTCTGTGGCAGAGCTTCTTAAGTTTCATCACAGTCTCATGGAAATATTTGAAATAGACATGACCACTTAAAGGTGCATTACACGGTGGTACAAACGGCGATCTTCTGGTTGAAAGCATTTCATGGTGGTGGGCATGAAATATGTGCTGACAACATGAAAACAATGCCAGTGCAAAGTCTGTTACTTACAGCTGCACTTTTGTTTAGCTCAGGGAAAGACAAACACTTGGTTAGGTTTATAGAACAAAAGTACTTGGTTAAGTTTAAAAAAGATTGTGGTTTTGGTTAGAATACTTTGCATAGTTACATAAATTCTTCTTATCGACACTTTTAGGACAGCCAATAGCTACTTTTCTCATTGAGGAGTTGGCAACAGTGGCATTGAGTGACTACGACCCAGCCCACATTTAAGGGTATCTTTTGTGGTGGAAACCCTAGGGTCTGGGTGCCATGTCTGAAGGGTTACTGTTGGTTCCAGAGGAGAGTTCCAGAGATGCAGCTTTAGTTATAGTTAGGAAAAGATGATGTTTTGGCTTACAACAACCATGATTGGTGGCGCAAAATTTGCTGAAAAAGCAGGGCTGGGTCGGTGAAAAACACCCGGCATCGATGTCAGTAACCATACCCAGGATCGGTGGCAAAAACGCTGCAGACATTCTCGCTCTTTAGACTTATTTCGTGTGTCCACCACTTCAAAAGATTGTTAATAACTTTCCATTGTGTGACTTTTCTTACTTATAATTGTGGCATTTATAGTGTTTAAAGATACGCTGGCTCGCCTCTGTGGCTAGTCTGAACGTGCAGTGTCAGCTAGGCTAACTAGCTAACCCATAGCTGTGAGTGGTTTTTAGGTTTTAGTACTATACTTAGTTGACTGTACATAGTTACTTTACATGACTGGTAGATCAGCTGATTCAGTGTTATGATCCCATCTATAGGAAACAAGTAAAACTTTATCAATGTCGCACTTTTCGTTCTAGAACCCGTCGCAGTGTGTTAGCTGCAGTGTGCGTTTCTTTTCTGAACTGGACACAGTGTTGACAGCTTGTCCCACAAAAACACTGATTACGCACCAAAACTTATTTAAAAAAAATGTTAATGTGTGTAAATGTGAGAAATTTTGCAGTAACACTGAAAGGGTGTAGATCAGTGGTTCCCAACTGGTCCAGTCACAGGGTCCAGATTTCTCCTTAGTCATTAGTTCAAGGTTCACATGGTTAAATACTTTCAATGTCATGTCGGCGTTTGGCCGTGTCCTCGAGCTAGTTTGCTGTCTCTGTGAAGTAGCTGTCCGTTAGTTACTCACTCTATAGCAGGAAACAGCACTTCAAAATAAAAGCTCTGTGCCAGAAATTCACTGAACTTAAAGTGTTTTTCACAGACTTGTTATGTTTGAGAGTCACTTGCGGTCCATTCAGGATGGACCTGCGACCCACCAGTTGGGAACACTGCAACTAAAACTGTTCAACAACTGCAAACAGAACATTTCAACTTGCATTCAGAATTGTATTTAAGACTTTTTGAAGTATAAATTGAGTCACGGAAATCCTAAAATCCAACCTTTAACTCTCATTTTGTCACGAATCTGCCTGAATGGTTTTTCCAGTGTTTTGAAGAAGTGACTTACTGCTCTGTATCGAAGTTCTCCTCCCACATGCTGCGACTCAGCAGGAAGACGTACGAATGACAGCCGGTTATCTTCAGTCTGGTCTATTCGTGTGTGTGTGTGGTTATTCAGCAGGTTTTTCTTAATAAGCACCACACAGCTTCCTGCTGTGTCGCAAGTCCATCCAGTAAATAAAGCTGACTGGTGTGAGTATAAACACACTACAGGACAATAACCAGTCAGCTGTTGTTGTCAGGTAGCATCACTGTCCCAGCATCCTGTTGGCTGAGACAGCTGACAAGCAGCTATAAATGTGTCTCATCTAAACAGGCTTTGATTACTCAAAGTGACATGTTGGGAGATGTTTCACACAGACAATGGTGTGCAGAGGTGAAATGTAATGAAATACTTTTACTCAAGCACTGTACCTAATAATGAACTAATAATAATAATAATGCATTTCAGAGTGCTCAAGGAGTAATGTGAAATAACCAGACAAAAATGATAATTATAAAAATTACATATATAATCATCATAATAAAATCATTAATATGCGTAGTTTCTGAAGAGCTAAGCCGGGTAAAAAAGAAAGAAAGTCAGCAGCTGCACACCGCCGTCAAATTAATGCAAGGATTTAATACCAGAACTCAAAATGAATTGTACAGAGTGCTCAGAGATAATCTCTACATCATCTATGAAACACATTTGCTATTGTGAAGGTCTAAGACCAGTTACGTAGGGCAAACAACAAACCAGCATGATCCAGTTTACAAAGGCTGGTGGTTGGTTTTAAAGTAAGCTACAGCTACAGAAAAAACTGTTCAGGATTCTGTCTATCACATTCTTGACAGGTGGAACCAGGCTGTCTTAGGCCTAGTCCACACGGGCCTGTGTACTTCTGAAACCGTGTACTGTTCTATGTGATGTTGCTGTTTGGCCACACGCAGCCGCACTTCTGGGCCCCCAAAACCGCGTTTCTATGAAACCAGAGTCCAGGGTGAAGTTTTTGGAAGACTCCGGTGCCACCTGTCTCCATTGTTTGACGTCAGAGCGACGGTAAATAGCTAGTGACATGGCAGACCAAACAAACATGCTTGTGCTAACTTTTGTGAGCGTGCTATCTGCTCTCTTTGGATGGCATATCCAGCTGCTCGACCTAATTCAACAGCAGAGGCGCCTGAAAGACCAACGAAGGGAGAGATGCGTTAACACGTTACAGTACTACTACGTATTTTCTCAACGCGTCATCTGTATCTGTGTGATTGTGACGCTTTCCTTTAAAACTATGCTCTATTTTTGTGGATCGGGTTTTTATTTTCCGCACTTCCCTATTTCGGTATTGACTCTGACTTCTGATTGGTTAAAATGGCCTTTCCTTTAGAAGTTAGCTCAGACATTGAGGTGTTTAACCTCACACTATTTTTTTTTTTGCACGGAGTGATTTTGATAAGCGATTAAGCCTTATTTTAAATATTTATTCAGCTTGTAGCAGTAGCTGATTTTGTGTGTATTTCACAGTCCAGTTCTATCAAGGGATGAGAGTGACACTGATACCTCTGCCTCTGAGGAGGAAGACAGTGAGCCAGAGGAGGAGGAGATGCTAGGAGGAACCCCCCACATCCACATCAAGCACCATGTATTATGCACCAAAAGGATCAAGTGGTAAGCCCATACTGACTTGCCTTATCTGAACCTTTTTAACATAAGCTACTCAGACATGAAAAGGGCCTAGAATTATACTATTATGCTACTAATGGCATCACTTATCTCTCATATGCTTGAGCTTTTTTTGGTAAAAATATTTCCACTTAGTGACAGGGATTATTAATGTAAAGAGGGGGATGGATGATGGACCCACGTCTTGCTGATGACTATAGTGATCGTTTGTGTGTGTGTGTCTGTTAGAGAGAGAGAGAGAGAGAGAGAGAGGGTGAGAATGGGTAGAGAGATGCATTGGGTTAGGAAAACGGTCAGGAACGCTCATTTGGTGCCAGGTTGGAATAACAATAATTTCCTTCATTAGTATATGGATGGACCCCCCTCATAAATCCTTGCCCACCCTCTGGCCACCCTTGTATTAAATTCTAGTTCCGCCACTGGTTTAGAGCGGTGCCAGTGATACCAATGGTAGCTAAGTTCAAACTCAAGGTACTTGTACTTAAGTATTTTGATTATATGCTACTTGCACATCACATCTCAGAGGTAAATATTGTACTCCTTACAGCACAATATTTGTCTAACAGCTTTCGTTCCTTTTCGGGTGACAGTTTTTCATCCCCTTTCATCACCAGTACCGTACCTGGCAGGTGCCGAAATGTTGACACTGAACATATCCGCAGATATTCACTAACAACGTATTTCAGTTGTTTTCTGCCAAAGTGCACAAAGTTACAATCTTTCCCTAACCTTTATCAACGAGCTTTTGCTGCCTACAAGACAGAAGTCTGCTTTATTAAGGTTTGTATTCAAATGTAAGTGGATGGTCAGAAAGATGGTCGGAGAGACGTTTGAAGCACATAAAGAACTTTGGGAAACTCTTTTCATGACGAGCAGCCAACAAGGTGTTTAATTCCACTTTGATGCTCGCTGACCACCATTTTGTTTCTTTTCTTTCATTTTACACTTTGTACACTGTTTTGACGCATTCTCTGTTATGTTTATTCTTCAAAATAGTTTTCACGGTGTTACAAGAGGGGATGCCTCAGAGTGCCCGAATGCCGGTGTGAGAGAACTAACAAAAGAACGTAGGTAAGGAGTCAAACTAAGGACAGTCCTTGCTGTCGCGGCAGAGCGTGCGCCATCTTGAGCCTGTGTCTGTGTTGTCCTGAAAGGAGCTACACTCACCCAAAGTGTTTTTGTTGCCTAGATCTAAATCAGGAATCTGAACGTGAACCCAAAGTTCAAGGTCCAGTACTTGGAACGCCCTCCATCCGCTCCAACTCCCTCTTTCTGAAGCCGATGCGGTACAAGCATGTAACGTTTCTTTACCTGAAATAAATGCTGACTCTGAAAATTAGAATTAGAATTAGATCACAGATTTAAGTTTGCCTAAATGAGTGTCCTCCGTGTGGTGGCTTGGCTCAGCCTTTGAGGTTGGATAAGGAGCTCAGACATCCAGAGGGAACTCCTTCCATTAGAGGTGTTCCGAGCACATCCCACTGGTAGGAGGCCCCGGGGCAGACCCAGAACATGCTGGAGGGATTACATATCTCATCTGCCCTGAGAATGCCTCGGGGTCCCCCAGGAGGAGCTGGAAAACGTTTCTGGGGAGAGGGATGCCTTTGGTGCTTTGCTTGGCCTGCTGCCCCTGCAACCCGGCTCGGATAAGTGGATGAATATGGATGGATGGACAACAAGTATTAAGAGGGGATACAGGAGTTTGGTAAGCAGGAAAAAGAGGGAGACTACGAATAAAAAAAGAGGGAAAAGAGGAGGGTTTAAAAAAAGAAAGAAGCAGGAGTAAGAAGATGGCGGCGAAAGAGAGGAAATGGGGAAAGCACAACTTAAGAAGAAATCATAAAAACCAGAAGTAGAAGGTGGAGAGAAAACATGATGATGATCTCAGTGGCTGATCTCCTCCCTCTCTCCCTCCTCCTTTTATTTATTCATAAATGCATCCTTTGGAAAAGCAGTGAGGAGGAGAGCAAGGGAACCGTTGAAGCTTTGCTCCTGTACTCAGCAGGCGGTTGTCAGGACACCATGATGGGATTTCCTCTGTCGACCGATGCACGCTGGTGTCTGTGGACCCTGAAAAGGTAGGCTACATAGAGAGTTTAAGATGACTCTAATAATTCTGTCATGAGTTGTTTTGAAATCCCAGCAGTGAGTTTATAATGCTGCAGTTGTGATTTAGTGAGATAGATAGATAGATAGACAGATAGATATCAGTTTTTAGTCCGATACTACAAAAGTTTTATGGATTTTAATAAACTGATGTGTGAATTCAGTCAAGTCAGACTTACTTGTGCAGCTCCAAACCACAGTTTTGTCTTAAAGAGTTTTAAAATATGTGCAATTTACAGTGACCTTTCATCATTACACCCTTTCAATTCAGACAAGGAACAACATATTCAATTTGCTGACATTTTAGTCATGAATGTGGATGTGTCAGGCACAGCAGGAAGATCTGATCCCGAGAGGATTTGTCTGTGTGACAGAAAATAGCTGTCGGGAAAAAACAGAACTGGCAATTACTACGTTGATATGAGGCAGCCAGGAAAATTAGAACGTTTTCTTTTCTTCCATGATATCATTCATGATAATATAAGATAGCTTTACAGAAGAGAATATCTCTATTTTTGGTACCATGATAGATGGATGAATACCAAATTAATCATTTTCTACTGGTTTGATAAACGGCATATGGTTTGGGAATTAAAGTTGACTTGCATTGATCAATTGTTTCTCCATCTCAAATCTCCAATCAGGCACTGACTTGACATTTCCAAATCTACACGCAAAATTCACCATGGAAACCTTCCCAAGTACGACCAAATGCAAAAAGGATGTCATCCAATCAGAATGCCCAATTCCAGAGGAAGCAGAGCTTGCAGATGCCCTTGGAAACACAGATCCCAATGCCAACTGGGGGGCGGAACCTAACTTCAACCTCAACCTCACTCTAACGTCACCAAGCAACCCCCGCCCAGCCATCGGGACATCAAAGCTGCATGGAGGGAACAAAAAGGATGATAGGAACAAAGGAGCAGTTACTATGGAAACTGGCAAGTCGGCATATACCCTGACAATCCCTGTGATGTCACCAGTGGAAAAAGATGATCCAACGCATCAGAAAAGCAAAATTCCAGCTTTGTCCCGGTCACCAACAGCTGAGGCGTCAGTGAACAGCAGAGGTGAGCAAAGGCTTAAATCCCCAAACTCCAAACGTACTCCAACACTCAGCCCCAAGACGCACACGCACAGCAACATGGCGGCAAGTCCAAAATCCCACGGGATGGAGCAAACAACCATCGCTAGCAGCCCCAGAACGACCGAAAGAGTCAAAACACAAGAACAGAGAGCGGAACCTGCAAGCATCTTAAACTCCAAACCACATGTTGCACTGACAACTGGACCGACAACAAAGACTTCAAACAAAACGACAATTAGCCCAAAACTGCAAACACACGGAAAAGCAATAAGCTTCGAGACACAGTCGCCAAAAACTCTACACCTTCCCATAAGCACGGATGTCCACAATCCGAAAGGGGAATTAGATGTTATCAGCCCAAAAGCTGCCAATCGAACCCCAACGCTGACAACCAAAACCCAAAAACTTGACACAGCTAGCACCAGACATGACTCAAGAACTCAGGGTTCTGAGACGCCCCCTGTAGGACCAAAGTCCCCAAATCAGAGGGGTGAAATGGCACAGCTCAACACCAAGACTCCTCAACTGAGTTCTCGAAGTCCCAAACCATCCACACAGAGGAAAGCTTCTGGAACCAGAAACAAAAACGCTTCAGGGTCAAAGGAGAATCTTGATGGTCAAGATTTAAGTGTTGGTTCTGTATCCAAAGACAGTTCAAATTCTAAAGCTACTACAGTGACTACAGACAGTCTGGATTCTAAAACTGGCTTGAATTCCAAAACAGCAATGGGGTCCAAAGATAGCCTGGATTCTAAAAGTGGTTCTGCTTCCAAAACCAGTTGGGGATCAAAGGACAGCTTAGACTCCAAAACTGGCTCCAACTCCAAAGCCAGTCCCAGTTGTAGGTCTGGGATGGGTTCCAGAGATAGTCTTGATTCTAAAACTGCAATTGAAATCATAGCAGACAAAACCAGCCCTGATTCTAAGACGTTTGGGGGTTCTAAATCTGGCATGGGGTCAAAGGATAACCTTGATCCTAAAACTCAGACTCCTTCAGACTCTAAAGGCAGTTTCAATCTCAAAACCAGTCCAAGTTTAAAACCAGGCTCTGAGTTTAATCTCAGCACTAATTCTGATCTCCTTTCCAGTTCTAAACCTGCTCCAAACCGTTCGACTTCTAAACCTTCTCTGGTGGCCTCTGGCTCTAAGATGGACAGTGTTGGATCTGTCTCCCTATTGTCCTCCAGAACTGGTCCAGCTGGGTCCAAATACAACCACCTCAAGGCTGCAAGCTCCAGTGCTAAATCAAGTCCAGAACCTAAAGCTGCTGCAAATTCTTATAAGCCTGGAGAAGTTCAGTCTAGCTCAAAGTCACCTCTGGCAGATTTGTCTCCCTCCTCAATGCTCTCGCCTACATCAAGTTCAACAAGTAGGAGCCCTGGCAAAAGTCTTGCTTCTGGCCCAGCTGGGCCAAACAAGGAGGTCCAGAGGAGTCCTGCTTCAGCTCCAGGTAATACATCGCATTTTTTGACATTCAAAATGTATCTTTAAAAAACCTACTACTATTAGAGGTGTAAATCACTGGTTTCTCCACGATTCAATATTATATCGTTTCTTTCCATGATACGATTTTTGCTGATATCGCAAAGTCTGCCTCTATACGATCTTGATTTGATTAAATTCAGGAGCCAGCAATCGATATAAAACGATGTCACATGCTCATTTAACACAATCTGTTAAAGAAGAAGCTGCCACCCCTCAATTTTAGCTTTTGGCCATGAAAGATAATCTTAGTTTGTAAGCAGGTTTTTTTAGCCACACATTGTTGAAACAGAGCAGCTAATGTTGCTGTGTTGCTGCAAGAGGTGAGTGGATTGACATGACCAGCCGTGCACGTAACGTCATCTCATGTTTTCTGAGTATTTTACCTCATAACGGCATTGTTTACTTAGGAAGTGCTGAAATCCACAGGATATTTAACGTTTACATACAGTGTCTTTCAAAATAAATGCACTAAGTCGGTACAACACCGCAAATTGATATTTTTTTTCCTTCAACAACAAAAGCACGTGGTTAGGTTTAGGAAAAACAATAGGGTTTGGCTTTAGAATCTTAAGGGACGTGAGCACAGTTCTCTCGGGTGAAAGTCTGTGTTTGTTGGACCCATCCACCACCACTCCTGCCCGCCCCAGTTGGACTTTCACTGCCTTAACTATCTTCGGTCTTTGGTCCGCCACGTTTCCCCGACACCACCAGGCGCTGTTAAACTATCATGGCAACCGGCCGCATATCATGCCGACATTTTTGTTGGTTTCTGTCGCCGCAAGTCACTGCCCTAGTGCTCGATTTCAACGACTTCAGAGTGAGACCAGGCTCACTACTGTTATGCTCTTAGCTTGCCAGTGCGTCTGTCTTCTGACAAGTTTCCTGTTTGCAGGTTCCGGTGAGATTTCAGGCCTGCTGGCTCCTCTGGCCACCTCCAGCCCCAAAACCAGAACCACTGTCGCCTCGACAATGACGAGAGGGTTCACGCCAGAGCCTACAGCAGTTCCATCCATTGCTGTGGAAACAAACACCAGCACAACACCCCATAATACCATTCTAACTCGGGGTCTCACCTTTGACTCTATCACAAAGACACCCGCAAAAACAGGTGCTGCCACTGAGGAAGAGCGTTTGAACCTGCCGGAGACCAAAGTGCCACCTGGAGGAGGACCGGTGGTATCCCAGGGGGTCGTGCGAGGGGTAGAGGTGACTGACAACGCAGGGTTGTTGCCAGGAGATAAGAGGAGAAAACCAAGTCACCTGGGAGATGCAAATGCCATCACCGCTGGTAGCAAGACCTCATCAACAAGGGTGACTGGATTGGAGAGTCAAAATGAAGAGAAGAAGAAGCAGGAGAGCGGTAAACAGAAAGATGGTCGAGGGAGTTCCTCTCTCCCGCCTTCGTCTTTCCTTCATCCTCTTCCGCATCTTTCCACTCATCCAGAGAGGTTCAAGACAGTAAGGGAGACGGCAACAATGACTGACTCAAGTGAGAGGCTTCATCTGGCTGAAGGGGAGCGGAAAGACGTGGGTGTCCAAGTGGAGATGGAGGTGGTCGAACACACTGCTTCTGCTAGCTCCAGCCTGCACAAGGGAGCTCCTTCCTCCTCCCTTATAGCCTCTCCCAGCTGTCAGTCAGGTAGTTTAACCTCGCCGACTGTCCCGTCACTGTGCTGCGTCCCCGCTGGGCAGCCACCTTTCCAGCACGTCTGTAAGATCAACATTGAGTTGCGCAGCCAGTCAGTGCTTCCCTCTGTTGTGACTGACCGTGCTAGCTCCCTCCCCGCCTCTCTGCGTACATACAGCTTCCAGCAGAGCCCCGGCCTCATGTCGGAGCTACGACTCAGACAAAACCAGGACCGAGACATAAGTGCTGAGAGCATCTGGGAGGACGAGGAGGAAGAGGAGGAAGAAGAGGAGGAGAAGGTAGCAAGGGAGCAGAACAAGGAGGAAGAGGATGGAGAGGAGAGGGTAGAGACGATGAAGCCACAGGAGGTGGCATGGGACAAACAGGGGAGGACATGGGAGGTGTATGGCGCCTCTGTGGACCTGGAGTCCCTGGGCACAGCGATCCAGTCCCACCTGGAGTCAAAGATTCAGGAGCAGGAGAAGTACATCCGGACTCTGAGGAAGTCCATCTGCTCCAACAGCAGCCTCAGAGGGTATAAGATGAAGAAGAGGAAGAAGAAGAGGGGAGGGATTCTGGGATGCTGCAGGAAAGCGCCCGCTGTGGCTGACTGAGACTAATCCAGAAATCTTTTGTACACCAAACTTTAAAACACAAGTGTTCACGTCCAAATGTCCACAACACTTCCCCCTTCACACTAAGGCCTGCATGTATTTCTACAATATTAATTACTTCAGATAGAACAGCAATAAAATCCTTGTGCACATAGAACAAACAAAAAATGTAGCTTAAATAAGATTCATACAAGTTTCATAGTATCTGTTGTTTTATATTAAGTTTGATTGTTGTCATAAATATTTACTTTATGTTTTTTTAAACGATTAAATGTGGAATACGTTTGTCAACACCAGAGGTGCATTCACTCCTCCCTGTAATATGAGTAACAAACCGTTACGACTGCAAAGGTTTTATGTAACAACAGCATAAAGCACACGATGTGAGCAGGGGTTATAACTATTAACCTAAATGTGGCTATTTTTTAAAAAGGTTTCTGCAGTTTTTGAAGCAGAGCCGAGAGGACGGCAGCTCTCTGTTTCCTCTGGTGGTAAATATTTCATCCACTTCCTTTTTTACGAAACGTCGCACAAACCACTCAAGCACTCAGAGCCTTGTGTGTGTGTGTGTGTGAGAGAGAGAGTTGGAACTGTTTTCTGCAAATTTATCTGATGGGAAGCACTTCACTTCCTCTCTGTTCTTTCCTTTCCTTTCCTTTCCTTTCCTGTTTTTCTTCCTTAACTTTCCAGTCTTTTTATTTCCCTTTCCTTTCCTTTAATGTCTTTCCCTCCTCCTATCTTTTTGCTTTCCTTTTCCTGTCTTCACCTCTCCTTTCCTTTCCTTTCCTTTCCTTCCCTTCCCTTTCCTTTCATTTTCTTTCCTCTCCTTTCCCGTCCTGTCCTTTACTTTCCTTTTCTTTCCTTTCCTCTCCTTTCCTTTCCTGTCTTGACCTTCCCTGTCCTGTTCTGTCCTTTCCTTTCCTTTCCTTTTCTTTCATTTTCTTTCCTCCCCTTTCCCATCCTGTCCTTTTCTTTCCTTTCCTTTTCTTTCCTTTCCTCTCCTTTCTTTTCTTGACCTTTCCTTTCATTTCATTTCCTTTCCTTTCTTGACCTTTCCTGTCCTGTTCTGTCCCATCCTTTCCTTTCCTTTTCTTTCCCGTCCCGTCCTTTACTTTCCTCTCCTTTCCTTCCCTGTCCTGTCCTTTCCTATCCTTTCCTTTCCTTTCCTTTCCTTTCCTTTCCTTTCTTGACCTTTCCTGTCCTGTTCTGTTCCGTCCTTTCCTTTTTCTTTCCTTTCCTTTCCTGTTTTTCTTCCTTAACTTTCCAGTCTTTTTATTTCCTTTTCTTTCCTTTGTCTTTCCCTCCTCCTATCTTTTTGGTTTCCTTTTCCTGTCTTCACCTTTCCTTTCCTTTCATTCCATTTCCTTTCCTTTCTTGACCTTCCCTGTCCTGTCCTTTCCTATCCTTTCCTTTAATTTCCTTTCCTTTTCTTTCCTGTCTTGACCTTTCCTGTTTTTCTTTCTTAACTTTTCAGTCTTTTTCTTTCCTTCTCCCATCTTCACCTTTCCTTTCCTTTCTTTTCCTTTCCTTTCCTTTCCAGCCTCCCCACCCAGGTCACCACTCTCTTGTCAGTTGACATTAATTAATGCAGTAGCAACATTCAGCCGACAGGGGGCGACACACACAGTCACAGTGTTCCTGCTTCATTGATGTATTTGCTTGATGGCATATTGTAAAATATAAAGCACATGTGAAACGTACTAAACCTGTACACCATATTTAAATGCTCTTTCTTTGTCTGCTCTGTCGTCACATTTGTGTTCCTGATGGGAATTCATGTCCTACTTGGAGAACCAATACAGCACGTTAACCTCTCATTCTCTTCCTTTCTCCTCTGCTTGCACACATTTCCTCTCCTTCCTTGTCTCACTTTCTCTCCGTCCTCTTTGTAGTGGGGTCATGTTGTTGACGGAGCACTGGGTTGCTTCTCTGAATTATTCAGAAACATTAAAGTCATGCTCGTGTTAACAACACAGTCTCTCCGCCATGTTTTATTCAGTCTGAGCTTCAGATACACCGAGGTCGCACCGACACACACTTCAGTATGGTGCTGTAGTTTTCTTTGAAACCTTGTTTAGTTTGTGATTTAGACATTAAAATCTGAAATAAAAAAATCTTAGGTGCAGGGCCTTTGTTAACATCATCGTCTGACTACACGGCTCAGCTGTGGCATCAGTGAGATTAGCTTAATGTGACATTTCCTTCTCGTGCGTACAGCAAGTCTGATGTAGATACATGTACACAAAGTCTTGAAGCCTCTCATGTCTACTGTTATGACGGCATGTTTAATGACCCATCAGAGATCAGGTGACTGGGCCTGGAGGTGGAGCCAGGGAACATCTATGGCATCTTGATGACATCATCATTCTTCTTCTTCTGGTCTTCATTGGGCCGAGCTGACATGGACATAATGAGGTGTGGATGTGTTATATTGATATAAATACAAGTATTCATATATTGATGCTTCTTTATACATACACATATATGCACAGCATGAGTGTGTTAATAACCCCGTTTACACTGCCTGCTCTTATGCCACCTCGCTGTGCTCTATATAGCATACGTTCGTATAATAAGTGGACAGAGTAGTCTCGCCTTTCGGCCATCATGGAAGGAAGCAACAGAGCAGAAACTGTGTGTGTATAAACAGGACAACTGGCCGGATGGGACTATGGGCGGCACAGGTGTGACGTTTGGACGATGCGTTACGCCTGCGACTCACTGCGGGAGATTTAAAAAGTAGCTGTTAGCAGTTAATGGTTAACTAAAAAAAAAAACAGAACAGCCGTCGAAAATAGCCGCAAATTGGGAAACAATGACACAGGAGCTCCTTACCCTCCAGGACAAGATCTGCCGCCATTAACAGGGACGGTAAAGGATTGTTATGCCATTGTTGTTTTTTATCCACCTTATTCCCAGCCCCCACGATACCTTGCGTGAATTATGGACGCAACTTCCAGAGTTGAACCAAAACCGAGCTAGCTTAAGGTAAACATTTGCTCCTTCTAAAGATGATTTCTAATATCTGATGACTTATTAAGAGATACTAACACATTCAGCAACATAATTCAGTATTAACTGTAGCTCCATGTAAAGTGAATGAATGTGATGTTTCCCAGCTAATCCTCCGCTTGTCTGCGTTAACGCTTAACGTTTATTAAAAACTGTTCTGAGCGAAACATGAAGCTGAATTTAGCAGCAGACTTCAGTAATAGTAATATAAAGTAGTAAAGAAATAACTTTTGGCATTCATTTTTATATATTATATAAAGGAAGTACGGTAAATCAGTAACACACTCTGATGACTAAATACATATTTCAAGGTTTGTTGCTGAGTTTATTTAATAATGGGCAATTTTCTAATGTAGGTTGAGACTGAAGTCAGACGGGGAAAGACAGGGATATCATGTACTGACGTCGTTCTCTTCTTCAAATTCTTGTGAAACTCTTGTTTTATTTCTCATATCAATGGCAACCATGGCAACAGGAACAATCCCTTTTTGTTCTGGTTACATGTTCAACACACAGTTGCTGAAAACAAAATTTTGCTCAGACTGGTTGTTAGTCGTTACAGACACAGACAGTGCAACAGGGACCAGAGCTCCGCAGAGACATTTTAGAAAATGCTAAGTTAACATCAGTTAAATATTTGTTAAAAAATGTGTACTTTGTGGCGGCCCTACAGCGCAATCTCTGTGTAAAAACGGCTAGTACCTCTAATAGTGATCCAGCTTTCATGAGACGGTCCGTCCACTGGGTGCCGACATTTGTAGATTCCCTCGTCAGCTTTGGTCACTGCTGTCAGAGTCAGGTTGCCTTCAGTTGTAACCCTGAGACACAAACAGGTAATAAATGAGGCATGTTCTGGGTATTGCTGTTTTGAGACAGCAGAAAGCGATTGCACCACTGACCAACAAAAACCTGGTCTACAGTCAGAATGGTGCTGTATTTTCCTTCAATTTAAAGGATGCATTATTCAGATAGTAAGAAGTGCCCACCAGGGGTGGGATCGATACAAAGATATTGATGCTGTCAGTACTACGTTTTTATTTCAAAGATCAATCCAAGCATTAAGAGAATCGATACCAAAAAAGGGATTAGGTTCTCTCTTCTATGTCATACCTGTTTGTATTTCAAGAGTAATACCGTGCAAACAACATCACGTCATGAACACGTTGCGTTGGCTGCACTCAAACAACTAACTCCAGGCCCAGCAGCATCTTCTTAGTTTCATTTTCACCTGATGTCAGCAGTACTAGAAGTGTTTTGTTCATTAAAAAGGTAAAGGTCAGACTTGGCACTAATGGATATTGGACATTTTTTGGACTGCATCCCCATCATAGACTTCAGACCCGCCCATGCAGCTTGTGAATCACCAGTGCTGAGCAGATTCTTTATTTTGTCCTTGTAGCTACACTTAGCAAGCTTAAATTCCATTTTAACCTGTTTCCATAGTACTCTGTACTAAGGGCCCGTCCCAATACCCCCCCTTAGCCCTACCCCTTGGCCCTACTCCTACATTTGCGCGTTCCCGTGAGGGGTAGTGGTGTCCCAATTCCTTTTTGCGTGTAGGGGTAGGGGGCATAACGAGGGGTAGTGGGTATGAAACTAGCCCTTCGGAGCGAGGGATTTCAGATGCTGACTTGCCAGCGAGGGGTAGACGTCGCAATGGCTACCACCGTGGCACGGCTGCCACCGGTGGGGAAAAAAGTTCATACATAGCTAACGTTACCGCCGTCAGGTTACTTGTTAACTAGCTAGCTAGCTCGCACTATCTGGCATCTGTCATCTGTCCTGTTCTGCAAAATTGTCAGACTTTTCACATTATGATAACACGCCAGCTAGTATAACTATGCTGCCTCATAATGTTAGCTGATTAGCTAGCTAGCAGAAGTCCCCTGTCGTCTGTCGTTCATCAAACGAAGCATGATGAATGCGGGAAACGCGATCGGTAGAATGAATAAGACTCCATTGTAGATGCTGGTTGGAAATGTAGATGGCTCGCAGCTTCCTGTTTAAAATAGTTAGGTATGCGTGAACGGTTTTTTGACAGATTTGTTCACTGAGATCATCACAGACATTTTTAAACAGCTTGTGCAGCCTTAACAGTCCTCGATAGGCTCTTCTTGTGATGAGTAGCCTCCCTATGTCTGAGGAGTTCAAGTTGCCTCCACATGGCTGCAGAAACAATCAGCCAAAATGCAGGACCAATAGACTAAAGAAGTCATATGTCCTGCTGCCGTTAGCTTTTTAAAGAACTCAGTGTGATCTTTGCGTTGTATTTATTGTTTGTCTGATGGTTGGATGTGGTTACTGGTGGCTGTACAACAAGTTGCCCCTTGGGGATAATATAGATATCCTTGACCCTTGAAATGTAAAGCAGCAATTTGTGATTTTAGGGGGAGTTAAATGTTGGAGCTATTTCTTGATGGACAGCAGTTTATCCACCCACCCAGTGCTGCAGACATTTTTAGTTTTAGTCTTCGAGCAATGGCACCACACCTGTAACAAATATTCTAAGAAGGGTAGAAGGTGAAGGGAATATTAATGAACTTGGGGTACGGAATGATTTACCTAATCCGACGGTGGTTCCTGTAGAAGATGGCACCAAAGTTGGAGGTGATTTTGTTTGTGGTTCTGTTTTTATGTAAACAGCGAAGCATCACGTCCTCACCCTCCAGCACAGGAAGTGACGGACTCTCCAGGGCCACCATCACACCAGCTGCACAGAGGGAGACACTTTGGCT